ATTTTTGGACTATTACATAAACGTAATTAAAAAAATGACAGGAATAGTTCGAAAATGTTTATGGGTTAGACCCCATAAATATGAAATCTAATTGGTGATATTGTATTCACTCATACTGTTTGTTTTACACAATGAGTTGGTACTGAGAGCCGCCGCAATGCGCTCCAATGGCCCATAAACACCATTATGCCCCTTAAACCTTGTTCATGGGGTGCCTGGCGCTTTCCGTATAGCCTACGATGCCTCCATTCAGTCGGTACACACGGTCGCTTATCGGTACAATTTTCATAATTTTACATAGTTGTCTTAAATTTAATTGAAATCTTAACTCCATGATATATGCTTTTAATTATTTTATTACTTGCCTAATTTTTTCTGTTCCGTGGTAAAAACTAGGGAATATTTTTTTTAGGATTTGGTTTTAAAATTAAATATATTTATTAATTTATGTTATCTAATAATAATAAAAAAAATTATCCGATTGTTTTGATTAAAGTAGCTATTTTTACGGAGAAATTTGTACATGTATGCGCAGCAAACTTAATTGTGTTACCATGGTTTATTAATTTACAATATGTAGACTATACTTATATATACCTATACAAGAAAATATATAGCATGGAAGAATTGTTAATCGCAAGAAATGAAGCGTAGGTGTATACATCCGTCGGCGAGAATAGTTCTGAAACAGGAAACCGTAAACAGTAGGCAGCTAGGGTGGGCATGGAGGTATTGTTAACATAAGGCAATGAACAAAGCTATTCCTAGAGGAATATTCAATTATGTGGGTAGAGTTATTTTTGCCATTTCTCACGTTTTGTCTCTATAAATGTATATTTTTTTGATATAACGACGATTTTCTTGTTATACCAGTTTAACTTACTGCCTCCATCATTCGATCCCGACGAAATGCAAACATTGGTATTTATAAGCCTGTCTGTATGAAATTTGATCATTTTCATTGAAGTGTAATAAAAAAATAATAATAGGGATAAATATAAATTGTAGTCTATGTCATCCGGAATATAATAACGAATCTCTTGATGCTACATTGTCAAAGGGGACGGTCCCTTTTGATTTTGCCATAGTCGGGTAAATATCTCCCTGTGGTAAATAATTTTTGCAATGAAAAGTCATTTCAGGAATGAATGGGCATCCTACACAATGACAGTTTAACAAAGAGGGCGAAAAATTGTGCATCGACGGACCGGAACATGCAACGGATATTTGACAAAACGTTTGTGACACAGTTTCAAATCGATTTACAGTCCATTGCATAATTGTGCAAAATTATTTTGTTTAGCAACAGAAGTTATTATTCATATATATTTATTCGTTTATATATGTAATTTTAGTATGTATGTATATCAATAATTAGTAGTATCGCATTCGAGTATTCTGGCACTTCGCTATGGTTGACTGGGAGAGAATGCTTTTAGCATTAAGTCCGCCATGTACACATATTTGTACTAATGAATAAATAAATAAATAAATAAAAAGTTACTTGGTGCCAATAAATTTGGGAGAATAGTATTTCAATTAAAGAAAAGAATATAATTATGAATAGAAAAACACAGATAAAATATTATAAATTTAAAATACTGAAATTACACAAATCTATTGCCAAAAGATAAATTTAATATTTATTATAGTTGAAGGTTCTTTTGGTTTGTATATAGGTACGAGTATATAAATATGCAATAAGGAAATCTTTACTGAAAAATTTTACATTAGTGAGTTGACACTGATGAAATCATACTAATATATATATATATATATATATATATATATATATATATATATATATAAAATGAAACTTCAGTATATTGAATTTGAATTATTTATATTTTAATAAAAATAACAAAAATGTCTGACTTATAATCTTTATAAAATCTAAATTAATATTATTATATAAAGAGGAAAGATATGATTTTTTGTATGTTTGGTTGCTTGTGTACTGTATTTTGGTCGAGTTTGTACATGAAGAAGCGTATGATGAACAGTAGATTGAAGACGCAATATGTACAGTTACATGTGCAAAAGAGAGATATTAAAAAAAGTACTTTTCAGGCCGTTGAATCTGTTGTTAAGTTTTATAGTTGCTACTCTGTAATGGAGCACGCGATGCCGACTTTATTGATCGAAGCTTTTCTCCTTCTCATTACATTGTTGACTTCACCCAAGGAAACATGACATTTTATCGCGTTAAAATGTATCGTTAACAACTGAATAGTTAGCACCAATTATATAAAGCCATTTTTATAAGCTATCTGTAAAATTCGTTAACTTTAACTGAAAGATAAAAACCTTCCGAAAATTTTGGCAAATATAGACAGAATATTTTAACCATTAGAATACAATAAGTAACACTTGTATATGACTAGTTATGCAAAGGATACTGCGGACGATATATGCTATTCACAGACAAATAAACATTTTGCTGATATAATGAATAGTAAAATTAATTATTATTAATTAATCCTAGAGACGGTGGTAAGATCTTTCCATTCGTATTGGATTGAAATATGTTTAGAAAAATGTGGGCAAGTCTAATGTTACGTTGACACAGCAAAAGCCTTTAATACTTCTAACTACCCTCATCCCATCTAGAATTACAAATCTGAACGATTCGACAGATTCATGGAAAATAGAGAGAAATGCGAAAATAATATTTTATCTGACATTCCCATGGGGAATATGGTCGTCGTCTGCACTTTAAAATTGCATTGCACTCAGTTGATTGCTCAGCCGTAAAGTAAACTGCAGGTCCTGGAAAATCTCTTTAATACCAGTACAGCAATGAAAATAGTAAATAACGCCGGATGAAATGGAACATAAGGGAGGCAGAAATTTAATACGAAATACGAATAACATTTTGATTCTTTAAAATATGGCATTGTGTTGTTATGGAAATATAATTGTTTAGATGCTTGAATATTGTGTAAACAGTTAACACGAATCAGCAATCACAATCTTTGTTCCAAAAAAATTCTTTCCTTTTAAAATATTAGTTGTAATAGAACTAATACTTATACATTGGCGATCCAAAATCAATATAAATTCAAATAATTTTTATTCAAATAGACTTCTATACAACCACTTTTAAATCTTTTTTTTTTTAATGCAGTATTCGAAAAATTATTATCTGTTGAGAAGAGCCCACAAGAAACTTAACAGTTACTCTTTCAAATCATGATATGACGTGGAAATAATATTGGATGTTTGGAATGTTATTTGTAAATAAAAGTTTGAAAGATTATTCGAATTATTTGAAAAAAGAAGATCTTGGTCAAAGTAATTCAGTTCACTTCTTTCGGTATCTCTTTAGAATCAATACTCGTATTTCAATAAGTTGGTTATAATTATCAAGTACTCTTAGTTTTATCTCTATTAGGAATTGTGTTGTTATCATTCGTGTTATCACAATATATTTTTGGTTTCCATTTTGATTTTATTTTCTTCACTTGTTATTACTTCCTTGTAAAATTATATAGTGCCGGTAACCTATACGTGTATTTATATTATGTTATGATATCAGTATCGCACGCACTAATTTCACATGTTCGTGCTACTAATGATCATCATGTGTATTGGTTAGCATATATTTTTTGTTTTTTGTTATTTGGCAAGAAAATTATTTGCTAATGACTAGAAGAACATCATTATCATCTTCCTGCCCTTGTCTCAATCGTTTGGGATGGGATAATATATTTTCCTCTTCCATTTATCTCTCTTTACAATCATTCCCCCATTTACTCCGATTTTAGCCATATCGTACTCAAACAGTCCATCCATGTACTTTTAGGTCTTCTTCTACCATTATAGCTATTATACTTAATACTTTTCCATAACAAGATAAGTTATTTCTTATCTTTTCTATCTTAAACTTAAAAACAAAGTATAAAATTGATCACGAAAGTACACTCGGATGACTAGAAATGCTCATATTTCTTAGATCAATTACTTACACCTAGTTAATTTTGCAGGGAAAATGTAGTAGTGATTTTTTATTTTGCATAATATTTCTATCATTTTTGGCCTGATTTTATCAGAGTAGAGCTGCAAGGCTAATGTAGTGGCGCGCCGCGGCGGCGCGGCGTCGACTACGGTCGATACGTCGCGACAGATTGAGCTCTTGCAGCGCAAATGTATTATAAAAACAAGACGTTATTTTTTATGATGATTTTATGACACTATACATTTTTATCGTAATTTCATACTTTAGTTATCAGTTAAAGGAGTAGACTACCCCTGCTGTGGGCGTAAGTCCACAATTATAACTGTTTATCGAGTCAATGAAATAACAGTACGTTTGATGCAAACAAATTGGAGTCAAATAATCAACCTTAAATAGACGTCAAATGCACATTACTGCTACTATACAATTTGTGGTAGTCTATCCGATAGAGTATCAATTTAATAGAATATGTTGAAAGTTAGTTTTCAGTTTTATAAGTTACCCTAGCACTTGAACAATTGTCCTGGCCGATTGCATTTTGTACACCAAATCTAAATCAGTCAACTCAAATGTGACTATCGATATTTTAAGAAGTAATAATTACTTGTTATAGTTTTGGGGGGAAAGGATTGTTAGTGATGCGGATTATCAGTCCCATTGCTAGCAATATACCCTATCAGGTCGACCTCCACGCGGTCCCCCTGGAAACTATCGTGCTGAATTCATCACGGTGGGCTAACTGACCTACCCTTTCATCCTCATCTGTTATCCCTCACTGGTGCCCCGCCAGCGTATACCGTTAGCGCAGGCGGGGTTACCATTTCATTATCATCCATTGAAAAAAATACTTGTTATAGTTGAGATTTGGGAATGAGGATCTATTGTGATAAATTGTTTATAAGCGAAAACTGATATTGACACTATCCTCTATCGTGTTGTCTGTAACTAATATGCTAATATTTTTGTTGTATAAGTAAATATATAATGCGCTGTGGTCATGTTCTTTGAATTAACAATTAATATTTTAATGTTTTTGTTTCAGTTATACAAAATCCAAAAGCACCACCCGGCACCAAGGACAGCGCTAAGAGCTTCAACTTTGATTTTTCATATTGGTCACACAACGTAAGTAATACTTATTTATTTATTTTGAGAACATACCATAATCCGTTTTTATACAAATTATAAAATATTTTTGCATGAGGGATTTTATCATGGGCGACACAGTATACTTATCCATGTTACTATTCACGTCTATAGACGACGGTTACCATTTTCCATTAGGTGGGCCGTCAGTTTGTTTCCCATTCTAATTTCCATAAATAACCTTGTGACGCTTTAATGTCTCAACCACTCCTAATGAAATGTACTTCAAAATCAACCATATTCTTTGTTTTGTTTCGCCTGTCTAATAAATTTTTGTCTTGGGAAAATTTAGAGAAATTAAATTCTTGGAGAAAAATGAAATGGGTGTGCAAAAATTTGGTTAATTTATTTGGGAGTTTTGGAAATTGTTAACTGTGTAAAGAGACTAGAAAGGGAACTTAATAGTCGAGAGGCGTCAGCGCCCCTCTTAAAGCATCACCAAAAGCCAATTGCCAACCCACCTGCCAAACGTGGCAACTACTGGCAAAACCCCTCTTATGGGGAGGCCTCTGTTTAGTAGTGGACAGTTTACGGCTGATATGTTGATGATGAAACTATGTATAGAGTCACACAGTATACAGAATAGTAGCTAGGATGGTAAAAGGCCTGCGTATTGGAGAGATTCTTTTTTGTGGCTCGTAACAGTCGTTTTTATATGTAGTGAAAACGGGCAAAAGTTTGGGATTGAGTATAATTTAAAATTATGTTCCACAAAAAAAAAAAAAACACCAACTTCAGTCGAGACAAGACCAGTTACTTTGATTTAATTGAGCCAATATTGATAAAATTTGTATGAAACCAATCCCATAGTATATTCTTTCAGACAACAAAAGACATTTTCTAAATTGGTTTATAATTGAAGAAGTTGTAAGATAATAAACATAAAAAATAAAAATTAAGAACCTCATTCTTTTTTAAAGTTGGTTGAAAAGTGAAGGAAATTACATCAGTTTAGAGATAAAAAATTGGGTAGAAGTGAAAAATCCTTTGACAGCGCTGATTTGTAAACTACAAAAACATAAAAGTTGCTTAGCTATATTCCACTCGTTGCAACACCGAGACCGAGAGAGTATTGTGTATAATTTTATTTCAAATGCTTCATTTTATAGTAAATATTTTTTCTATGATTCTAATAACTCGTCACTCGCGACTGTTATAATACAAAGAATATAAATAAATTATTTGATATTGTAGTTATGTTAGTAACTATTTCGATTATATTCCGATAGATAAATACAATATATCCGCCATTACAGTAAATGATAGCACAAATCGGGCAATAATATCGACAGCGCTTGATAATAAGATTTCCCGCCAATCGCCCAGCTGGCCCCGCCATTGCTTGTTTTGGACGACCGCCATATTGGTATTAGCCGCAACGCGATTATTGGATTATCAGTTTGCGGGGTCTATGGTTTCTGTGTTGTCCTGTTTACACTTGTTTACTAGTATGAATTTGTATATAGAGGTAGATCAAAATACTTGTTATTATCAAAGATTTGTTTAGATTATAGACGGGTTATGACGAGTATAGTAGGAACGAAGTACACACACGTTTTGTCACTAAGATCTCATATACCTATACATACAGCTCTATACAATAAATATCCGTAATAGTTTGCGATAAATTTATTACAATATATGTAAACTGCATTACACATTTGTCTGGTACCGGTAATTGCACAAAACGGTTTCAGGCTCTAATCGCGACAAACCACAAGCATGGCATATACCGCAGATTTTCAATTTCTCTGTTGATTAATTTTAAATTTTCGTCACAAACAAACAAAAGCAGGTTATTAGTGTATAATATTTTTGATGTCGGTTAAAAATGAATTATCGATATTGGAACATGCATGATCCTTTCAGAAATTCTTTTATTATTGACTGAAAGTAATTCTATTTTCAAAATTAGTAAATGTATATATATATATATATATATATATATATATATATATATATATATATATATATATATATATATATATATATATATACGTTTGGTATTTCGAAATCAGAGTTTGGTCATTTGTATCATGAAAATACATATAAAAAAATCAACAAGTGATATATATTAATTAATTTCAAGACCAAAAAGCTTTTACCTAATTTGCAATTACAACGAGAGAATTTCGAGAATTGTAGCAATTTATTCAAATTTATTCGGCGGCTTGCGTCGGCACGATGTGGGTAGACGAGATTTTAAGATATAATAACATAAATTTTGTGAACAATTATTATGTTTTGTAACAATTTATGTACATTGTAATGTATTTTGTGCGACTGGATCGATGGAAAGTTGTGACGCAGTATCTCCAATATGTAAGGGAATTTAATAGGATCAAATCAGGGGTTTCTGATACTTCGTTAATATAATGCTGGGGTTTTAAATATCTCATTACTAAAACATGAAATAATAATAATCAATATAAATCTCTGTCTGCTTCTATTAAGTGTGCCTTTACGGTGCCAATAGGTAGTAAATAGACTTTATTTTACATTATAATATTATTAAGTAAGGATTTACACAAATTCAATACAATAATTACAAATTTTCTTTCCAGCCAAATGATCCGGAATTCTCCTCCCAAATTATGGTCTACAAGGACATCGGAGAGGAGATGTTACAACATGCTTTCGATGGTGAGTAAATTTTATTTGCACTTAAATTTAAAAATAATAAGTTAAATAATTGATGACATTCGAAATCATTATTTCTTAAATCATTGCAAGAAACATATAAAGTTTCTAATAATTAATAATAATAAAGATAATGCAAATTTTTTCTCTTTCAATATAAATCATAATAATTGAAAATTGTACTTTATGCAACTGTATTTCATTTGAATTATCTAATTATCATTGTACATTTTTGTTTGTGGTACAATAAGGAATTAATGCTTCTACAAGTTACCTTAGTTGCACTAGTACTTGTATCCCGCCAAACGGCTATCTTCGCTGTAAAAGTGAACTTATTGATTGTGAACGCATAGGATGGTAGCGTAGGAGGAGTACCATGGGCGTGATATTTTATCTATTATACATATAAGCCCGTGATTCTATTTATTCTTATCTGTAGACTTGGCCACTTTCTACAAGATGGGCTGTCAGATTGTTTACCTTTCCTGTTTAAAAAAAAAAAAAAAAACTATGTGCAGTATTAAAACTGCCAATTGGTCTCGGCATAGAATGGGCCACCTCCTTCTTTTCCGTGGGTACCAATAAGGGGAAGCCTGTGTCCAGCAGTGGACAATTAACGGCTGATATGATGATGACGATGAGTGTTAGTGTTTGTTATTATATCCAAGGGTGAATTTTTATTGTTGCCTTTTTTTTTTTTATTTTAAACTTTCACAACAATATCTGATTCACGTAACAGCACAGACATTAACATGTAAGCAAAATAATGCGTTTATTACAGAGATTTTGTGATAGTAATGTGTTGGATTGCTTAAGTTACCAAGTTGTTAAGTAATAATGTTGTGGTTGACATGTTATGAGATATTTTACCGTAAGATTGCAAACGTCTGCATTGCCTGTTCACTTTCAAACTTAATATATGTGATTACATCTATGAGATTATTTTCTTCTTCCGCGTAGTAACTGAGTATGAATAGGTCTTAGATTATAAACATAGAGTCTCGAGCCTCAAAACGGGTCAATTTTTTGTCAGCTAATTGCCAAATTAGCTAACTCGTTTTTTTTTTATTAGTCTTCTATATACTTATGCATGACATGTATCTTGACGTATTATTTAATAAATAAAATGAGTTTTAACGCATTAAAAAGATGCAGAAATTATAAGACAAAATAAATATAGAAGTTATAAACGAAACACTTGTAATTATTTATCACGCTAAATTGTATAAAAAGGTTGACCCGTTTTTCTTGAAGCATTTTTATGGAGACACTCTATCTAAGGAATAGGTACAATGTGTCACTAATTCTGAGAGAGAAAATATCTCCAGTGTGTTCACTTGGCACTAATCCTGAGAGATAAATATCCTAAAATGTTCATAGAATCTCTTCTATTTATACTAGGAGATTAAAGCACAATACACACGCATGTGTACGAAGACTATTAATTACGAAAATAATTATCAAAATCGGATAGTACAACCAATCAAAAAATAAGTCTGATCAAAATTATAGGGAAAACCACCTTTTTGAAATAGTTTACAATTTCAATACCACTTGTATATATTGTACAATAATAATATTTATAATATAAAGTGAAATCCAAATAAAGAAATTACAATTGTTAAGATAATACACAGAATTTCTATTGCAACTGTACAGAATTACATTAATATTAACACGAGCCCGAATTTGTTACACGTCACTCTGGGTAACGGACTTTTCTCTGTTTGTTTAGGACACAAGGAAACTATTGTTTACGTCGTGTGAATATCGTATATTGTGTTGACAATGCAAATTTATTTAGAAAGGATAAAGAACGGTAGAAATAAGTACTTATCTAATATATAAAATTCTCGAGTCACGGTGTTTGTTACCAAACTCCTCTGAAACAGCTTTACCGATTTTCATGAAATTTTGTGTGCATATTCGGTAGGTCTGAGAATCGGCCAACATCTATTTTTCATACCCGTCAATGATAAGGGTGACCCACCCTAAAAAATTTTTTTTTATTGTTTTGACAATTTTTTTTTATTTTTATTTAAATATGATTTAGCATTGAAAAATATATACAACTTTAAATTTTTATCGTTTTACGATCAACCCCTGTATTTTAATCGCGATTTTTATATTTCGCAATAAGTGGTAAAACAACGTTTACGGGGTCAGCTAGTAGTATATAATATTCAAGTATTGATTTTCTATTTACAAATCTATTGTCTTTTACATAAAATGTTTATTTCCATATACGAAATAATTCTTTCTAATGTGTTTGAATTATTTTAACATTCAAATGAACCTTTATTTCTGTTCAGGGTACAATATTTGCATATTCGCATACGGCCAGACGGGTGCCGGCAAATCGTATACAATGATGGGTCGTGGCGAAGACGGGCAAGAAGGTATCATCCCACAAATATGCAAGGACCTGTTCCGCCGTATCCGACAGACTACCGCCGATGATCTCAAATACTCGGTAATATATCTTGCACTCATCGCTTTTAAGAATATGCACAGGTGAAGGATTCTTATCTTTTTATTTCACGAAAATGAATGCACCAGAATTTCTAGTGAGAGTTTAAGATCGATTTACTTACGTTAGTTACTACAGAAATGATCAAAATGAAATTAGTAACAAATTTGAAACATTCAATTAATTTTTATACTATTATTGGACTTCAGCAGACAGAGCAGTATGTCTTACGCTCAGGACAACTCTTAGATTGTTTACATTTTTAGTAGTTCTAAGAATTGAAACAAACCATAATATTGTACTTACAACGTAGCTGCGCCTTTAGTGGTTGGTTTTGAAAACTCAGATTTTTATACTAACATAAACTAGTCGTAACGTTAATTATTTTCAATCCACATGTCTAAACAGATATTTTAAAGAGGAAAAATTTTATAATTTTTATATTAAAAAGTACTTAACTGTTTTAAAAACTCTTTTACCTATATATAGAAAGCTACGTTATAAGCAAATAAGATGGACTGGTAAACTTAATGATCGAGGGATGGGCAGCAGCGTCTCACTTTAAACATCATCAAAGACTAACTATGGTTGTCAACTAGCCTGCAACTACTGGCAAAGACTCCTAATAGGGCTTATGTTCAGCAGTGGACAGTTAACGGCCGATATTTTGATGATGACGAAGATTGACTGAATTTTATATTAAAAAATAATTTACTTTCTATTCGTGCAAAGGGGTCGATTGCTAATTGTTAATTTTATATTTATTTTCTTAATATTACCTTGTTAATATTTATGTCCGCCAGGTGGAAGTGTCCTATATGGAGATATATTGCGAGCGTGTGCGTGACTTGCTCAATCCAAAGAACAAAGGTAACCTACGTGTCCGCGAACACCCCGCCCTCGGACCCTACGTGGAGGATCTGAGTAAACTCGCGGTCACTTCCTACCAGGATATATACGACCTTATTGATGAAGGCAATAAGGCTAGGTATGTAATTTACATATATTCAGTTAATTTATAATTAACACCGGGAAATATTATTTTGTACTTGGAATATCAAACACTGTCTTGTTGTTATATATCGCTTTTTCTATCCTCTCCACTACTAACAGCTCTAGTAATGTAGAGTTCTATGCAGTCACTATATAGACATTCATTAGCGTATTTAGAATTATCTTCTAGGAGGATCCTGGCCCCTAATCTGGATTAATCCTGGATACTTGCAAGGATACCAGTCAATTTTGGAATAGGTTTAAAATAAAATAAAGACATCTTATACCTCATAAAGATCGTATGCTTGATACTGGCCGCCATAAATAAAATTTCCAATTTAATTATTTTATTTCCTAGTTCTATAACAGATTGAATTGAAAAATGTTCAGCTACATGTGAGGATATTGATATCAGAGATATATTGCTATTATGTTACATTCATCATAAGGGCAACATATTTCTGGTTACTACATTAGGGATTACAGTCGTGAGCATATTTATTTATGTATATTTTGTACTTCTGATTGATATATTTAATGTTCTCGTATAATTTCTTATAGTTGTTAACACAAGACTTTATATTCGTATTTAAAAATGTTGTTTGTTTGTACCAGGACGGTAGCAGCTACCAACATGAACGAGACCTCGTCCCGTTCTCACGCCGTGTTCACCATATTCTTCACACAGCAGCGACACGACAAAACCACGGATCTCATGTCTGAAAAGGTACTTATTTGGTACTTCATCATCAGCCTCGTCATGAGCATCATTGTAACAATCACGTAATGGCCTACTACTTGGAATGATGATTGTTTGATCCTACAAAATTAAGATAGCTGGCCTTAATCTTAATTTTAAGAAGATATTACTCGTAGTTTACTATAGTTTAGTTTACGATGGATATGTGATTTGGTGTAAAATTTCTTTTAAAATTTTTCGTAATTATATTCATGTTTATTATTATAGGATTAAAGTTTTAAAAATTATGTATTTATATACCTATCTACTATAATAGTCTTTATTCACTTAAATTACACACACGTATTGTTTTAGTACCATAAATACTGTGTAAAAATAATAATATTAAAATTATCAGGGTCATACAGGGTCAACACATAGGGAATAAATGAAGGGTGAAATAATAAATGGTAATGAAAATGAAAATTAGATAATAGAAATAAAAAAATGTTTTTGTTATGTAAAAATTTTCCATAATATTTTAACAATATTCTATTTTCTGTCGCTTCATTTTAATTTATTGTTGACAGGTGTCAAAAATATCTCTGGTGGACTTGGCTGGCTCTGAGCGAGCCGACTCCACTGGTGCTAAGGGCACACGGCTAAAAGAGGGAGCCAACATCAACAAGTCCCTCACAACGCTCGGGAAGGTCATTTCAGCTTTAGCTGAAATCGTAAGTACTATTATTATAATTTGTAATTTTGGATGGTAAATTTGTTTGCACCTTTTACTTGACATCAAGGATCTAAATATATAGCCAAATAATGATAATAAAAACAAAAAATTATGGATTTTTTTATAACTCAGTTATTGACAATTCTTATTTCCAAAAGAGTTATTGCTTTCAACAGACTTTAATAAAAAGGAAGTTCTTATTTCGTTTTTTTTTTTTTTTTGGTTTGTTACCTTATAACTTCATTAATTATAAACCAATTTAGAAAATATTTTTTTGTATCTAAATCTATATCCTATATGTACTTACAGAATGTTCCCATAGAAATTATATCAAAATCGGTTCAGTGGTTTAGCTTTGTAATTAAAATAACTGGTTTTGTCACACAATAGAAGTTTTGTTTTGGTGAAACACGATTCAATTATTAAACATTTTGGGTTCATGCATAATAAGGCTTTTCGTGATGCAAAATCTTATTTTATTCTTCAATTTTAAGATCTTATTTACATAAACAAAATTATTTCTAATAAGGAAATTATCAAATTCTGCTAGTATGACTCGATTTGTTTGTGGAACACGATCAATTATGAATGTAACATTTCACAAATATAGTTATAAGTGACATTATGCGGTTTGTATTTAAAACCGATCAGATGGCAGTACTTATTATTTTTATTTATTACTCATTAGAAGACAAGGGAGTAGTTTTGTAAATGTTGTTAATTGTAATTCCTTAAATTTTATTATTGGTGAGTTAAGAACTTATGAGTATGCTTCAAGCTATAATAAGAACTTATAAGTATACTTCAAGTTATTATTATTAGCTAGATGTTGTATATCCTATTCATAAATTTACAAAAAATATTTGTAATAAATGTATTGTTTTAAATTACATACTAAGACAAAAAAATACATGTGGATACTATTTATTAATTCTTGATAATACATTTGCACAGTAAATAGCTTGGCTAATGAATAATATAGAAGTATTATTACAAGTAGATAAATATATTTTATGTATTATTTTCACTGCGTGCCTTTCTTTTGGAAATGTTTAGTCGGTAAGTTTTGTGTGTGTTCCTCAGTTTTTACGTTACAAAAACATACTATAATAGGTTACGGATTAGTGTAACAATTTGTAATCGGTTTTACAAAAAAAAAAAAATCGTAAAACGTTGTGTAAAAGATCAAAACTAATAGTTGTGGACTTGGATCGATAATATCTAGATGGAGTGTCTCTCCTTACGCTTTACCATAAGTCGCTGAACTTTTTTTTTTATTTTACTGTAAATACATTTGTATCATAGACCACACGTAAAGTTATGCGATCCGATAATATGTTTGAATAGGAGAAACAAAATGTTACAGTTACTACTTGCAGTACCGAAAAATGACGCGATTAGTTTAAAATAAAGTACCCCTCAGCTAAAGGTTGGCCGTTTTTTGTGAAGTTCTTTGACAGTCATTGCTTCCTGCTTAAAATAAGTATTAATGTACTTGCATTAAACAGTAAATATTAAAATATTAAACCACAGGCTTCGAAGAATAAAAAGTCCAAGAAAGCCGACTTCATTCCGTACCGTGACTCGGTGCTGACATGGCTGCTGCGCGAGAATTTGGGCGGGAACTCGAAGACCGCCATGATTGCGGCCATCTCGCCGGCAGACATCAATTTCGACGAGACGCTCAGCACGCTCAGGTATTAATAACTAATAATGTTACTCCATATCCGAGAATTGGTAATGTAAAAATTGCCCTTTGATAACGGTGTTTCATAAATACTTAACACAGATAAAATAATACCAAAGATGTATTTACAAAAATACAAAAGCATAATCTGTGAACTTGGCACTTTTATAATATTTTTTTAATTATTTATCGTATACGTAATAACTTCTTACAATTATTATTAAAAATATCTTAAGTAAATTATTTTCTAACTTTGAAAACTTAGTTTTCTCGTCTTATCATGAAGATATACAGGGTCAAAATGAGACCTTATTAGAGATTTTATTAGTCATAAGATTAACTAATTTTCCCTAAAAACTTATTCAAAACTAGCTGTTTTTCGCGTTTCCGTCGTTTTTCGTAAAATAAGTAGCCTATGTCCTTCCTCATGATTCAGTGGTTTTGATGTAACAGATAAATTTCCCTTCACTGCTCTGCTCCTATTGATCGTAGCGTGATGAAAAGTATACTATAACCTGCCCAGGAGTATGAAGAATAACTGTACCAAGTTTCGTTAAAATCCGTCGAGTAGTTTTTGTTTCTATAACGAACATACAGACAGACAGACAAAAATTTTACTGATTGCATTTTTGGTATCAGTATGTATCACTAATCACCCCCTGATAGTTATTTTGGAAATATATTTCATGTACAAAATTGACCTCGCTATAGATTTATTATAAGTATAGATAAGTTTTCAACTTTTCATACAAATCGCGCAATCATATGATCACTTTAATTATTAATGATTAAAAAGTTATAATTATTAAATATTTATATTATTCTTGTAGATATGCAGACCGCGCCAAACAGATCGTATGCAAAGCGGTCGTCAATGAAGACGCCAACGCTAAACTCATCCGCGAACTCAAAGAAGAGATACTCAAACTGCGCGAACTACTCAAGGCGGAAGGAATCGAAGTCGAAGAAGGTATGTTCTGTCGCCCTATACCTTTCTTGTGGCCTAGTACAATGTGTTACCCACGGTCGACATGTAAATTGACCACATTGGAGTTGTCGACGGAAATAATCGGTCTTTTAATTATCGGTTTTTGTAGAAAATTACGATTTTTATAATAGGATGCCGATAAATATTAATATAGGAACGATGGGGAAATAAAGGTAGATAAATAAATAAGAAAAGACAAAATTGATGAAAAGTTGGTCATGGGAAGTCCTTATAAACTGTAAATGCTTCCACTAAATTTATTTGACAAATCTTTTCAACACTGGTACAGAAATATCATGACTATGAACGGCGTTAAAAAAAAAATAAGAAAATAATTAAAAAATTGTAGGCATCTATTAAGGGGGATTACGTTGACACGGACTAGTTTAACGCCATATGTTTTTGTAATCTTATTAATATTATTACTATAAGTATATCTTATAGATATAGTATATAAGACAGTAAGTATTGTTTGTAGAAGTGTTGTGTAAATAGAAAATTAAATAGTTGTGTACATTAATAATATAATGTCAATTTACACGGTCGACCTCGGCGTAGTGTATACGTTGTGCAGTTTGTTATAGGATGTTTAGACGTCATGTGATCAGATAGAGCGTCTTGTAACTGTGTTAGTGGTCAACTTGCTAATCGAAACGCCACAATTGTATACTACTATAGTATTCTAATTGATACTAAATATGAACTTTTGTTTCAAAAACCCACACGAACTAGGACCAGACGGTAGAGTCGTTTATGAAAAGAAAGAACCGCCTATCAGTAAGTAAAGTTATGAAGAGGCTTACGCATTTTGCATCTGTACACCCCACCTGTACGCTTGGCCTCCATCTTGATTTAGGGTTGCCAGACACAAAAAAAAATTAAAACAATTTATGTCTGAACATTTGGAACTTTCTCTGGCAACCCGTCATATAAACGAAAAAAAAAGCAATTTATTTTGCACCCTTGTCCAGCTTGTGGCGTTCGTAGGCATATAGATATATATTATTTATATATATCGTAATCACTTCACTATAAAGTACATATAAAAATATGTAAAACGGAGTGTACTTTTATTTGTATATGCGCTTGTTTTATTGGTGTTGGTACACTGTATACTATAAAAGAATATTACTATATTCACAAACTGCATACATAATAATATTTATCGCTCTGTGTAATACAACTAAATTTAAACTTTACCAAGAGTGCCAAAGTGCAATTTGTAAATATCTATTACGTAAGATTATATAATATTGTGTAAAATTGTGATGTTTGGATCTTTTTATTATGTTTGACGCTCATGGTAAATATTCTGAGCATCTCAGTATTTTTTTTTATACTACATCAATATATAGAGTATTTTACTAGTGAAATAGCGAGTATTTTTCCCAAAGAAACATGGGTTGATAAATAAATTTTAAAAAAAATCAGCCCGTTCGTTCAGCTTTTAAATTATGAACGTTATGTACGGTCAACTGGTTTTTTTTTTTTTTCATTTTTCGAAACATGTATATCTTTTTCAAAACATATTTCTTTGTGGAAAATATTCAATTTCGCTGATAGAAAGGTCTCTTAAAGAGATGCTAATAATTTCTGTTTATTCCTATATACATATACATTACAAGTTTTAATTAGTATTATTAAAAAAAATATTAATAACTATTTTGATATGCTCAGTTGTGTTATGCGGGTATGACATTTGCCGTTCGCGTCCATTATTTGATGGGGTTATTGGCAAAAGAAAAAATAAGACTTGAAAATATTGAATTGGAGAAGAAAAAATTTCGAATAAATAGTGAAACAAAAGGAAAGTTTAATATTAACTCAGCTAAGGTCGCGGACGGATAGCTTTGTTTTTTATGCAGTAAGAAACAAAGGCTGCCTAGCTTCAACAGTCATGCATGTTTTTCTTATATCTGTGTCGAATTTATTTTTAATGTCAGTATGAATTAGCTTCTTGTATATTTGTCATAATATATTATATATACATTAGAAAGGGTTTGGTGGTGATTGGGTATATTTTATGATATCTTTGCAAATTATAGCATTATAGTACTGCACTATGGTAATCATTATTATAATTACCGCAATAACAGTGGTGTGGGTAATAAATAATAGGAAATAGAGTATTTTATCATTGTCAGGTATACGTGGTGTCTCTACACTCTTGTCTTGTGGTGAATGTGTCATATGTCATTTAATAATGAATGTCACACAATGATATATCTATGCATATAATACAAGTGCACTTTGTTCCGTAAAAAAGTTACTTTATTAGTGAATACACCACACATGTATACACACACACATAACAATGACCAATGAGATGTTGTATTATATTCATATTAAAAATATTTGAATTTAGAACTCGGAATAATCTTGAAATATTGAGTTTGCAATACTAATAGATATTGAGTTTAACAATATTTTTTTTTGCTTCGAAAACAGAAATAGCAGTTTTAGACATATTTGGAAGATTTTATGTGGTCCGTGTAGAAAATTAAATGTCGAAAAACATTGTCTGGTACGGAATTCAACGTTTTAAATGTAATCGCTGCTAATACTATTAGTATTAATGTATAGACAAAATAGACCTCACTATAGTATAGAACGTAACTAGGTTTTACCCGTGACTTCATCCGCGTGACCGGGATTCGTTGATTGGTCGAGATTAAAAGTAAATATGTCCATTCAGTATACTCCATTCTAAAAACAATTGTAATAAATACTACTTCTTGACGGTTGATTGAGTGCAAACGAACTTGCATGTTTATATTTAAAAGGATGCAAAGCAGAGAATAACTGTACAAATATAATAACTGGTATGAAGTTACAGAAAACAACACTAAACATATATTACATTAGGATGTATGATATGAAGTATATATATATAAATTCAATTATTACATAAACAACAAATAACACTATACTCACATTAAGATATCTACGATTGGTCAAATCTGTATTATAGCTTGACTGTGTCTAATAAAACAATTAACTGTTTGGTACAGCAGAGGCGTCGTCGCCGGTACGCAAGAAGAGCGAGGCTGAAGTACTCTCGCCGAAGCTGTCGCGGGCGGCCACCACCATAGCCGAGGAGGCGGTCGACCAGCTGCAGGCCTCTGAGAAACTTATTGCTGGTACTTGATGGGTTCTATACTGGTGGTAGCTATATAAAAACAATCTATTTACAATGTAGTTTTTCATGCTAAATACTGTGTATGTGGTAAATTGCTTGAAGATTGTTTTTAATCGGCTTCACAGAAATATTAGGTTCTCAATTTGTTTTATTTATATGATTGCTACCGCATAACTCAGTCAATTAGAAACCGATTTAAAAAAATCCTTTTTTACCTTTTAGATTGGTCTCACATAGAAGTTTTATCAAAATCGGTTCAGTACTTAAAACAACTGTTTACGATTGAACTGGTATTTTTTATGAAAATTATTTATGTTAAGGAGTTAAAGCGGTAAAAGGTAACAAATAATAACTAGCGTTACGCAATCATGTCATGTGAGTTGAATACAGGGCAATGAACATATTGGGTATACAAAAACCTAGACCCGGGTTAATTTACAAAGCTTCGTTTTCTAAATTGACCTTACTGAGAGAACGCGGATCCAAGACTTATTCCAGTAAATCATATCTGCCACTGCACTCTGGCAATTTCTTAGAACTTGGATAAATAATACACGCATATAAAGAATTAATGAGTAAAAAGTATAGGAAGAATTATGCGAGGAGAGGAGAGAATGACGATCAACATAAATATGAAAACATAAAATATTAAGTTTAGTATGAAATAAATAAATAAATTAAATGTAAATACGTCATTGCTCTATCGCGTCCTACATTTCATCATAGTCGTAGAATACTGACGGATCTTTATGTGTAATCTTTGTCAGATCCGTCAGTATTCTACGACTATGACGATTTGTCTGCATTCTTAATAATATAAAAAAATTGTAATTAGACGATGTTTGTAGATGAAAGATTTAAAAGAAATATAAGGGATTTTACTAAGACAATACGTGCCAAATAATAATTTTTGAAATATTATCTGTCTGTCTACTGAATGTTTATACTGGATATACTGAATATTAAATTGGATACTTTTTTTTTAATATAGTGTGTTCTTAAACGCCTAATGTAAAATCTAGTGTATGTTTTATCTACAAGTGGTTTATTTCACTGTTTTTTTTTTTTTATTTTGTAAATACATGCGTAAAAAGTAGCAGGCAAAGGTTAGTTTACAATATTAGCAGTTTGTATCAGTAAGGATTAATCTTTCGATCAGAACTGAACGAGACATGGGAGGAAAAGTTAAAGCGTACAGAGCAAATCCGCGTGCAACGCGAAGCCGTCTTCGCTGAGATGGGAGTCGCCGTGAAAGAAGGTATCACCGTGGGAGTCTACTCCCCAAAGAAGACGCCTCATCTCGTCAACCTGAACGAAGATCCTAATCTATCCGAATGTCTCATCTACTACATCAAGGATGGTAAGTTTGTTAAAAAGTAGCCTACGGGTAACTCAAAATGTGTTATGCAACTCGAAGCGGCAAAGAAGTTGACCTTATACCTGATGGAAAGGCATGCATGGCCTATAGACATGAACTGAATGCCCAAATGATTTATAATTAAAACAATATCATATGCAACAAGTTTCATTAAAACCTGATTGGTCATTTTAGCGCTGTAAAAAGTATTCATACTGGTTACTAATTAAAAGTTTGTGTGGTTTGTTCATTATGTGATAAGAACGCACAACGCGCGCGTAATACCTCTGGTATTGCAGGTGTTCATAGGCTACGGTAACCGCCTACCATCAGGTGGGCCGTATGCTTGTTTGCCACCTCAGTGGTATAAAAAAAAAGAAAAAAAGATCACTGGATCTATTATGACGTAAACGCTGTAAATTTAAATAAAAAAAAAATAAACAAAAAAAAATCGAATCTAAAAATTTTGAATTTTATTCAATCACACAATCATTATGCACTATTATTATTATTATCATGCATTATTTTTTGTAATTTTTTATACTTTTAATAGTCGATTTCGAATTGTTATATCGACGACGATATAATTACAGAATAATTGCAACTCAGGAACTGTGTGATTTATAATATGCCTATAACTTAATAGGTGTAACTCGACTGGGCACCTCCGAGGCGAACGTGCCACAAGACATCCAGCTGTCCGGTTCACACATCCTCAGTGAGCATTGTATCTTCGAGAACACTGACGGCGTTATCTGCCTCATCCCGCACCGTGGCGCCCTCGTCTATGTCAACGGACGAGAGGTAAAGTGATTTTTTTATACATCTCGTCTTTTAAATATTTGTGTATGTATTCGAAATAAGAACTAAACATTATAATTAGAGTTTATGCTACTACTATTTGAAATGATAAATAAAGTGACGGCCACTCTGATGGAAAGTGATAACAGTCGTCGCTTAGTGTTCATGTATTAAGGAAAATAATCCTTTTAATAATATATAGGGCCAAATTAAAAATACCCGTAACCGGCGAGCGTGTATGACAAGATTGATGAATGTGGAAGAAGCGAAAGAGGTCTGTTTGAATCGAAGCATTTGGCGTTCCATTGTTTCTGCCTACCCTAATGGGAGACAGGTGTGACAGATATGTATGTATGTATGTATGTATGTATTTATTATTGAAAAGTCGTTATTAGTAAGAAATATATTGAGTACAGAAGTCGTAATTGGAAGGCATTTATTTCGGGAATTATAACATATAGGTATATTAATATAAGTGTATTAGATATTTAGCTTATTAGCTTATTTAATAACATATACAGCGTCAGAGGAGTTCTTCTCTAGAAATCTGTCGGATTCTAGAATAAGGGCATACGGGTATGCGACCCCGGCCTCCCGAGCCGCTGAAGTGTCCCTCCCTTTCCTTTCCCACATAAATCCTTTATTCCTTTTAATTAAAAAAATTCCTTTACGCATTTCCAACGTTCCTTTTTTCTTCAATTCTTTCCTTCATACCGTAGGTAGCGGAAACCACCAACAAATGCATTCCCAAAGAGGGTTGACGTCAGGTCGTAAAACTATAGTCCAAATATTTTTGTGATAAAACCATATTACACCGACCCCAAATAATAATTCGGATAAGGGTAGGAAGATGATGATGATTTAATAACATATTCATCAAGAGTATATGTATAGATTCAACGTGAATGAGAATAAAGTTGATACTAGACTAGGCAGTAAAAATTTTCCTGTACATCATCATGCGAAATTGCAATTGTATAATATAACCCGTCGATGTAAACAGGCTATTCTGTTAACATAACACCCTCAACTCAAGAGGTATATTAAACTGCAGGTTATGCAAAGCAAATTCTACTGTGATTCGTGTTAGGCAGGACTTTTAACCTCTAGGTTGTATTTAATCAATATTTATATTTGTAGGTCGCCGAGCCAATAATTCTGAAGACCGGCTCCCGTGTGATCCTGGGCAAAAACCACGTGTTCCGTTTCACCCACCCTGGTCAACGCCATGAGGAGGCCGTGTCCAACAAGGAACTCACTGACACTCCGGGCACTGGCGAGATCGAAGGTATGACGCGATGTTTATATTAAATTCATCTTCCATAATTGTCCGTTTTCTAGATTATTTCTCTGTGTAACTACGAATAAAGTAAAAGTAAAGGTTTAAAAGGTTGTAAGGTAGTAAAGGTTTTACGCCTTATTAGTGATGACAAATGATAGTACCTATTTTGTTTGTCAATATACATATATGGTATATATGTATTTAAATATACTGCAAAAAGTTGTTTAGTTCTTTTATTTACTGAAAAGTTTTAGGCTCTTTATAAAGTGGTACTATTATTTATTTTGGTGCTCATGGTATCCTCAAACATGACTGCTCCTAATGGATTAAGACGTTATATTATTTAAATCAGAGAATGTTTTAAAAAATAAGATTTTCCAAAGCAATCTTTCATTCCAAACTGGAAAACATATATTGCTACTTCATGGTACTAATATACCCAAGCAAGATTCACAAAATTCCCCTACCAGTAATATCAGAATTAACATCAATAAATTTTCTTTATTTAGCAAGCAACACCGAAAATGTGGACTGGGACTTCGCTCAATGCGAACTGCTAGAAAAACAGGGTATTGATCTGAAAGCTGAAATGCAGAAGCGGCTCCTTGCCCTCGAGGAACAGTTCCGCAGAGAGAAGGAACACGCTGATCAGCAGTTTGAGGAGCAGCGAAAGGTAAAAAAAAATATTCAATATCTTAGTGGAAAGATAAAGCCATAGGTAGACTTATAAGTTTAAGTGAAACGACATTAAATCGCATATTTTTTCACATTAAACATCCTACTTTTATTACAATAAATCTTGTTTTTTTTTCACATTCATATTTTGTTCTATATTACACTTCATACTTTTATGACATTGAATCCTGCTCTATTTTCTGCATTCACATTTTGTTCCACATTAAACCTCATACTTTTATTACATTGAATCCTGTTTTCGTATCCATGTTTTGTTTTACGTTAAATATATATTTTTTACCATTAAATTTTAAATCTCAATTTTTATCTTTTTTTTTTTAATTACATGTGATGATTTTTTCTACTTTAAATCTCATACTTTTAAATTTTTACATATATTTTTTATTTTTATATATCATTTGGTTCAAAGACATTTGGATGTTTGTAGAACTATGAGGCCCGTATCGACGCCCTACAACGTCAAGTAGAGGAGCAGAGTGTCACCATGTCAATGTACAGCTCCTACACACCAGAAGACTTCCATAACGACGAGGACATATTCGGTAAGATACGTTTACTATTACTTTGAATCTTCTTCACATAATAATAAATCTCAAAATATTTTTATTCAAAATATGAACGCTTATGACCATGAATGGCCATGAAGATATGGTTTAAGGTGTTATATTCGAACTGAAACAATGCCTGTTAAAAAACCACGTTAAAGATGTTTTAGCTACGACCTCGTATAAAACTACCGGAATTTTAATTACTCCCTACAGTTACTTGATACCAAATCTCTTTTAGAGATAAGCTCGCCCTTGTGAATTGTTAATTATTATTCTGATGCAATACCTTTTTGTGTATAATAAAGAACAAAGAAAAAAAGATTAATTTAGAGTTCTTTACTGTTGTTTTATTTTTAATGGTTTAATAGCCCCACCTGCGCTATTGGCTTACGCTGGTAGATTGCCAGTGAGGGATGATAGGCGAGGATACAGTCAAATCAGTAGGCCCACCGTGATGAATTTACCAGGAATTAATCACAACAGATTTCAGGGGAAAGATTTGATTGCTATTTGAGTCGTTTCGCAGGTCATATAAAGCCTTCATCCAAATACCACGTCAGTGTCCTTCGTATATAAATAGTAATGATGCTCCAAAAACTTAAACATGAAAGGAGGATATCTTGACATGCATCACACCAAATTGTTTATAATTATTCCTCTCCATCCAAATGCCTGCAAGAGATCGCTCTTAGCGATAAGGTTACCCATTGTTTTCTCATTGTGATTATTTCTTGTAATTATTTATATTTATAATAAATTTACTATTGTAAACCTTTGGAGGAAACAATAAAGAGTATCTATCTTGACATGAGTAACAGTATGAGAAAGGAGGAGAGAGGGGATTCGTAAATATCGAATGGACCGAACAAGGCATAAATGCTAGTTATGGGCAAATAACAAATACTCATTACTGCCCCTATTTTCCCTAGTTGTTCCTGATAATTTCACATGGTGACTATACGTTTCCGGTTTGCTTTAGTGAATCCTCTGTTTGAGACAGAGTGTTGGTCGGCGCGCGAAGTGGGACTGGCCGCGTGGGCGTTCCGCAAGTGGAAGTATCACCAGTTCACATCGCTCCGGGACGACCTCTGGGGGAACGCTATATTCCTTAAGGTTAGTTCGTGCTCAATCACTTTTTTTTTTGTTACTTCTTTATTGCTTTTAAATTAGATATAACTTTTTATTTAAAACTACAAACTTAATGTTAAAACTTTTCTTTTATTGATCTTTCTACCCGTGTCCACTTTAATTACTGTATTATATACCTCGTTGTACCTTACTACTGGACACAATACTCTTTCTATATAAGAAGGATATTACCTTACTATTACTTCGCTGGCGTATTGATATATGTATGATCTATATGATATATGTATGACAAGATATATGAATAGTTACTGTATTCACATATAAAATGGCCGAAAAAAAACTGCGCGTGACGCTACATGTCCTGCAATGATGTCTCAGTGTTATAATTAATTATTTCTCTTCCTCCCGCACACAGGAAGCCAACGCGATCTCCGTAGAGCTGCGCAAGAAGGTGCAATTCCAGTTCACCCTGCTGACCGACACGCCGTACTCGCCGCTGCCGGCGGAGCTGGCGCCTCGCGACGACGCCGACGATGAGTACCGACCCTGCCCGCCTACCGTCGTCGCCGTCGAGGTCACCGACACCAAAAATGGCGCTACGCATTACTGGACACTCGAGAAGCTACGGTGAGTACTTGCACTGTATGTTCATTGAGCACATATTGGTATAACGTATTAAAATTATGTTTAGTGTCCTCCATATGCGTGGTGACACGTTGAATTGCGTGTATGAGGCAAGGATTTATTCTAATTAGCTAGGATTTGGGTGTTCTGATCTGTGATCCCAGATTTTCGTTACCTATTTTCTTCGAACAGCAGATTATTACCGTAAAGGGTGAAAATGTTTGTAATAAACAAAGAAATTAAAAAAATAGAATATACTTGTATATTTTTTAATGAAATCAGTTTTAATTTTTTAAATATAGAGAGAAAAAAGAACAATAGAAAGAGATAGAAGACCGACTATTTGGTATTCATTATTAAGGATTCATATACTAATAGACAATTATTTTAAATAGCGTGTATTTCCTTTTGTATTTTATTTAGTTACGTTAAAATATGAGAATAATATGACGTCACTCTCATAATTTTTATTACTTTTCCTTTGGTTGCGTTTTGTTCTGTTTTATGATTATTATATATTTATTTATTATTGATGTCAATCGTTTATCCCATTATGTTAATTTTTTAATCTAAACCTATTTAGCTGGTGCCATGTTGGCTATATTACCTCATATTCGTAATTGCAGATATATATGTATTTAGATATAATACTAAATATATTATTTATACTTGTAAATATATGTATAAATATGTACATTACATAATTTTAGGTAAGTAGAATTTCCTGTTAGATTAAATGTATGATTAGAGATGTGAAACCTCCCAATAACGCTTGTTTATGTTGCCGCTTCTAACTTTAATTTTGTCATTATTAAATGCCTTTTAAATTAAAATATATATATAATATTTATAACAGTTTCTAGTTATAGTAGACGAATGCCAGTGACTACATTCGTGTGAATTTATTTTATTATTACCTACCTAAGTTAATTTAGATTTAAAGTTAGTCTGTGACTACGTTCTAAAAGTATTAGTTCGCGAACGTCAACCAATTGTGATTCCTGTTTTGTGGTACGTTGTATGGAGTCTTAAAATGTTATTGGATTTATGTTTTTTTTTTCTTAATACAAATTGATAACAACAAAAAATCTACAAACTCGTGATCCTTGGTTTAAACGTGGATTATAATGATATTTAAACTCATCAATTCTCTCAAATATTCTCATTCATGTGCTCGAAATCATAATTCGTATGAGAGGACATGTGTTGCCATCTATAACAGGAAATAAATTTAAAAAACAACTACGCTGTTTTTAAAAATTAAATAGAAGAATAAAAATAGGTTGAAGTTGAAAAAAAAAAACTAGCATAAAACAGTATGAAAGTCGCAAGAATAAGGGCTTTTATTGAGTTCGAAATTAGTTAGGATTCTTCGTATTTAATAGGTGTGAGTAAAGCCGATACAAATAATTACAAAAGTCGGAAGGGTTATATGATCGAGGCGCAGTGTAAGGTATGGGTAGCATGTCCTCTCAGCAAAGCGGAGTGCCGAGGCGCAGGGCAGCAGGGGCTGGGCTACATGGCGATGTATTGTCCGTAGCCACCGGCTGGAGCTAATGCGTCAGATTTACAACATGAACGAGAGCGCGTACGCGGAGGAAGAGGAGCAGCCACCGCTGGTGCTGGCGCCGCCGCCCGCTGTCGCCTCCGCCTCCGCCTCCGCGACCTCCGCCGCCGCCGCGGCTCAGTCGCCCGACATACTGCAGTGTATTTCCGCGTGCGCGCAGCAGACGCGCTTGTCGCTAGCCAACCTGCTGCCGTCGAGGTTTGTTGTCGCCTCGCCTCGTCTCGCCTCGTTTCGCCTCGTCTCGCCTCGCCTCGCCTCGCTTCGCGCAAGGAGAAACAAAGCAGCGGCTGTTTTAACATTTTAAAATTGGAATACCATTCTTTTTTAAATCGTCGAGTATTTTTTTTAACATAGGCATTAATTCTAAATTTAAATTGATTTGGTTATAAAAAAATCTATATAATGTTTTTTGACCAGTTACTGAACTTAGTAACTGTTTTGTTTCACCTTCGATACATCTACACCACGTAAATGTCAGGCTTAATTGAAGAATCCGTTATCGTTCATCGTATGAACTTTCCACATGTAGGATCAGCGAGATTGCTAACTCATTTCTACACCGATATATGGATGTTTTTATAGATCGTATAGCCTGTATTGCACATATTATGTTGGTTGGTTGTGTGAGCATAACACAAGATTTGCTAGCTTTGCAATCGTACTGTAAAAATATGCTGCATAATTAATTTCAATACACGAAACAGACATAGCCTATGTATGCTCATATAGTATTTGATTGATATATCTTTATTTTTTCCTTCCTTTTAATTTATATTTTACGGCATTCGTGAATCCTATATCACGACATATTCGATACGTCTCAGACAAAAAAGAACAAATAGAGTTAGAACTACGTGTTTGTCCCCCTACTCGAATTGTAACTAGTTTAACATAGCACTTGACTGATAATTTACACAATTTGTATTTTTTTATTTGCTCCGTACTGTAGACCTTTGCACATTTTAATTTTAATTTAATTCTATATTACACATCAAATGGGTCATATTGACCTTACACTGTGTAATATTAATTAATTTAGTAAATGTACGATATCCAGCAATAAACAGACCCTTAGATAAATAGTATTTAGATTTTGTTAGTGTTTCCTAAAATTTTTAAATATAAATACCCAATAACTTGTTTGACGTAGTTTGTTACGTAGTTGAATGGGAATCTCAGTAATCAAGTGTATAATTTTTATGAGTTCTAAATTTCAATAGACTGTGGATAAATTCTAATGTTTAGAAAGTATTAGAATTTTTAAAATTTAAACGTGGCAATGGTACATGATACCTAATGATTTAGTAAACGTAGACTAGAGCAAATTAAGGATATATCTGCAAATATATATTTCATGTTTATATTTTGTTAATAATTTATGCTTGCAGTGTGCTGAAGCTTTATATGGGATAAAATACAATGTATATTACAAGGTTATAATAATACATAATTCAATATTAATAATAGTCATGAAGATTAAACGTTACTGAAGGAATATATTTTTATATTTTTTTAGTCTCTCATGTAAATTGATTACGTAGATAATCACGATTTATATGATACTTATAATTTTCATATATCTACCTAATGTTTTACGTAGAACGTTGTTCGGATTTGTGAATACTATCGCTGGATTTCATATTGTTATACCTTATCACTTATACATTGTATTCACAATATGTTGATGTGCATTTAAATTATAATAACTAAATGGCTAAACGTGTATTTGTATATTATATAATAATTATGAACAAATTTTTCACGTTGTTAATCCATTATGTAATTTATGTCGATTATTTATCAGAAAATTTTAATATCGTAAGATTTGATGCCGTTGGCCCAAAGTCGCACTTTGTTCATTGATATCACACACATTTCTCCTACGTGTATACAGTATATGATCGGTGCAGCTCAGTCTGATGATTGTATCATTATTGATGATTGACTCATCAAGTAACTCCTATACTGTAGAACTGTTCACCTGAGCTGTGACTGACACTATTTTTACATTGTAGGAGAATTGTGACTTATTATTTTACAACGTAGAACTGTATCAGTGTAGAAAAAGTGTATCTTTTGTTCTCCACACTTGTGTAAATGAATATAAATCTTCGAAAGCTAATCAATACTGTGAAGTCATTTATTAAGCTTTCGAACGTTTTGAAATTGCACACCGTTGTCATGGTGACAATCTGTATATTATTAACCAGCGGGAGACTTTGTACAAAAGTCGATTGCTTGACTACCTCTGTCCCATTCGTGTTTCAACCGTGAAGCAGTTGTGTTTGCATGGTTGTGTATCGGTTTGAAGGGTGGGATATGGCGTGAATTTACTGGGTACAGAGGAATAACACCTGAGTTTTCAGGAATGGCAACGCATGGGGGGTATCATGGGCGAAACAGTATACTCTGTTATGTCCATGGTACTGCTCATGTCTATAGGTGACGGTTACCACTTTCCATCAGATGGGCCGTCAGCTTGTTTGCCATTCCTTATCATATATTTTTTTATACAACTTATTGTATAAAAAAATATTATTAATGTTTTATTTATATTTATTGTATAGTTAATACATGTATTATGTTTTTATCTATTGTTAGACGGATCAATTGAGAATGTCGATGCCTTTCTACCTTCCTTATGTAGTTCCATTTACCCTCGCACACTTTTAAGTTATTCAAACATTTATACAGAATATGTATAATATAATTGTACGTAATATATATATATTGATATCTGAATTATTTCTCTTTGTGGCAGGCAACGTCTGGAGCTGATGCGCGAGATGTATCACAACGAGGCCGAGCTGTCGCCGACATCCCCCGACCACAACATCGAGTCGGTGACCGGCGGTGACCCCTTCTATGATAGATTCCCATGGTTCCGTATGGTTGGACGGTGAGTTGAGCACACATTAATATGTATATACTATATTCTATGATGCCGTGGGCACCCGGCATAGAATGGGCCACCCCTTCGTTTTCCGTGGGTGTCGTAGGAGACGGCTAAGGAAACTTAATAGTCGAGGGATGGGCAGCAGCGTCCAAACATCACCAAAGGCTGCGGTTGTCAAATCATCTGCCAAACGTGGAAATTACTGACAAATCTCCCTTTTTGGGGGTGGCCTATGTTTAGCAGTATACGACTTGTATGATGATAATAATATTCAATGATGATCATAGTGCTGTTACAAGTACATAGGCGATGATTGGCATTTTCCATCATGTGGACTGTCAGTTTCTTTGCCATTTTAAAAAGACGAAGATGCTCATTCTGTTTTTTGGCGATTATAGTAATGTAGCGGTTTAATACACCGCCTTACCTTCTGGTGGTCGCGCGTTCAATCCCCGTACAATGTAAACATTTGTATTCATCAGTATATATGATGGTCTGAGTGTTTTTTTTTTTTTAAATCTACCAGTTGCTTAAATTGAATATTTAAATATTTTTTTTTGGTACTATAATAACTCAAGCTTTCCTTAGTTTGAGACTAGAGCTACGTTATTACATAGTATTAATCCTGTAAATACCTGAAGTTTCAAATTTGATACCGAGGCTTGCATTGTTTCATTGTTAAATAAATTTAAATATTTTGATTACCGTAATGCCTAAATTATCAAAAATGTTACCAAATGTTTTTTCAAAATAAATATATAAAAATATTGTTTTGATTTTTTTACTATTTTTCCCCATTAGCAAACACAGTAAAGGATACACTTATATATTTTTTAAATTGATTTAAATAATCAGGCTTTTAAGGGTTAAGTTCAATAGTTATTTATCCATATAATTTACATTCTCGTTCAGGAGCTTCGTGTACCTGTCGAACCTGCTGTACCCGGTTCCACTCATTCACAAGGTGGCTATAGTGAACGAGAAAGGAGACGTGAAAGGCTACCTCCGCGTGGCCGTGCAGGCGGTCATCGACGCTGAGAAAAGTAAGTCATTCTATTCTATAGTGACTATGCGAAAAGAGTTGTGAAAGAAAAACTTATGGACGGCTTTGAAAACAAGAAATAAATAAACCAAGAAATAAATAATTGTTTTTTTTATTAAGACATTTATTGACCGGGATAAAAAGCCTAGTGTGCTCTATCGCTCTATTGCTCTATACCGCTCTAATGAGCTCTATCTATCTATATATATATATATATATATATATATATATATATATATATATATATATATATATATATATATATATATATATATAATGTTTTTGGAGTTAGATGTCTAAAGCGTCTATAATAAAGTTCATATTGGTTGGTTAAGCCGTATAGGCGCTATGGGAACAAATAAAATCACTTTCACATTTATAATATTAGAAAGGAGTAAAGATGCTAAAGTGTGTTTGTTATGTATTGTTATAATTACCATAAATTTTGGTAAACATATACTGAATGGAGTGGACTTTGAGCTGGTCATAATGAAATGGTAACCCCGCCTGCGCTATCGGTATACGCTAGCGGGGCACCAGTGAGGGATGATAAGTGAAGATGAAAGCAGGTCAATTAGCCCATCATGATAAATTCCACTAGAATTAACCACGATGGTTTCCAGGGGGAACCGCGTGGAGGTCGACTTGATAGAGTGTATTGCTAGCAATGGGTTCATTAGACCCCATTACTAACAATCCCTTTCCCCCGAATGGAGTGGACTAGGGTTGACTACTTTTTATCCCGATCAGTTAATATTCATGTCACTCGGACGAAGTCGCGGGTAAATGCTAGTAACATATAGTCTAAAACAGTACAATAGTCCCTATTATTAACAATCGCATGGGGGGTATCATGGGCTAAACAGTATACTCTGTTATGTCCATGGTACTGCTCATACTCATGTACAACTTGTTTGCCATTCTAAGTAGTATAAAAAAAAAAAACTCTTTCCTTCTCTAATGGAATGAGAGATAAATATTGGTTACGTGACTTTACCTGATTTTGTTTCCCGTACAGATAATGCAGAATTCGCTGCCGGCGTGAAGCAGTCGGCGAAGATTTCCTTCGACGACGACGTGGCGCCGACTCGCTCGCGGCTCAAGGCACTCACCAATGTCGAGAAGAACAACGCGATCAACCTGGAGGATCGTATCGCCGATCAACAGGACTCCAACATCAAAATCGAAGGTTCTAATAAATTCTCTCTATATATGTTATATCTTTAGGCTGCCTAGAGTTTGAAATTAATTTTATATATATAGTAGTCCAAATGCCCATAATGACATAACAACGTCTAAACTAATATTGATTTTTTGTTTGCAATGTTAATAAAAAAGTCTTTTAAAAATAGAACTTTGTACAAAAATTTTTGTTTGTAATGTTTACCGTGAAGCAGTTGTGTTTGCATCTCGGTTTGAAAATGGTGTGAATTTACTGGGTACAGAGGAATAACACCTGAGTTTTGGCAACTATAAAAGGCTATGTCCAATATCATGGGCGACAGTTAACAGGTGGACTGTCAGCTTGTTTGCCATTAAAGTTGTATAAAAAAAAAAAAAAACTATAAAAGCCAATTTCAGCGAGTAACGTGGGCTATATTTATTCTTAAAGAATTCGTACAAAGCCGGGCCTATCAGTTAATACATTATAAAGGGCGGTGAAATAACATATAGATTTCTACTTTGAAACATATTTAATTAAATCAAATAATATTTTATTAGTAGGAATTTTACAATAGAACGTATGTAATAATGTTTGGTTTTTAACAATATTTTCTATATTTTTTAAAAGTTACGGCTCTGGCACCTTATTATACTACGGATTGTTTGTAGTTTTGTAAATGTCGTGATACTATATCGTTGCGTTGGTTCGGTGGCGACAGAGCTGGCGGTGGGCGAGTGCGACGCAGACAGTGGGCGCGGTGACAGCTCATTGGCATCTGAGCTGAAGGAAGAGGAACTGCCTGAGCACCTGGCGCCGGGCCGCGAGTTCACCTTCCGCGTCACCGTGCTGCAGGCGCACAGCATCTCCACCGACTACGCGGACGTCTTCTGCCAGTTCAAGTTAGTATAACGCACACGTTCTGAAGTGAAACATTTGTGGGTGGCTTATATAAAATATTTTAATTTATAGTAAAAGCAACAATATTCCATTTTATATGTTATATTGGTAATAATATATGTTAAAATAGTCAATTAAATATACCATATACAGAATGAAATCGAAATCCTTAGTGGCACGCAGAAATAGGAATTTAATTAATAAATTTAATTTTTGTTGTTTTATTCACATTATATTAGAATAGAAATTCTGCGAATCTAAAATTTTAATACGACAAAAAAAAATTTAAATCTCTCATACTAAGTCGACAGCTGAGGATCTTAGTATGGGAGCCAAAAAATTTTGTGTCATTTCTCGACTCATGTTTCTTTGCTTCAAATTTCCAGTTTCACTGTGATATGACTTCCTTTAATAGAATCTAAGAGACAGAAGAAGATAAGAAAGATTTCGATTTCACCCTGTATATTTAACTGGAGATTTGTACATATATAAATTTAAATATATATTTATTACAGTTTCCTGCATCGCAACGAAGATGCTTTCTCGACAGAGCCTGTCAAAAACACCGGAAAGAATTCACCTCTCGGATTCTATCACGTACAAAATGTAAATATTATTTTGTATTCTGTGATATAAGTGTATGTTGTCAAATGTTACCTGTTTGTCTGTACGTTTGTTCCGGCATCACACAAAAACTACTTCACCAAATTGGATGCGATTTTCACAGTTATGTTCATGATTTTTTTTTCTTTTTGTATTAAATTATTTAATATATAATTTTTTTGTATGTTTATATATGTTTTATTTTTATAAAACATTTTTTTGTATTAAAAGTCAATGTATATTGGTATAGTTCATTGGGTTTTCTATATTTATAATCTACACGTACGAAGTAGCAGACAAAGAGCAAATTACCTAATAAAAGTGATATAAATACATATTAAATAGGTTGCCTGGAAGATCGCTCTTAGCGATTAGGCTGCTCATTGTTTTCTTAGTGTAATATTTTCTTGTAATTGTTTGTATTTATAATAAATTTACTATTGTAATCTTATTTAGGAAACAATAGAGTATCTATCTATCTACCTATTACAATATTATACTTGTTTCAGATCACGGTACCTGTAACGAAATCATTTGTCGAGTACATTAAAACGCAACCGATCGTTTTCGAAGTATTTGGACATTACCAGCAGCATCCACTACACAAGGTAAGTGTAAGTATTGTTACTAGTTATATTTTGTCTATGCTATTGTTTATTGTGCTTATAATAACTTTACATAATTAATTATTAGCTACTTTTCGAGCCTTGTTTATGTAAATTAATATTATAAAACACATTATGAATTAATCTACCATATGGTTCATCTTTTTTTTTTATACAACTTAGAATGGCAAACAAGCTGACGGCCCACCTGATGGAAAATGGTAACCGTCACCTATAGACATGAGCAGTACCATGGACATAACAGAGTATACTGTTTTGCCCATGATACCCCCCATGCGTTGCCATTCCTGAGAACTCAGGTGTTATTCCTCTGTACCCAGTAAATTCACGCCATATCCCATCCTTCAAACCGAAACACAGCCATGCAAACACAACTGCTTTACGTTTGACACACGAATGGGACATAGGTACCCAAGCAATCGACTTTTGTACAGTCTCCCTTTGGTAAATCATCTATGTATCCAAGTACTACATTTTATTTAAATCCATTCAACCGTTTATGTGTGATTGTGTAACAGAAATTTACATGTTATATTTGTAATATTTGTAGAGTAGTAATGTAAAGTATCCATATTAATAAGCTGAAGTATATGGCCAATTTTGAGACATCATTTCTCTACATTTATTTCTTAACTTGATATTTTAAATTGATTATTTTGTGAAATTACTGTTTTTGGGACCATTCTAACTGAATTTATAATAATTTTGACATAAATTTATTAGAAAATTAGTTCATATTGGTTTGTAAAGATTTTGCTTGAAATTGTAATTATAATTTTAAAGATGGGTTTAGAGAAATGGCGTCTCAGAATTAATTTCAATGTCTGACAAAAATTAACGTAATTCATCAAATTTGACATTAAAGCCCAAGTAGCAAGGTGACGTCTGCGACTCGAACAAGACGTCAGTTTTAAATCATTTTAAAGTTCGTAAAAATCGTCGTCAATATGACGAATAATTGGTACTGGGAATCATGACGTTGCGTTTTTAAGTAGTCTCAACATGTCACCCTTTATGGCAGAGAAAATGTATGTCGCATTATTGCGATAGAAACTATATTTTCGGTATTTTGCATTCAATAATATGATAATGGCCATTTTGTTGTCGCTGCTGTTGTTGTTGTTGTTGTTGTTGTTGTTGTTGTTGTCGTGGTTGTTGTTGTTGTTGACGTTGGCGGCAGGACGCGAAGCAGGACGGGCCGGTGGGCGGGCGCACGCCGCCGCGGCGCATGCTGCCGCCGTCGATCCCGATCTCGGCGCCGGTGCGCAGCCCCAAGTGGGGCGCCGCCAGCGTGGCGCCGCCCTGCTGCTCCTCGCACCTGCACTCCAAGCACGACCTGCTCGTCTGGTTCGAGATCTGCGAGCTCGCGCCCAGCGGCGACTACGTGCCGGCGGTACGTTCACATCCATCACTGCGCGTTGCACATATTTTTATATGGGTGCAACGTAATAGTTGTCGAAACTTATTTAAATGGGTGGAAACTGGTAAATGTAGTGTAAGTTAGACGGGTGGAGTACAGTTGTAATATAATCTAGAGTGTGGGTTATTTAATGGACGATAAAGGAATAAATACCCCGTCTGCGTTAACGGTATACGCTGGCGGAGTACCAGTGATGGATGATAGATGAAAAGGCAGACCAGTTAAGCCATCGCGATGAATACAACTGAAATTCAGCACAATGTTTTCCATGTGGAGGTCGACCTGACAATAGAGCTAGCAATAGGGCTGATAGTTCGCGTTACTATCTATCCCTTACCTGTTTTTTTTTATGGGTGAAAATGGTATGGTAACCCCGCCTGCGCTAACGGGATGCACTTGGAGCACCAATAAAGTGTGATAGATGAGAGTGAACGCAGGCCAGTTGGCCCATCATGATGAATTCATCAGAAATTAACCATGATAGTTTCCAGGGGGAACCGCGAGGAGGCGCGACCTGGTTGGGTATATTGCTAGCAATGGGATTCTCAGTCTCCATTACTAACAATCCCTTTCCCCCATCCCTTACCTGTTAGGTGGGTGGAGCGTAGTATTAGTAAAATAATCTCTAGTGTAAGTCAGATGGATGGAGCAATAGTAGTAAAATAATCTGTAGTGTGGGTCAGGTGAGTGGAATATAGAAGTAATGCAAATTCTAGTATGGGTGGAACATATAAAATGGTGTCGTACGATAGGTGGTGGAACACAGCGATGAGCTGCCATGCCGGGGGCTGTTCCTGTTACACCAAGGCATCCAGCGCCGCATCCGCATCACCATCTTGCACGAGCCCTCCTCTGACCTTCAGTGGAGCGATGTGCGGGAACTAGTCGTTGGTGCGTTGTTTTTGTTTTTTTTAAACAATTTAAATATATAATTATTTGAAATTTCGAATACTTTTATTTCGATCTTAAGTTTATTTTTCTTCTGGTCTAGATTCATACGAATTGAAGCAAAAATTTATAAAGAGCTTTACTATGATATAAGTTCTATGAAGTATACAGATTGTTTTATGTTTTTTTTTTTTTATATACAATTCAGTAAATTATTTTGTCACAACTTTTATCACAACTTTTATCACAATGCCATTTTTTATAACCATTTTTTTTTTATTTATTTTTCTCTTAGTAGTCAATAAATTGTATTTTTTTTATACAACTTAGAATGGCAAACAAGCTGACGGCCCACCTAATGGAAAGTGGTAACCGTCGCTTATAGACATGAGCAGTACCATGGACATAACAGAGTATACTGTTTCGCCCATGATACCCCCCATGCGTTGCCATTCCTGAGGACTCGGGTGTTATTCCTCTGTACCCAGTAAATTCACGCCATATCCCACCCTTCAAACCGAAACACAGCCATGCAAGAAACACGAATGGGACAGAGGTACCCAAGCAATCGAATTTTGTACAATGTCTCCCTCTGGTATTGTAAATAATATACGAAAGTATAGTGTAGTGTTACTGATTATATACGTGTATGTGTAGGCCGTATCCGTAACACGCCGGAGGCCAACGAGGACACATCCGACGGCGACGAGGACGGCGCACTCTCGCTCGGCCTATTCCCAGGCGAACGGCCCACGCTCGACGACAGAGCCGTCTTCAGGTATATATTACTATTAATTTTCTCTTATTTTTAATGCAAAGTAGAGGATTAAAGAGGATATAAAGTTTTATGATTTTTTTATTTATTCCATACCTTTATTTATGATTATAATATATTTTAAAGTTGTTTTTTATTGTCTTCAATTGATTATTGCAGATATTACAATTGTATCGACAAGCTATATAATAAATTTTAAAATAAAATTGTCGAATAAGTCATTTATTCAACAGTTCAAAAAAAAAAATTAAAAAAAAGTTGGATAACATAGATAGATAGATATAGATAGATACTCTTTATTGTTTCCTCCAAAAGATTACATATTTGATATTATAATAGATACAATTATTCATTAGACAAAGTTGGTTCTCTCAGTTAACTAATAAAAATAAGAATTAATTACTACAACGATTAATACGACATTGCTTCTGTAAATGTAATTAGAACAATGGTTTTTGTGTTAGGTTTGAAGCCGCTTGGGACAGTAGCTTACACGGTTCACCGCTACTCAATAGGGTGAGCGCAAACGGAGAGGTCGTCTATATCACGCTCAGTGCGTACTTGGAGGTACGTTGAAATATTTGTTTTAAGGTTTATATAGAATCGATATAATTATATAGAATCGAAATTACGATACGTGATTATTACATTTTGTGAGATTTCGTTTTTTTTTATTTAATTAAGTACATTCATGGATTGTAGAAAAAAAATATTTTATTAATAAAATTTTAAATGACAAAAGGCTGCTACCCATATGAATGTGATCTATTTCCACTAAGATATCCAATAATTAGGTTTATTATAATATTTACTAAATCTAATGTTATTATATAATTAAAAATTTGATAATTGACTAGAGAATTGAGATGTACCCATACTGATTGTAATAATTTAATCGCTTTTAAATATTTGTATATTGGAACAAGTAGAATAGGATAGTATAATTTGGTTGTAACATGTTTGCACAAACAAATGAATGATTACTATGAGTGTTCCAAATGGAAAGGTCGTAGTTTGTTTTGTGTGTGTAAACGAGCGCGGTGCGCGTGCGCAGGTGGAGAACTGCGGGCGGCCGGCGATCGTGACGAAGGACCTGTCGGCCGTGGTGGTGGGCCGCGAGGCGCGCACGGGCCGCTCGCTGCGCCGCGCGCTGTTCGGCGGCCGCGCCGCGCGCGCCGACCGCCTCACCGGCGTCTACGAGCTCAGCCTGCACCGCGCGCTCGAGCCCGGTACTGCTGCCACTACCACTACCACTACCACTACCACTCCACCACGCATTACTGCAGCGGCCAACAACTTGATGGACGAACGTGCATGTGTGCCCCGAGGCGTAGCCGAGGCACACACATACACGTTCGTCCATCAATGCCTAGTTGTGGCCAACGCTTGTATAGTACTTTTCTCAAACAATGCGCGGAAATCAAAAACACAATTTTACTTTTTAACTCTTAACCCTTTGCACTCGAGGCCTTTTTCGCTTGCGCGCACCAGCAATTCGGGACAATTTTGGCCTTCCGAGAAAACTATCTTATCGCATGTTGTAAATAAGGAGATCCAGTTACAAAAGACCATAGCGTCATAGCAGCGTAGTTCGATTTAAAGTTTCAAAACACTCGGGCGCCGCAGCAGCGCCGCTCGAGTTGCTACTTCGAATCAGCCAGGCGCCGTATTGGCGCCGCTCGAGTACAAAGGGTTAAAAGCCTGATTTTTTAAATCAAATTAAAAAATATATGTGTACCCTTTACTGTGTTTGCTAATGGGAAAAAATAGTAAAAAAAAATCAAAACGATATTTTTATATATTTATTTTGAAAAAAAAAACATTTGGTAACATGTAAACAGCCAAATATTAAAATAAAATCGATTATAGGCGCCCAATGCGATTTATAACCTCGGTATCAAATTTGAAACTTCAGGTATTTAAGGGTTAAAATATCTCTAAAGCCTCCCTGCGCTTGCCAATCCACCTGCCAAACGTGCCACCTACCCCCAAGGGGGAGACTTATGTGCAGCAGTGATATAATGACGGACTGATATAATGATGATGGTGTATGGAAACAAAACAGTCGCCGTAACTGAAAACGGTCAGGATTCATCATCGTCATATACTAATACCACGACACGCCTCTTCAAACAATCAAAAATATGTTAGTACAGGTAGGAGAAATATAATAATCTAACCGAACGACTAAAGACGTTTCTTCACAAACAAGTGGTCTATACATGGTCATACGCATTTAATTAAACAGTTGGAGAGATATGCCATATTAACGTAAACAACCTATGCATCTACAAACTGTGTACCGCAGTGAAAAAAGGATCGTTAGTAATGGAGAGTAACAGTCCCGTTGCTATAACATTAAAAAAAAACTGTTTTAATCTGTATTCCTTTAAAATATAACCTACCCGTGTAATTACTACAGTAACATCCGTCCAGGCATTTAATATTTTTAATTTTATTGGGATGTTCGATAATCATTATATGCAGTGCCCGCGAATTCGTCCGCGTGACCGTAATAAGAAAAATCGATAGGTTATATCGAATATTGCGAATTTTAATTTTTTGGACGATTTGTCGAATCAAACTAACAAACTAAATTTCACAACTATTTATTTTTACTAATAAAAGACAACTTTTCTAATATAATTTCACCGTAATAATAATAAGTTTTCTATGTGTAGGTGTACAGCGACGGCAGCGCCGCGTACTGGACACGAGTGGCACGTACGTCCGCGGCGAGGAGAACTTGCACGGCTGGCGGCCGCGCGGCGACTCGCTCATATTCGACCACCAGGTGAGTATTATACTAAAACATACCGCATCACAGTACAGACACGGCTCTCATTGATGTGTAGAGGGTCATAGGATAGTGGCCACACAAGTAAAAGAAATAATTTAAAGAGAGATAAAATACAATATAAAAAAATATCTATACATGTGGCCAGAATTAAATTTACATGTTGATCACAAAGAAGTTTCAATACAATGCTCGTTAAGAACGTGAAATAAATTCAAATTTATAAGTTGTCACGTGGCTTTGCCCGCGTGAATCTGTTTATAAAGTATCGTATACTTTAAATTAGGATACAACTTATCCATGTACTGCATTTCGTTCCTATTCAACGAATTTTTGCGTGAAAGAGCAACAAATCTCCATCCATTCTTCAAACATTCGCATTTGTAATATAAATAGAACAATTTTATTATAATAAATATAATAATGTTAAACGAGTGTGTGTATGTATGCCACAGTGGGAACTGGAGAAGATGACCCGCCTGGAACAGGTGGGCCGCACGCGACACTTCCTCGCGCTGCGCGAACGGCTGCGGCACGGACACGAGAACACCGTTACACCCAACGACTTCACCAAGACGGAGAAGGTGAACTACATTCACACGCATAATATGCATTATTACGCTGCGTATGAATGCGTCCAATCATATAACTTACAAGTATTAATTTTTATTATAAAGTACATGAAACGAACTGACTACATAGACATTTTTGTCCAAATTTGATTTTTTCTTCCCTTAAAAACTTTAATCGGATTACTATAACCATTAAAAAACCGTATTTTTTTTTACAAATTATTCTGAGTCTATGTACATACGGAGTTTAGTAACCGTATACTGAATTGGGAATAATATTTTTAATAGCATTCACTAACTATCAAAGAACATACAGTGTTATTTATAAGTTTTATAAATTGAAAAGTTATTTATAACTGTATGTTTTATTTGACGTACAGGAAGTATGCAATATGGCTGCGAAAGCGGCAGCGGAGGGGGCGCGCGAAGAGGCCGAGCGTGAGCTTGCACCAGGCGAGAAGGAGCTAGCAATCAAATACATCAAACTTATGCAAGGTACGTCCCGAGGTACTTGATACATTGAAAGATGTTTTGAACCTGACGGTCTACCATGAAATATTTTCTGAAATTTTAAGTCCGAACGAAACACAAATTTGCTGTTAAAATTACATAATACATACGGTTTAAAAATGTTAAAATGTCGTTGGTTTGTACTATTATGGTAAAGTTTATGACGTACGAAATGTTAAGTACCATTTACAGGGCTGATATCGGTATGAACAAAAACATGAAATTGAGCTCGAAAAGTCGTTTATATTATGGTCCTAGTAAATGTACACTATACATAAAAAAAGAGAAACTAAAACGAATTCAAATTGAATAATTTCTTTCTATTACTAATGTTGTTTCGTCTGTTAGAACAAACTGAATTTATAATTTATAGACTTTCGAGTTATACAGAAAAATCTCATGTATTTGACAGCTACATAATTAATCAATAAATAAAATTAAAATACAAATAATAACAGATTAAAGTGACACTGATATTCCATCTAGTTAGACTTTAAGTCTAACGATAAATAATGTGACGACCCATCTAATGAAAACTGAAGTTTTTAAACAATATTAGGGAGTTCACAGAATATATTTTAATCTAGTTCTTCTAACTGTATTCATTGTGTTATAATTTATTCATATTTCTAGATGTGTTCTTTAATGATTCGATAGTGTAATACATATCTAATTGTAAGTGCATTTCATAGGTCGGATAGGGTCATCTGGTAAAGAGGTGGAGACAGCAGTATCGCCGGCGACGCCCGTGGACGAAGGTGTATCAGCAGACATCTCCACACCTAGCCTTCTTTCTTCCATACACAGCGCCAGCAGCTTCGAGTGAGTAAATTTCTACATACCTATAATGTTGTTATAATATTCGAATTGTGAATATTCGACAATTAATATAAATAATATATAGGTACTAGTAAATGTATTACACAACGCCATCTAGTTTCGAATTAAGCAGAATTTTTAAAATTATAAATTATATTAAATTACAATTGTATTAAAGCTTCATGTTCGTAGTTTCTCTGTTAGATATTATAGGAGAATAGAACGAAGAGTCAAAATATATTTTCTATTTTAAAATAACGATCCCTAGCAACTCGTGTAGTGCCTAATTCAAATGGTAAAGCTGCCAGTTACAATTATTTATATTCAACACTCCCCATAAACTTGAATATAAGTTATAGGTGATTGCCACATTGGGCCAATTTACAGTCGTATATTTATCACAACGGAACGTCAATAAGTCATTCATTACGTCGCCGTAACGCGGCGGAATACTCGCACCCGACGTCAGTTCCGTCGTCGTATCGATCTTCAGTCGACGAAAGATCGGTAACGCCGTGTTGTACATTTTCTTATGGGACGCGCCACACTTGGCGAATGGTCCGCGTTGTGTATTCACGTATTCATATTCATTTGTATATATTTATGTGACCGAAGATACGCTGAATGGCTCTAGTCTTCAAATATAGGTAAATTGTAACGCACCTATTATCGTAAGCAATTTTTCGATTCCGTCAACTCGAGTATTGTACATGTAAGCAGTACGAGTGAGTTTTCGACGTAGATACCGTGGTCTCTATGTGATGTTGACGTGCAGGCTGTGCTCGCCGGAGCGCGCGCTGCTGGAGAAGTCGATGGCGGCGTGGGGCGGCGGCGGCGGCGGCGGCGGCGGCGGCGCCGGCGCGCTGTACGTGCCCGAGTGCGAGGAGGTGCGCGTGTCGGCCGCCGTGGCGCGCCGCGGCTACCTCAACGTGCTGCAGCACGGCACGCACGGCTGGAAGAAGCGCTGGCTGGTCAGTAATATATTCATCTAGCCTCTACTATGCTGTGCTCTGGGACGACACATCTGTTTTGATATGACAGCAACAAGTATTAATAGGTTGAAGGAATATTTTGATCCTTCTCGATTTGATAGGAATCGATCGATGCCCTCAGATGTTCGTTGTCTGTTTCCTCATAATTAGGCATGGGTAATATCAATACCACTCCAATGTCTACATATTGAATATTCCTCTGGATATTAACGGCGGAAAAAGGGTCATCATCCGTTTCGACATAGTCCATATTAATCGGATATCTATGTTTATTTCAACCAGGGATGCCTCATTTCGATATTGTCTTATTATTATTAAGTGATTCGTTATTGGACCAATATATAACAATACCAATATATATTGTAACCACAATATATAGATATTTCTGTATATTACTCACCCCTACTCATAACACACAATATTCTAGTTTAAGGTTCAGGCAATTGGTGATTGTGTAGCACTCACTATTATTATCTAGCAATTTGTAAATGTAGATGGCTATAAAGGCAGAGTAAGACGTAAAAAGACATGAGTTTAACATAAAAAATATGATACGGTCAGAATGGAAGTAAAAGTGGAAATGACTGCGAATGGAGAAGAAAGAAAATCTACTACCTACCTATCAAATAACGAATTAGGATAAAGGTAGAAATGTTCGTGTATCTAGAGGAAATACGTGACGGGATTTATCAAATAACTATCCAATTTTCATTTAGCTCCATTGTTCATTCAAATCCGTTCTAAACGTCGCCTCATGACCCGCAGGTGGTCCGACGGCCGTACGTGTTCATCTACCGCGACGAGCGCGACCCCATCGAGCGCGCGGTCATCAACCTCGCCAACGCGCACGTCGAGTACTCCGAGGATCAGGAGCAGATGGTCCGCATGCCCAACACCTTCAGGTGAGACTCTTTTGACTTCATCCACATCTATCATCCGATCCAAAGTGGATGGACGGGAAAAACGGAAGATGGCACATGGTGAAAGGTATAGGAAAAGGCCTATAGTGGTTAAATACAGGCTGAAATGACGGTAATGAATAATCATTCTTCATTAGTACCCGACCAGCATATACCGAGAGTACAAGCGGGTTTACCACTCTATTTTTATTCCACTAAAAATAGGTAAAATAGCAATCTGTTATGAACCTGCCAGGTGGCTGTTTTCTGCATAAAAAGCTCTAATTATAATGATGTATGTACTAGGAAATGTATACACATGTACATTTTACTAAAGTTATTTTTTTATTCGATGTAGTAAAATAGCAGATCGAAATGTCATTTTAAAAATCAATGTTGCCACATTTATTCTTATTGTCATTTATGATGTTTACGTCAATCGTGATAGAATTTAAAGGACTTGTTCAAAAAATTTTTTAATTGTCTAATCGGTATATTTAATTCCATTAATTCAATTTTTAGATAATTTTTTAGGAGTTTCAAAAACATAATTGAAAAAAAAAATCTTATTTCTAATACTAGTTATTTAATTCATTAGTCTTTTAGCTAATAACTTTATAAAACCTACTGTACTTATTTAAAAGCTAGAATCATTTGATGGAACTGGATTTTATGTTTTTTTTTTTTTTATTGTACTTCGAACACTTGCAACACTGTAAATGTTCTTTTACCACATCAGTCACTGTGTTTCCACTGAACTTACAAGTTTGTGGCCTTTAATTAATAACATTGCTGAATGTGATTGCAGTGTGGTGAGCAAGGAGCGCGGTTACTTACTGCAGACCCTCGGCGACAAGGAGGTCCACGACTGGTTGTACGCCATCAACCCACTACTTGCCGGACAGATTAGGTGAGAGCATTCTCTGTCTGTCATTTTTTCAATACGAGAGAATTAGCAACTGTCAATTGAAAAAAATTCCCACGTAAATTTTAGCTAATATAATGTATAATATGAAAGAGTATTGCTACTAGCAGTATGGGTGTTGCCTGTTTGATCGAAAACAATGTTAGGGGAAATAATTTTTATTGTTATAAATTTGTTAACTATTTCATATTTTGTTTTTAAAGATTCAGTTATCTTCTTAATACCAAGTTCTAATATTTTAGTAGTTTAAAAAGTGTTTTTTTTTTTTTGTCAATTAATGTTTTAGTTCGCTGCTGACCATCCTATTAATATCATAAATGCGAAAGTTTGTAAAAATGGATGGATATTTATTATGTTGTTATTCTTGCATGCAAAAAGTACTGAACGGATTTGAATAAAATTTGGTATATGGGTAGGTTATATAGATAGATAGATAATTTATTTGCATCACTTACAGCACACAAACAGCAAAAGATACAAAAGCAAAGTGAAAAAAGATAAAAAAAGATACATGTACAAAAGATAAAAAAAAAAAATCAAAAACAAAATCAGAATGCATAAAATTAGTAAATTTTTTTTTCTTCATGCGTGTGCCACAGTAATACAAAATGGCCACAACTCAGCTTTTTGCTTTGCCCTAAAAAGAGCAAAACACTGATATTCTGTTGTGGCCAAAAGTGAGCCGCGAAATACCACCAAAAAAAATAATAAAAAAGAAAGAAATATAGATCAAATACATATATATCCTAACTTAACACATACAATATGTACTGATTCACGCGGCCGATGTCGCGGAATACAGCTAGTATGGAAATAAAAGTATTTCATTTTTATATCTGTTAGAATTTACACACTTAATCCGAATGTTGACAATTTATAGTGCAATTGCTATATAAAGGTAGTTTAATTAAATAGGTAATCATATTTTATCTATTCCTTTCCTATTCTATTCCTCCTCATTAATAGTAAATGATTAAGTATATTGTCGTTAACACTACCCATAAGTCATGTGAGGAACAACGAACTCTTCGAACTAATATTTTTAATATAAACACATTTGAAATTGGAACATGTTATAGGAAAATATCTAATATGCTTTTTGCTTGTCTCACATTTGTTAAGATACATGATGTATTGCAGTATCATCGACAATTTGGGATTCACTGTTGACTACTTTATCCACTATAGCATAAAATAGGCCATCCCTTCCTTTCCCGTAAGAAAAGAGACGACTAAGGGAATTTAATGGTCGAGAGATAGGCAGCAGTGTCTTTCTTCAAACATCTCCAAGGCCTATCTGCAGTTACCAACTGCTGCCAAGCGTGGCAAGTACTGGCAAAATCCCCCAATAGAGGGAGGCCTATGTTCAGCAGTGAAAAGTTAACGGCTGATATAATATGGTATTAATAAGTGGATTCCCACGAGCCAAGTCAATATACACGCGTAAAGTTGTCGGCACACAGGTCACGGTCGGCGCGGCGCGGCGACAAGCAGCAGCCGGCGGCCGCGCAGTTGCAGGCAGCATGAGACAACCTCACAATGGAGTCTATCCTTGTTTTTTAAGTGCGTCACCGACGGCCACATACACCATAAGGCGATAGCCGCCGCGCGTCCCCCGCACAGCCATTGAAACGCCTGTAATATTCACTTATTCGCTTTAGGTCACACAGTTTAAGGTACAAAACAAAATTCTATTATATAAAACATATTTGTGTCACTTATTTTCTTATAAATGTGTATATTTGAATTATTAACATTATTGTTTTCAAACATGGATTCCGTATTTAAAGATATAATAATACAATTTTAACAAAGTAATGTAATTATGAAATTATTATTTTATATTTTCAAGGAAGTTATTAATTGAGTAATGAAATTCATTCAACATTCAATTAGTGATTTCTTGATGGCTAAAAATATTGGGCTGTATTGTTAAAAATTTATAATACCTAATTCACAATTAGTACGTGTCAAATCTCATATTAAAACTCAATACAATTGCCAACAATTATTAGTATGAAAATCACTAGTTGAACCATTTTGATAACTGCCTTGAAAATTTTAGTCCTTTATGTTTGGAGTCCGATCCTTGTGGGGCCTAAAGTGAATATTGAATATAGAGACATAAAGTTGGGAACTGTCTGTGCCTGGTTTGGTAGAGTGTTATAATAATACGTCTTTCTATAGTCCTAACTTTGCGTGCTCAATGCAGCGCGAAACACTGTTTCAACTATTTTATATTAATCATTTTTCTTTTATCTTTAGAAGATATTCTATTTCTCACAATTTGGGACCACAAAGTGACAGGAATTATTAAAAAAAAAAATATCAACAAACAATTAAATTAATTTGGCTTATCTTTAATTTATTAGCAGTATTAAAAGTGCATTCAATGCAAAATACGATTTATACGTAAACAACAATGTAAATTTATATATTTACATATATATTGTTATACTGTTATTACATGACGGTTTAATATATTTGGTGGTCCACTGTTGGGACCAAACCGGTGCACCGAATTAACGGGATTGGGGGTAATATTTACAGTGGAGTTATACTATGAATTAGTGTGTAGGTCGTTTCCATTTCTGATGCGGAGGATGCACGTCGTGTTTAAGGTATTATTTATTACATATTATATTTTAACACTATGGTCTTTGGACCACGATTTTCTTATCTAGATAGAAAACGTAATCAATGAATCTATTTAGATCTATTTTGGATTGCTATATCTATTCATATTTTGTCTTTTACCGTTGATGGGAATGACGTTATTCGAATGATTGTAACCGGAACCAATAATGAATTTGTTTTAGAGTTGTTGATGTTGTCAAAGTGGCAGTACGCGCCGCCTTGACGGTCTTCCCAAATGTTAATTGTCATCAGAGCTGCATAATTGTTAATATTTTTGTCAAATTTCAAGCATCGTGGTGCAATGACTAGAAGCGTGTTTAGTGTTTAGTGCTCTAACGGCATAATGTCCTAATTGTACAATACTTTTGTGCAATAATGTCTTATATGTGTTATACGCACAAAGTGTAAAATGCAATGCCCGCACGAGGCAATATCTGATAGACTCCATTTGTAAGACATGAAGATGATGTGAAATGACAAATTACTGAAAATACCTATATAGATTTTCCTCTAATGTTGAATACAATATTAATGTAATTTACCTTGTATATACGTATGACCGATTGGTAGATTAAATATATTTTGTGGCTCAAAGGCCAGAAGATGGCGGTAGTCCGTACTCGTATGACGTCATACGTAACTGATTCATTTGACATTTTAGTATTGATTGTAAATACATAATGATAATTAATGACAATGTAGTTAAATATAGACTACGCATATTACAAAAAAAAAAAAATTATAACAATATTTTGTATGCTACCGGTTTGTAGTGCAGAACAATTTATTCAAATAAATTACATTTAATTTATGATTGATTTCCCAAAATGCTAAATAATAAAGTATTTATTACTTGTTTCATTGGATTGTATAAAGTAGGTTAATGTGGATGTTAATGACGTAGTAGGTATTTATTTCTCGTTTCGTGTTTCTTTGTATGTCGGCTCTTAAGAGTCGCCATGCTCACTGGCAACCATTCCGTTCAGGCTCTAGTCATGTACACTCAACGTAGGTACATTGTATGTGATAGAAGTAGACCCGGTAGTTACATCGACGCCGTGCCGCGAACGGTCACCCAGTAGGAACTAGTACATGTCTCTCTATTTTATGTTGTATCCTAATCGACAGTGCTCACGACGTCACAACGCTGTTTATTTATTTCATAGATATTAATATTTATACAGAGATTACATTTTGCTGTAGTTAGGTAATATATGTGAGGGTAGTTTTATATGGATGATATTCGTTTCCCTATCTCAACGATCTGTTGTAAGTCCAAGCAATTCTTAAATCTCGTTACTGCTTTTATAAATGTTGAAATAAATAAAGATAATTGTCACTATACTATCGCTTTTAGGTGACTATTTTCTATTCATAATAAATCGAGCGTATACATAGATATATTTATATCAACATCGTAAGCTTAAGTGATTTTCAAATTTGTAAATAACTTGATTTCGTACTTAATTGTTTACAGCAGTAATAAAAAAAAGATGTAATGCTTATTTTCTGTTACGAGTCCGACACTGGCTTACACACTCGATCGTAGACGTAATGTACTCTCGGCTAAACACTAGAAAATATCCTGATAATAATTTAGCATAGAATAAACTATATAGATGTAAGATCAAAAAGTATTATCCAAAATTAGACATGCTGTGTGTTATAATGTTTCAATTGAAATACCTACAATATTATTGATTATTGTCGTCGGGGTCACGGTGCAACTGCAGTTTGCATTTCGCAAACTGTGCTTATATTAATTTTCAACAATTCAAACTGTATTTTTGCGATGTTTTGCTCGTAGAATATACGAAAGTGCAATATGAATGTGTAATAAAGTAATGTTCAAATTTGAAATTATTTTAATGCAGTTTGCTTGTTTATCTTATACCCTCTAAATTGTTATTATCTGTGAACAAATAAATAAATCACATGTTATTAAATAATGATATATTTTGTTTCTAGTCATTTTTATAACATTCCAAAGTTATAAATTTCTTTTTGTCGGAATAATTAGGATAAAATATTTTGCATAGCAAAATGATGTTTAAGTAGTTAAATAGTGGAGCAGAAATCACGGGTGTGGTCGTGCGGTGGTTGTAACAAGATGACTTCTTGTAACATTTCGTTTGGAAATTGATTTGCATAGTTTGTTTAGTTGTTATATTTTTGTAATTACTAAAAGAACATTTTAACTAGAGATATTGGCCGGCCGAGGCTGTAATTATATATATTTTTATAGAATACTGTTTAAGCTATGCTGGTATTTTTATATGACTAGCTGTTATTTTCTGACGTTATGTTCTCTATTATTTATAATTTATTTTTAATGGATCGTTGTTTGGAGAAGTTTTGCCGATGGTACCGGAGCTTGTATCTATTTCGTTTAGTGCTTTTATTATTGTATACTGAACGGTACGTGTGGGGGAGGCGCGCCGGGCGGCTCGCTGACATGTTCGCCAACATGCTCGACAGCGGGGCGGCACCAGCGACTCGCCCGGTCCTTGTGATGTCGATAGTGATTGTTGATTGTTGGGCGAGAATGATTTATAAGAAAATTATATATTCTATATATAATTTATCGAATTTCATTCAATTTATGAAAATAAGAACATTGTAATGATTGGTAATATTACTCATTGCTCTAAATGTACTATCAAAATATATTATACACAGTGTTAAAGGTCATAAATAAAATGCTTTGAAAATTTCCAAATCATTGTTTCATTGCTTCTATTGATTTTTAAGACCATTAAGGTGATAAACAAATAAATAATAAAATAAATGTACTCACGACTCTAATCGCTAATGGCGTAGTCAAACATATATGTAGTCTGTTGTTGTAGTGGATATAATACTCAATCTGTCCACAATTATACAATGACAATCCAAATGGTCGACTTCCATGCAGTCTTCCCTGGAAACTACCGTAACTAACCCTCAGTGAATTAGTCATCAACATGCCGTTTAAAATTATTAAAAATATTAAAATATCGTTCCTCTGGACTATTAGGATAGGATTTATGATGAATGAAACGTTGAGCTCCATTTACTTGGTCAATTTAGGTACCAACTAAAACACGAAATTGAACCCGAAAATTCGAAATTTCATTTCATGGTAGGCCCCCTGTTTTTGAATATAAGTCTGTTATATAATATTAGACACCACGCTGGCATACACAGACCATCAGTGTATGCCGGCTGAAGAACCCAGCGACCCGGAGGTCGTCGCCTCCGGAGTTGAAGCCGGGGTAGAGGGGTATACCCCGAGGCCCCTACCTCGCCCGCCCACGCAACATCGGGCGGCTAGAGAAGACCATGTTGATTGATAATATTATTTTTGGAAAACTATTAACATATTCGTTATTGCACCAGTATATAGATATTGTAACAATATTGATATTTCCCACCATACCATAGACATCATTATTCACTCCTACTAACAACAACATATGACGTTTAGACCGATTTGGGTACTTTTTTCTAATGTTCAATACTAGGTACGAATAAGGAAAGTAAAGAAGAATTGGAACAATTGGACGAATTAGTTTATAATAAAAACAATTTGTAGTATGTACGTATTTTTATTATATAATTTATTATCTGTTGCAGTACAAAATATATTAAGGAATATATTGAATCCACGCTTAAAATAAATATATTGGTTACATTAATTTGATTACATGGAATGACTGTAATTATTTTAAACCTATTGAGGCTCTGATATAATATTTATTCATTTGAAAAGGCTTGCGTAAACAAGACACATTCCCCCTACGTAGCCATTCCTCGCGCATTTTTATGAAAAAAAATCTAATGTCATAATAAAATTGGTTTGAATTAGAATATTATATAAAATAAGTTTATGAAATACACAGCCAGACTTTGCTTAGAATTGTAGTGCAGTTAGAGTCTAAGTTAAAATAATATTACTACTTCGTTTTGATTTAAATTATAAGTATATAGGCTTAAGCGGACTTTTAGATACAATTGTTATAATATTTAAATACATGGTAGATAATTTATTATATTTATAACTAGTTTCAATATTTACAATACAATAGACTTGCAGAATATTCTCTTGTGTAATGGATATATTTTTATAATTAACTTGATTGTTCTTACACGCGAAATGATTCCAAACAATGGAACAGTGCGAGATCCTTAATAAACATTACCTATTTTAAATTTAATTTCACGAAAACGGATTCAAATTTTTATCATAGTCGTTGTCTTCCGAGAAAGGATTGGTGGGATCATTGATGACTTCATCCTCGTCGTTTGCGAATGGATTCTTCGATTCGTCATATTCCTCTTCGAATGGGTTTTTCCCCGTATTGTTTATCGCTGCAGATATCTTTGGCGAGGTTCCGGCGCTGATGGCTTCTTCCACTTTATTTGAAGATTTAGGGGACTCGAAGGGCGAGCTGCGAGGCACGTGCACCTTTGGCTCAAATTTGTTCATGTGGGCTTCAAGACTGGAGCTATAGCGCTGCTGCTCGAGTAAGCGCATTCTGCCTTCCGGGATGGGAACCACAGTGGTGCCCTTTGCTGGAACTTGTTTCGCCGTGTTGGCCACAAACACTGGAAAATGCATGCATATATTGTAATTTAATGTAATTCGTAATTAATGTTATGCACATGATATTTAATAGATGTTAGGATGTTCGTTACCCAATTTGATCGATTTCCAATTAAAGGATAGACTACACCCGAGAATATTTTTTTTATTTTATTTATATTTTATTATTTTATTCCGGTAAGCTATAACAATTGTAAGTTCGTACAAACGAAACAAATGTTATTATAAAATAACGAGCATAATTTAAGATTGTGTACCACAAAATAAAATCGACTTCAATAATAAACAAAGTTATTTTGATCTAAAAATTAAACAACTCTTCTACCGACTTTGAAGAAATTTTGTGATAAATAAGGATTTTCCAAATTGGTATAGAACTGACGGAGTTATAAGGTTATAAACATAAAAAAAATTGGGAATCTCCTTTTCTATGAAGTTCGTTGAAAAATTACCTAAATCCCCGCGTTTCTTTGTGTTACTTATTTGTAGCATAAAAAAAATATTTTTATTGTAAAAATAATAACAAACAAAATCTAACGTAATCACTAATAATAATTAAGCATGGATTATTCGAAGAAATTAATTAGTTCAATATTTCAATTCATTTCTTTTACAAAACTTGTGTTAGTAAAAAACATTATAGTTGTTTTTCATATACAAATAATAATAAATAGTATATTTTATTACAATCTAGGTATATATTAGGTACCTTGTTTACTCTGTCCCTCTTGCAGTCGTAACTTAGCTTCTGCACCGGGGCCGTATGTGGGCGCGGCCGCAGCAGCAGGCGGTAGCAGGCAGGGTGCAGGAGCGTGCGCGGACGCGGACGCGGACGCGGCAGCGGCGGCGGGCGCGGGCGCCGCCGGCTGGCTCGGCGACTCCTGCAACGCTCCAGTCACCAACGTCAGCTTGTTGAACAGCCCTCGTCCGTAGTATTCCGACACAACAGCGTAACTGTGGATAAATTATAGATTTTGAGTTAGTTTCCGAGTTTAGTACTTAATGTATAATTTTTAACCAATTTCCGGAGGGGGGAAAGGGATTGTTAGTAATGGAGACTGAGAATCTCATTGCTAGCAATATACCCAACCAGGTCAACCTCCTCGCGATTCTCCCTGGAAACTATCATGGTTAATTCCTGATGTATTCATCATGATGGGCTAACTGGCCTGTTTTCATTCTCATCTATCATCCTTCACTGGTGCTCCGCCAGCGTATTCCGTTAGCGCAAGCGGAGTTACCATACCATTTTCACCCATCAAAAAAAAAAAAACAATATCCGGAAGACTGCTTCTTTCAGAAATCAATACTTTATATATTTAACTTTAATTTTTCTGTAATTTTTTTGTCTATTGTATACCGATAGCGCGAGCGGGATTACCATTCCATTTACACCCATTAAAAAAATTACTGTTATTGTTGGTAAAGCTGTCTTCCAAATAAATAAATAAAATAAATAAATATTATAATGTATATATATATATATATATATATATATATATATATATATATATATATATATATATATATATATATATATATATATATATATATATATATATATATATATATATCTTTATTAATGTAAATATGTGTTTGTCATTGAGAAGGACCCAAGTCCTAATTATTATTAATCCAGACAAATTCCGGTAAATCAATATGTTACGGTTACACGAACGGGCACAACAATAGAACAAAACGCACCATATGTATTACTCTACATTTTATATTATTTAATGAACTCGCCTGAACATAATTAAAAACAAATCTATCAATAATGCTATCACAGTCTGATAAATATAACAAATATTATCTGATAAACAAATGTATCCAGCGACCGTACCTGTCGTCGACTGTGGACGAGAAACACCAAGAAAATGGTGGCATCATCACTGATTTTAATATGGACAAAGTCATCACATTAAAAACACTACATCAGTTGCAAGCTATAACCGAGTCAACGTGTATATACTTTATCTATAATACACTAATTTATAAATGGATATAATTGATTTATGATGGCAGATAAGAATTTTAATGTGATGTAATCGGCGCGCGCGCAACTCGCCCGTCAAACAATAACTGTGATGTCGATGTTTTGAGTACGCCGAGTCGATGAAGTACTCACAACTGTGTAAATTTAAGTCTTTCTAGAAATATTACTAAAATATGCAAATCATATAATACCACAAATAACATCTTTCTTTTCATATCTTTTTGGGGTTTCATGACTGAAATATGATAATAAATACGTATGTCGCCGTGCATAGAATGAGCCATCCCTTCCTTTCCCGTGAGTATCGTAAGAAGCTATATTATACTGCATATAAATCTACCAATAAACACATTTAGCTTCTGATTTTTTTAAAATTCAAGTATGTTATTACTATTAAAAACTACAATAACTTCTCATTTATATTTACTGTATTTGTTATTTCTCTTTATACATACATACATACATATCTGTCACGCCTGTCTCCCATTAGGGTAGGCAGAAACAATGGAACGCCAAATGCTTCGATTCAAACAAACCTCTTTCGCTTCTTCCACATTCATCAATCTTTTCATACACGCTCGCCGGTTACGGGTACTTTTATACTTCTCTTTATACTTTGGTGCAATAAAGTGTAAATAAATACATTATCAGTGACAGTTTAATAAGCATATTATTGTATGATTAACGTTTTAGTTCTCTAGTAAACTTCTTAAAAAATCAATCAGAAATATTGAAATGTGATAATTTTTTTTTTAAATTGACATATAATTGCGACGTTGCCGTACTTCGTAATGGACGCTCTTAAAGCCGTATAAAATGTTTATATCGTTATGAATATGTACTCGCAAGTACAGAACATGAACACAAGTGGTCATTATTGCTTGCGTTCACCTGAGACAACACAATACGCGCTCGATTGTTTATTTCTATTGTTATTGAACTGGTTTTTATGCATACGTAAGGTAATTTAATTTGAATTTATATATTAAGTGCATTAGGTATTTAAAATTTATATAGCATGTGATATAATTTTGTTTTTTTTTTTTCTAAAATACAAGCGAGGTAATTTTCAAAGTTTTTTTTTTTTACAACACAAGGGGCAAACGAGCACGCGGCTCACCTGATGGTAAGTGACTACCGCCGCCCATGATCACCCACAACACCAGCGGCATTGCAGGTGTGCTGCCGGCCTTTTAAAAAGGAATATACTCTTTTCTTGAAGGTTATGTTGTCGTATCGGTTCGGAAATACTGCTGCTGGAAGTTGATTCCAAAGAATGGTTGTGCGTGGAAGAAAGTGCCTTGAAAAACGCACGGTGGAAGACCGTTACTCGTCCAGATGATTGGGATGAAACTTTAGTTTGTGGCGGGTTGTACGGTGGTAATCAAAGTATTATTTATTCAGGAATCAAATTTTTATAGATATTACAGCTTAGTCACACCGCTTGATTGCTGTCCGAGGATTACAAGTTCGAATCTTAGTCTACATCTGAATGTTTAAACACATATTTGAATAATTTTAAAAATGATTACCACTTATTTTACACATCGATGCAGGCGTGGGTAATATGGATACCGATGCCATATCTATATATTGGGTTCTTCTGTACATTGATGGCGAATAAAAGATCATCCATTTCGACTCCACCCATATCGGTCGATTCCAGGTACATAAAAAAAAAAAATGTAACGTGCAGATGACTCACGGGTCGCGTTCCCGCGCCAGCCGCTGGTGCAGCGCGTCGGCGGGCGGCGGCGGCGGCGGCGGCGCCTGCCGGCGGCGCGCCGCCTCGCACATCGTGCACTCGCGCTCCGACTCCGAGTAGCCCTGGAAGCAGCTGCGCCGCGCCCATACAACACGCTCATATAACAAATTGCAAACAATTCACCACTCTCGGTCACACAGCGTGCTAGATCGATAGATTGACCAAAACAAAATATTGAACAAAAAAAAAATTTTTTTTTACCCGTCAACCTTTGGTAAATCGAGAACGCAGTACTTCATTTATAGAATAGATAAAATTAAGTGCTTTATATTATTCTCAATTTCATGTATAATATAGTATATGTCATATATGTGTAAGTATATTTGTTATTTATATATATCTATCTACTCGTTTATATATGTAATTTTAGTATGTATGTATATCAATAATTAGTAGTACCGCATTCGAGTATTCTGACACTTCCCTATGGTTGACTGGAAGAGAATAGTTTTAGCATTATGTCCGCCATGTACACATATACTAATGAATAAATAAATAATAACAACACTTAATAAATGTAACACAAAAAATGTAATACCATAAATGATAAATACGATGATGATTATTTATTCATTAATTTATCATCAGTTATTATAATTTTTGTCATTGGAAATGCAATCATGAATACAGAACAAGAACAGTTACACTAGTGTGCGTGTGATGTAAATGTGTGCATTAATATGCACACTTTTACACATCCATGCATGAGTCTGAGTTCATATAAAATTGAAATATTATTGCTATTTTTGCAATAACCGTTGTTGCCATATTTCGGTGCTTGTTTCGTATCTCTTTTGGTGATCTGTAAACTATTGTATAATAGCAGAATGGCATCATCATCTTCCTACACTTATCCCAGTTATTTGGGGTTGGCGTAATATATTTTTCTCCTAAGAGTATTTATTGGTTTTACGGAAAATTCGTTCTTAACGAATTTTGTATAGTCCTCAGGAATGGTAACGCATGGGGGGTATCATGGGTGAAACAGTATACTCTGTTATATCCATGGTACTGCTCCTGTCTATAGGCGACGGTTACCACTTTCGATTAGGTTGGCCGTCAGCTTGTTTGTCATTCTAAGTTGTATAAAAAAAAAAGATAGCAGCCAAGTGGATTTCATCTATCGTCCGTAAATGGTACCTTATTTTATTATTTAAAAAAAATACTCACTCTTGGTGGAAGGAATGTTGGCAGAAGAAATGAACGGTGGGCAATTCTAATGACTTGCTGCATATTGCGCACCGCGAGCTTTGAAAGGTTATGGGCTCGTTTTGCAAATTTTGTATTTGTGCCTTCATATTCTCGCTCTCGGCTTTATATTTGGCGGCCAGTTCTTGTTCGCGGGTGATCACGTCATTTTCAGATTTAAGTACGTTCATTAAATATCTGAAAATTAGAAATCTGTCTCAGGAGTTGCTTTTATTATATAGTAGCAGAGGGAGACTTTGTACAAAAGTCGTTTGCTTTGGACACCTCTGTTCCATTCGTGTTTTTACCGTGAAGCAGTTGTGTTTGCATGGCTGTGTTTCGGTTTGAAGGGTGCGATATGGCAGTGAATTTACTGGGTACAGAGGCATAACACCTGAGTCATCAGGAATGGCAACGCATGGGGAGTATCATGAGCGAAACAGTATACTCTGTTATGTTTATGGTACTGCTTATGTCTATAGACGACGGTTACCACTTTTCATTAGGTGGGCCGTCAGCTTATTTGCCAACTGATTAAGCCAAATAGCTGACGTTAAAAGAATATGGCAACTATTGTTGCCAATTTTCAATCGACCTTAAAAAGAATGAAGCTCTCAATTCGGTTGTATTTTATGCGTCACCTCATAACTACATCAACTGTAAACCAATTTAGAAAATTAGTTGGTATCTGAAAGAATATAGTTACAAATTGTTTCCATAGTAATTTTATCAAAATCGGTTTAGTAATTTGATATTGAAATTAAAATACTGGTTTTTTGCCACAAATGAAATCGGTTTTTTCTTGTATTACCTACACAATTTTAAATTATTATTTAATTTTATAACGACATTTGTTTTATTTGTGTGCAACCTTACAAAGTTACAAGTTTTTTTTATTAACATAACTGGTTTTGTCACAATTGAAGTCAGGTTTTAATAAAGACAATTTTTAATTTACTCACGAATGGATTACTACAAAAATAATAATAATTAAAATAAATCAGTATTTATTTTTCATAATTATTATTTTTCTCACCAGTATCAGTATACTGGTGATGTCTATACAGGGTGAAACCAAAATCGGTAGCTATACATCAAACTTATCCCCTTATTCATAAAAACGAGAAACGTCTTTAGCTACTGAAATGTTTCGACTTATTCTTTCATGATAAAGTTCCATTTTGAAAGGAATTCAAAAAACACTGTTAAACTTATTTCGCTGTGTGGCCCCGGCATTGAATGGACCATCCCTTCCTTTCCCGTGGGTGTCGTAAGAGCCGATTAAGGAGACATAATGGCCGAGGGATGGGCAGCAGCGTCCCTCTTAAATCATCACCAAAGCCTAACTGCGGTTGCCAATCTGCCTGCTAAGCGTGGCAACTATTAGCAAAATTTTCCTTATGGAGAAAACTTATGTCCAGCAGTGGACAATCAACGACTGATATGATGATATAATATAATAATAAAAAAAAAACTTATTTTAATCATTAGTGGTTCATTAGAGGTTTGTAAGATGTGTTAGTTTTTATGAATGAATGGAAGGGGTAAGAATCTGCACATGTTATAAGAACATATATTTTTTCATAGGTGAAAATGGAATGGTAACCCCGCCTATTATTTACTATATATACTGTATACACTGTTGGGGCACCAGTAAGGAATAATAGGTAATGATGAAAACTGTTAGCCAATCGCTACGAATTCAACAAATTATCTACGCTGGTTTCCAGTGGACACCGCGTAAAGGTTGACCTGACCTATATTACTAACAATGGGGCAGTTAGACCATAAGGAAATAATTCCTTTCCTGTTTATAGAACAGATTAGGACAGAAAACTTGTGAATAAAAAATTTTGAAGCTACCATACTAACTGAGTAACTGAACGCGGTGTATGGGAAAGCTAAAAATTTATTATGCGTCTTTTGACCCACGTTTCTTTGGTGAAAATTTTCAGTTTCACTGAAAGAAACATTCCCTTCAAAAGATGCTTACGATTTCGATTTCACTCCGCCATGTATATAACATTATTTAGACACGTATAGTGCATGCTTACTTCCGCACGTCGCCTAATGTGTACGAGGGTGTGCTGGCAAGACAGTCGATCACGAGGATCGGCGACAATAGTTTCTCGTTGTCTGTAAAATAATAAATATCATAATATTAGAAATAAATTAAAACGTTTTAGTATTGTCTTCAAAAAGATACAATTGTATAAAATATATAAACAAATAAAAAATTAGCTAAAAGACAACACTCGGTGGCCGTATAGCTAAAGCGATCTCTTCTAGCTATGTATATAAACATGTGTATAAATAAGCATGTATATAGATTAAAGTTCAGTATTTGAAACTGGTGGGTAAAGCATAAATTACGTTATGGTATAGTAAATGACAGGAAAGACAGTTGAATAATTTATAAGGGGCGATATTTTTTATAATTGTGTTTTCTCTATGCGTGCGTGTATGTAAGAATGCGCGCATGAGTGTGTGTGTGTGTGTTTGCGCGCGTCCGTATCTGTGCGTACGTGTCCGTGTCCGTGCGTGACGTGCGTTGCGTGCGCGTCCGTATTTGTGCGTACGTGTCCGTGTCCGTGCGTGTGTGCGTGCGTGCGTGGCATGTATGCGTGCGTGCGTGGCGTGTGGCGTGTGTGCGTGCGTGCGTGCGTGCGTGGCGTGTGCCGCGCACGCGTGTACCGGCCGTGGCCGCACCGATGACGGCGAGGAGCTCGGGCAGCGCGGGGCGCGGCGGCGGCCACCACAGCACGTCGAGCCACAGGCGCGGGCAGGCGGCGCCGCGCCGCCGGCACACGCCCAGCGCCTCCTCCGCCTGCGCCGCGCGCATGTGCAGCGCCACCTGCGCGCGCCACCTGCACACGCGCAGCCAACTATTCATCCGCGGTCCGATAACCCGCCACCACCGACTGTGGCGCGTTACATAAGAAACAATATCGGCCGCATTGTCTCATATTCCATCGAGGGAATCGATATACGACTGAGCAAAAGCCTAGCGCCAGCGTTTCTCGGGTTTACGTCAACATACTGACCATTTCTTAGTGCAGTGTCATCAAGAGTGGTAATTATTTATTTATCAAATACAAGATACGCATACCGCTCTTATCAACATTTTTTTTTTATTTATTTATAAATACAAAATAATAATAAACTTGTAAGCAATTAGAGACATTGATGTCCCGTCACCGAAATACGGGATAGAAGTTCGACCTAATGTTATGCTAGTCTAATATTATTATGTTTGTTTGTAAGACTGTCCAGGGTTTATATATGCGACAAAGACTTAGTGCGCAATGTGCTTACTGGTACAGAGACGGCGGTTGTAACTAACATATATACTACGTTTATATGCTCCCATCTCTGTCACACCTCACCTATCCCACTAAGATAGAGATATATCAACTCTCAGCAAAGTCCCAATAATAATAAGTCTGAAACCAAAAAAGGAAATAGCCAATCATTGCGTACTATAGGAGTGTAATCTAAATAGCGAATTGCCATAAGGAATGGTCCCGAGCCTTATGGCAGTCTATAGAGGAGTTTGTGTTCAGCAGTGAACAGATAACGGCTGATGTGATGATGATGATGATGATGAGAGAGTCGTTTCATAAATACATCTGGCTAGCTTCTCGAAAGTATTATTCCATAATCATTAAAACAAATTTATTAAATTATGGAATAAACATAGAAAATTGTATCATACATGTGAATGTGTTTCCAATACTGTTTTTTTTTAATGGTCAAACTCTCTTTGGAAATTATGTTTCGAGTCAAAGATATTACAATAAATTATGTAATTTGCCTCTGTCCTTATTCATGTTTCTACCGTTAAGCTGTTGTGTTTGCATGACTTTGTTTCGGTTTGAAGGGTATGGCAGTGAATTTACAGGGTACAGAGGAATAACACCTGAGTCCTCAGGAATGACAACGAATGGGGGGTATCATGGGCGAGACAGTATACTCTGTTATTTTCATGGTACTGATCATGTCTATAGGCGACAGTTACCACTTTCCAACAGGTGGGCCGCCATCTTGTTTGCCATTCTAAGTTGCATAAAAAAAATTGCAGAGAAGCCAGACTATCCACCTCAGAAGCATTGGATTGCTATGGATTGTTACGAGTCCAGTGTAGCTGGAGGTTTTTTACTAACATAGTTTTCTAAATCTTGTACTAACATGAAATGGATTGTGATCCAAATAAAGAAATTAATGTTATTATGGGACATATTCTTCAAACTACTAGATCAGGTAAGTCGTTTACATAAAATGATTTATATAAAATGATCATTTACATGAAATTGCATATTCATATTATTTTCTTGAAAATATTTAAGTTACATTTCAAACATTTCATTCATAAGAGAATAATAACTTACAGTTTATTTTCTTCATACAGGTATAAGATTCCCGCTTTAAATCCAAGCATCTGACAGATAATGAGGGTCTGATCTTTGTCATAATTCGCATCGGAATCCTTTAAAATCTTTAATACTTTCTCTTCATACATAGTCTTATCGTTTCCTGACACTTTGGCCCTGTGAAATAAAAGTAAATTGGTATAACGTTTATTGAAAATATAAACTTAAGTAGTAAAAGTACCAGGAAATTAGAATCAGGGACAATTATAACAATCCATTGTTAAAAAAAAAAAGAGAAATAGCTGTTTGATAAAAACTTTCAGGCTTTTTAGTACACCAATGAGTGTTCTAAATAGCAAAACCTTGCCTATGGTTGTTTTGGTCACACAAATTATACTACCACTAAATCAGCCAACCTTCCTTTTTTCTAGAATGAAAGTTCCAAATTTAAAATATGGTTAAGGGAAATTTTGATGACACTCACCATACATGAATATAATGTTCTATAAGCGCATTGTAAACGAGTTTGGAACATTTTGAATCGACCGTCGTCATGTGCTCTAGGAACTCGATGAGCCGCTCCGAGTTGCTCAGGAACATGTGTATGAAATCGTCTGGAATAGCCCTGTCTGGATCCCTGATGCCTCCTGTGAGGGTCGTCTCGTCCACTAGCGGTTTACTGCGGGGTTTGTAGTCCGTACACAATGCTGAGGAAAAAGTGATTATTAATAATGTGATCTTGTCAAATAATGCGATACGTAACTTTTTTTTTTAAATAAAAAGCTCTCAAGAAACAAGAGAATCAAATCTCCCAATTGGCAACCCTTTTCGTTTGTTTTACAGGGAGTCCCTTGATTGTCCGTTATTGTGACTTTTAAGTTAAAATAGTCACTTGGGTGTTACGTAACGCTTAAGGAGAGGGAAAGGGGGTACAGAAAAATGTTATGGCACGTTACATGAGAGGGAGGGAATATTAAAAAAAATTAAAAATTGCGTTACGTTATTATACTTTAACGACCCCATAGTACAAAGAAGCAAATACTTAAAACTTACATTTCAAGAACTTGGTGCTCTCTTCCGGCTCGTGCTGTATGAGCGTGTGCCCGTACTTCTTCATGTAAAACTCTGCATCCTCGAACTCCAGGTCGAGCATGTACTGAAGCGCGGATCTGTAATCCTTCTTGTCTTCTAGCATTATTTTGAGGTACCAATCGTGTCGTTTGTTGTTCGCCGCCAACGACAGTGCGTCGTCCACACTTACTTGACGGACCACCTGAGAATTTATTATGATTCTTCAATTGTGTCGGTATTTAGTATAGTATCATATTATCTATGGTTCTACTAATCAGTCCTATTACACAGCATATTTTAGAGAAAAACAATAACAACTTCATAGGCCTCAGAAACGCATTAGGAAAATGCTGTTCATATTTATAGACTAATTCTCATGTAGTGAATTGTAAGCTTATTAGTCATTTCAAATATCAGAAACAAAAACATAGGCTTGGGCATCTTTGTTGCAATTATTAATGCGACCCACAAACAACATTCTTTAATATTGTTACATTTTGAAAAGTGACAATGACCTGGAAATTACTAAAAATTGTAACTCAAAATAGTTATGTCCCAAAAGTCACAAGTGACCATGGCTATAGTACCTGATTACCCTCAGACACCATAAGTCTTGTTTTATATAAAAAAAAGAACCAATAAAAGAGAAGCAGCCGGTAATAACTAGTCTAGTAATAAATAAACTCATTTCCTTTGAATAATCATTTGAAGATGGCACTATCATTAAAATCGTTTAAAGTACGTATCGTAAAAGTTTATTCTGAAACTCCTGTTTCATTGTGCCAATTGTGAATACATGTATCTATGCATATGTTGTTTATATACAAGTGGGTTGGCAACCGCAATTAGGTTTTGGAGATGTTTTAAGAGAGACACTGCTGCCCATTCCTCGACTATTTAGTGTCCTTAGTCGCCTATTCTATGCTGGGACTATACGGTTTTTATGTATTGTGTTTTTATTATTTATGTATTTTTATTCAAATATACAGGTATATAGCATTACTTAATATTGTAATTTTAACTAGATATTGTTAAGTTTTATCTTTAGGTGTACAGTTTTTACACTCGAACATTCTATAGTTTTCTTTCAGCTTCTCAAAGGTTGACTGTAAGAGATCCCTCTATGGGACAAGTTCGCTATTGTATATTAATTTTTTTTATGTCCAATGTAAATTAGTACAATAAAGATTTTACTACAACAACACAACACACCTTAATCGCAACATCTACATCAAAGTCGATGGTTCTGTCCTTGGAATTAATGAAGTCTTTCAATTTTCCTTGGTGATCATGCTGATCTATCTTCACGTAGCAAGTCAAAAGCAGTGTGGTGTGGTCCTCGGTGGCACAGCCCTTCTTGTGCAGCTCCTCCAAGTACAGCACCAGAGGTTCCAAGTCTCTCGCTTCTAGATACTTCCGGATCACATATGAAGTATCTAGCCAACCGATTGTTTTAATGTATTGGTCTATAGCGCCTTTCAAATCCCCCTGTTGGTATACGTGTAAAATTTTTAGTGTATTAATCTAATACACAGCGTCTCACAGTGATGGTTGACTCCAACTATCTCTTAATACGGTTAAAATGTTATAGGAGACCCAGAAAGCATAAAGCATTGTTTTTATATAAATCTTTTCTATTTATTTACTAATATTATAAAGAGGTAAATTTGTGAGTTTGGATGTTAGGGGTAATCTTCGGTACTATCAATCCGATTTGAAAAATTTTTCACTGTTAGAAAGGTAGATTATCCCTGAGTGTTACAAGATACTTTTTATTTTGGTAAATATATATTTTCAATAATTTATTACAATAAATGTAATTGAAGTCAGCAACAATTCTACAATATTGGCGTGCGTATAATGTGCTTGAACAGTTTGAATAAAGGAATAAAATCTATAGCAACAATATTCATTACTGTTAGCTTTATTAAAGAGTCCGCAACGCTATATATCTTAGTTTAATATCTCAGACAAAAAAATTGTGTTTATGTTAAAAGTAAAATAAATTTAACTAGATTAAGTTTGTATACAGGTTTGAAGTATACAAATTCTTATAAAAAGTAACAGCTAAATCAAAATAGAAACATCGAAAAATATAATGTTAAGGATCTATAATTATTGTAATATAAAGTATAATGAGAGCGGGCCGCCATACCTTGCTGTATAGGTGATCTCCATATTGCTTATTAATTTCTGTGAACCCTTCAACATCGTAATGTTGACTGCTCGCTATCCTGATTGCGACGTCGTACAAATTCTTTTTGAACAGTAACGACAACTTCGACTGCAGATCTTTCTCCTCCAAATAGATAATTTCCTTTTTCTTTGTCAGTATATAAAAGGAACCCCATTCTGTGATCACTGCATCTATGAGATCGAACGTTTTGGAGAACACTATAAATTTATTCTGAATATCCAGAATAGTTACGTGATGAGATTTGGGCTCGGTGCTCGTGGACGCGACGGATTTTGATTGCGTCTCATTACTGGTGATGACTAGATATGAACGGAACCAGTTAAGCCCTACTTTGTCGCCTTCTAGCGCGTAGCAGGGTCCTCGACCTTCTGGGGTGTAGCAGTATATTGCCTGTAGATAATATTTGAAATTGTTTTATTGACAATATGGTATTGATATGCACATTTAATCCAAGTTTTTAATAGATATATTAGATAATTGGATTGAATTTAATTCAAATGAAGCAAACATCAGCAGACTATCTTATGGTCAAATAAATTATTATGTTCATTTACATTTTCATTAGCGAGCACAAGGTTGGGTTTATGGGGGTATGAGAAGACGGGTTAAGGTTTGTTTCAGTGTCATAAATATGGTAGCTATCAGAGGGTAAAATGGAATGCTGGGTTATCTCTCATAACTTATAGTACAATCCGTAAAATTGGTTAACTAATCTATACTTTTAAATGTCCGTGTCTTGGTAATCTTATATGGACTCCCACGATACAGGTACGCCTAGTGCAGGGTCTAATGTACTCACATTGGAAATTAATTGTATTTTTTAATAATAAATAAATAACATGTGCAAATTAAAAAAATCGGCAAATGCAATATCTCTATATTATATGATGAGAGAGTGAGATGGTACGAGTGTGTCTGAGAGGTACAGGCTGGACAGCTAGACGGTATGAGAGAGCGAGTGGTACGCACGTTGCCGACGGCGACGGTGAGGCCGTGGGAGTCCGAGAGGGCGCTGCAGGCGGGCGGCGCGCCGTGGCGCTCGAGCTGCAGGCAGCGCTCGGCCGCCGGCCACCACAGCGCCACGCTCGCGCGCGACACCACGTACAGCTTGTCCGCGCCCCTGTGCACATGTGATCAGACCATGGATATACATACATAAGTCGTTGTTGCAGTAACATTTCGGCGCATTAAATTATAAGGTTAGCTTTTGTTTACATTTGTATATAATATTTAAATTAAAGTATGCCCTGTATATGTAGTGTTATTAAGAGTCTTGTTTTAAATGAATTAATTAGCATCTGAGCAAGTCTATTGTGGTGATGAATAATTTCATGTTTATAAGCATTTATTAATATATTTACTTCCTTAATAAATGAGGCCTAAGGGACATCGTTTTTGAATATTTTTATTCTATATACATCTTTTATCAACTTAAAAATGGAAGATGATCTTATATTTTTTTATGAAATATCTTTAATCAAACAATCCTATAGCAAATGGAAAAAACTGGTGAAGCTTGATATTTAATATAATAATACTTCTCGATACTGAGTTATGAACTAATAAATACTTGAAATATACTAGTTAGAGACTGTTATTATTTTGCAATTAACATACTTGAATGCTAGTCCTGTAATCGGACTATTTCCCGAATTTGGGAGAGTTTTCATTTCACTGTTGCGTTGTCGCGTCAGGTTACCGCGGAATAATGATACGGAACCATCTTGAAAACCAACTGCCAGGAGATTCTGCAATTTAAAAATAATATAATTGATAATCAGAATAATCATATGGTAGTAGTATTTTGGAATATGGATTCATTACAAGTAAAGATTATTAAGGCTTTTTCTAGGCTATTTTTTTTGTTTGCTCCCCCTATAAGAAGCCTGCATTTGCCCGGATATTAAGTTCCAGGTTTTTATCTAGACTAATTTGCTATTATTAGGATTATTTAACATGAAAATACATAAGTGCATGCACATGGGGATTTTTTTAATGGGTGATAATGGTATGGTAAACCCACCTGCACTATTGGTATATACTGGCGGTGCAATAGTGACAGATGAGGATGAAAGCAGGTCAGTTAGCCTATCCTGACGAATTTAACTAGAATTAACCACGATAGTTTCCACAGGGAACCATGTGGAAGTCCACCTGACAGGGTATATTGTTAGTAATGGGGCTATTTGACCCCATTACTAACAGTCTTTTTCCTTCCTGCATATGGGGATTAGTACACATTATAAATGTATGACCTTATTTTCATGGACAGCTAACGCGGTGGCCGGTGTTGGTCGCATGTGAGAGGGCACGGCGCGGCACACTCGCACGCATTTGGGATTTCCATGTCGGTCAGTACGCGACCAGTCCCACACTTTGATTAGTGGATTTACACCTGCCTCGTCATCCTGTAACACAAATTTGTCATATTATATTGTATATTATAAAACAACAAATTATTTATATCAATGTATCTCGTACTTCTCGAGTTCAGTTATATCACAGAAATCAGTATATATAGGTAGCTCTGGAACATTTTTGTGGCATTATATGAAGTGAGGTGTATGTATGTTAAATTAATGAAGTTTTGTTGTTTCCCTCATTTTCATAACTCGACAAATGGCTATCCCTCGTGGATAGTCATTTTGTCGAGTTATGAAAAAGCATCTAAACATATTGAAATTAATATTATACTTTGTTAATGTCTGTATATTCCATAAGTCACATCATTTTCAGTCTTATAATACCACTGCAAATCCTTAATCTTGGTGACATGGGTTAAATCGCAGGTAAAAGCTAGTCATTACAAATAATCTAAAGGCTTGTGCAGGCTCGTTACATCTCTTATGATCTCTTAGTGATAAGGCTGCCTATTGTTTTCTTAGTGTATTTTTTTTTTAATTGTTTATATTTATAATACATTTACTAATGTAATTTTTTGAGAAAACAATAAGAGTATGTACCTATGTACTTGGATAAAATTTATCTTTATGTAAGTTTACACAACATAATAATATAGGTATAGTAGCATGTAATTTTAGGAATGATGACTAAATTTTAGTGTACCCTAAGGATTATTTTTAATTAGACTTAAAAGTCTGTAAAGGAGAAACAAATATAAAAATGAATTCTTTTAATATCCTGTCAACATTCCTTAGCTGTGTAGGTCTTACAATTGATGACAAATGTTAATCAATATATCAGCTTATAACTATTTAATTAAATGACATAACAAGAAAAACAATTTCAACTTACCCCTACTGTAACTAGAAATGGATCATGTGGGAGCTGCTGTGCAAGTGATATAGTTAACTCATATGCCTTGAACGAAGTAATCTCCCAGCAACGAGTGATGATGTGGGCCCATCCTGTTACATCACCGAGGATCACATGTCCATTACCACTTGTAGATACTGTTACATGAGTATCCTGTCGATAAATTTGTTTTACAATAAGAATTAGCAAAGTTATTTCTGGTAAATAAGGTCACAGTTTAATAAAGCAAATTCAATTCACCATGTGATCCTGACATAGAATGGACCACCTCTTTCTTTCCCATGGGTAGAGGCAACTAAGAAAAGTTAATATTTCAGAACTGGGCAACAGCATTCCTCTTTAAATATCACCAAGACTAACTGCAGTTGCCAACTTGCCTGCCATTACTGGCAAAATCCCCCAATAGGGGGAGGTTATGTTCAGTAATGAACAGTTAAGAGGTGATATAATTAGCAAAAATTTATCATCTGTATAATATTAATAAAGATTAATTAATTTATGTAACTACAAATAAATATGAATTCTAAAGTTTATAAATTATTTGACAAATAATCTTCTTCACTTATCATCACAAATATTAACATCTGAAATAATAAATTGTAGAAATATTGAGCTTCATAAATTGTAATTCGAACATAATATATACAAAGAAAAACAATAGTGTTTTAATGGGTAACAATAGAATGGTTACCCTGTCTGTGCTGTTGGCACATCATGACAAATCCATAGTAATCATCGCCTATACTAATGAACAATATCATAGACATAACATATATACTCCATTGCCCACAATACCCTTGATGAGGAGTAAGGCGTTATGTGTCTGTACAGTTTAGTTTTATTGCAATATACCAACCTTAAAACACAGCCATGCAAACATGAACAAAACATGTAGGGAATAAACCCATGGGCATTCTGTGGTATTTTAGATATCACAGAATGTACGAACATACCGCCCATGGAGGCATAGGGCTGTTCATTTCTATTTGTGACAATTATCACTTCCCATCATGAGAGCTTCAGCTTGTTTGGCACTCTAAATTTCATAAAAAAGATGAGATTTTCCAGAGTCTAATAATTAGAATCCTATGTAATAATACAATTTATTTTAATAATACCTTTCATCTCGTTGTATGGTTTAAGATTGTAATATTTACCTGTAGACACTCTGCTATTTTTCCATTGTCCACTTTTTCATGAATATCGAAAAAAGTAAATTTTCGCCACTGGAATAAACCAAGAATACTATTAGTGGGTTGCTGCATTGTCTTATTCTACGTCTAGTAAAATAAAAAGAGATATGTTTGGGAAAATTTTTATATTAATTAAATTTAATTCAGCCATATATAATAGTTTTTCCGGACATAATATGTAATCAAACAAAAGATAGGTGTTGTCGTTGTAAATTGCCATAGTAAACTGTATTATGCACCTCCAAAAATGCCATATCGATAATTTTTATCTAAACGTTGTTCATTTTATAACAAAACACTTATCACTTAATTAATATTTTCCTTGATAATAGAAAATAAAATATTGAAATAGGTATAGTGTAAAGCAAAATATTAGTAATAATATAATGTCATTCTTTACGTGCTGTCATTGTGAGTGTCAATGTCAAGTCAAATTCGATAAACTGGACTATTAAATTGACATTAGTATTTTTTAAAATAAAGGCAAAAGCATTATATATATAGCCTTAAAATGAGAAACCCGAATTTTTTGAGGTACTTCTAGTAATTTTGATTTTTAAAAGTTTGATAGGCTTCCTGAATTCTTAAATATAGCTGAAATTATAATATTTTAGATGATACTGTAATATACGGACAGATGACCAAATTAATAAAGATGGTTAAATTAGGTCTTGAATGAGGATAAATTGGATAACAAAACCAGTAGCAAATATTAATAACGTTCAGCAAAATAATCACAGCGAAAAATATTAAAAATATTCTAACTTTGACAGATTGTTTTTTATCCGCGATTTAGCTCGCGATACCACTATATGATTCTAAAAAGTAAATTTATCATTTCAGGTTTTTCTTTAGTTCTTAACCAGTTACAATCGCCATTTAGTAAATTAAAAACATTTTCTGACAGTATAAAGATGTCATTTTGATTTTAGTTCGTATAATATTTTTTGCTAAATTCCCATTGTAAGATGCCGAAATACTATAGATTTAGAGCGACTACGCCCACCCGGAAACCCAAACGATGTAGGGATAAGGAAAAAGAAAGAGAAATACAGAAGAAGTAAGTATATTGGTCCATCAGTTTGAGGGATATTCACTCTGAACTTTTCATATTAGCAGGTAATTTTAAGTAAACGGCATAAATATTCGAATATAGAAACATAAATTACTAATAAAAATATAACTTACAATACACATAGACATAGAAAACATCAATAAAGGTACTCTGTGTACCTTAGATTATAAAGTATATAGATAGGTATTGTAAAAGAGAAAAAAAAAAAAACTTAAAAACATTTATTGGTAAGATAGAAAAGTTTTTTTCATGCAATTTAGAATGGCAAATAAACGGCCCATCTGATGGAAAGTGGTAACCGTCGCCTATAGGGGGGAAAGGGATTGTTAGCAATGGAGTTTGACAGCCCCATTGCTAGCAATATTCCTTATTAGGTCGAAACCATCGTGAACAATTCTTGTTGAATTAGTCACGATGGGCTAACTGACCTGCTTTATTCTCACCTATCATCCTTCACTGGTGCTCCGCCAGTGTATATCGATAGCGCGGGTGGGGTTACCACTCCATTATCACCCATTAAAAAAAAAACCGTCGCCTATAGACATGAGCAGTATCGTGGACATAACACAGTATACTGTTTCGCTCATGATACCCCCCATGCGTTGCCATTCCTGAGGACTAAGGTGTTATTCCTCTGTACCCTGTAAATTTACTGCCATATCCTACCTTTCAAACCAAAACACAGCAATGCAAACACAACTGCTTCACGGTAAAAACACGAATGGGACAGGAGTAGGAGAATGTAGAAGTAGGAGTATGAACGAAATAAATTCTTATTATGTTTAAATTTTGAAGTGTATTAAGTTTTATAGGAATGTAGTTGGTTAGAGTTAAGTGTTCTGATCCTGATTGTAACAAAAATTAGAAAAAAAAAAAACCAGAAAATTCAGATATTCAAATACCACTTCACCTGCCATACTAGTCAGTTTGAACATCGATTATAATCTATCTGACAGCATACTTATATTTAAGATACAAAGTACTTTCTATGTGTCATAATTATAATATCTTTTATCACTATCTTCGTGTGGATAAAGAATATAGTCTTTTTTTCATCCTCAGGATAACTTAAAAGGAGATTTGAGGAACAAAGTACTAAATATGTAAAATTCGAAATTGAATCATAATCAGCCATTTGATTGGATAGGTAAATCAGGATTGCGTAATATCCTTGAAAAATGTTTAAAAGATGATAATGCAATGGTAACACAGCCTGACCTATCGGTATATACTGGCGGAGCACCAGTAAGCGATGATAGATGAGGTTGGAAACAGCTCAGTTAGCTTATTGTGATGAATTCATTAAGAATTAAGTTTCTAGGAAGAACCGCTTGGAGGTCGACCTCAGTACTAACAATTCCTTCCCCACTGGATAGAGTTGTTAGATTTGTCATTTATTTTTTAGTCGTAATCTTTTGTAGGACTTAAAAAATTCTTTTAGTGGGTAGGAGAAATAGATTTTTGAATTAAAAGCTTTGTGATGCGTATATATACGATAAGTACTGTTTTTCTATGTAAATATAAACGCAAATTATATTGTATTGTCATATTTTTTACGATCTCCGTGGTATATGGTGGGCACATCGATATACGTAAGTGAAGTCCCGGGTTCGATTCCTGGTCGGGATAATTTATGAAACAAACTTCACTGAATTGGCTCAGGGTCTGGGTGTTCTGATTCCCCAAGATGTTCGTTGCCTGGTTTCTCATAACACAAACCTCATAAAACACAATGTGATTGTATGGCACTTAATTATTTATTATTTATTTATAATAGGATCAGATTCGACACTGAAAGGAACTGGCTAGATGTAACACTAGCTTGCACACCAGCGCCATCTTGGTATCTCAGGCGTACATCATGGCGCGAGAGTCCACCATTAATGGGACTTCCTCGTGAATGGGCTTCGGGTCTCCGAGCATCAATACAACTGACCAATCACCCTATCTTAGCCTTCAAGATTCCGTCAAGTACTCTTGCTCAAGATATGAATCTGTACTGAGAACTCAAATAATTCTTTATTCAAAATTACAAGTTTCTTCAGGGATATTCCATTGAAGTGATGTTTTTGTAGTCATGTAAAGAGTTCTATTGTTCTCTTTGTTTATAGCCGTACAATTGTACCAAATAATTATGCTGTGTGGGTTAATACATAATTAAAATGGCAGCATTGGTGTTGTTGATTTTCCCGAACCAACCATAAGGGGGAAGGGATTGTTAGTAACGGGGTCTAACAATCTCATTGCTAGCAATATACCCTATCAGGTCGACCTCTACGTGGTTCCCTTTGGAAACCATCATGATTAATTCTTGTGGAATTCGTCACGATGGGCTAACTGACCTGCCTTCATCCTCACCTATCATCTAGCACTGGTGCTCCGCCAGCGATAACGCAGGTGGAGTTACCATTCCATTATCATCCATATAAAAACCAACAGTCAACCATACTATTTCTATAATATTGTCCAAGTCATTATATAAGTTAAAATGATCAGAAAGTGTTCTAAAACGTTAATCATAAAAAAAAGGTCAATTATCATCGAATATTTACATTTTTAGTAATTAGGTACCGTTCTAATACTTTAACTGTTGCAATTTTTTGGTGGTAGATTTACCTATGTGCTACTACTAGTATTATTAATAACATTTAGTTCTTGATTAATACTTTCTGAGTAATATTTAAATCACCATCATAATCATCATAGCTTCAAGCATCAAGCTTGTCCTGTCCACTACTAAAGATAGGTCTCCTTCATAGACTGCTGTAAGGAAAATATTAATGATGAAAAGGCCAATGATAAATATTGGAAATATAAATAATCATTCAGAAGTACTGAATTTTTTTTTTTTTTTGGTTTTAATATATTATCAAATAATACAAACGTGACAGACTTTATAATTAAAGCTCTTCAACCGGAACGATCTTAGTTCCATTTCTATACTTAGACGTGGTTTCACTTTATCACTTTATTGATAAATGGAATCCTTCGTAATTATCGTTCGTCAATATTGACTATGATGTGTGTGTACAGGTGACGGTGTACTATATCCACCAATTCATACTCAAGAGTAGAGAGACCTTGCTTTTTAAATATTAGATTTGTTGTCTGCAACAAGCTCATCCTGTAAAAAATATAGTGCCTACATAAGTGTACATTCTTTATATTATAAATGTAAAAGTTACTGATTGGATGGTGTAATAAGATAAAGCATAGGTATACTAGATCTTCAGTATAGGCGTATTAAAGAGGGGGGAGGGGGGAGCAGAAGTAAGATTATCATGGAACGAAAACTTTATCAACAGTGTAACATTTAAAGGAATGCTATTGTCTCATACTTATTATTACCTTTTTGGATTGGGCTTCGATTTCTCGTGGTCTAACATAGTGTAGCGTGCTATGGACATATTGTATCTCTCGATGTGGTAGTTCAAATATCTCAATCTGTGAACATTATCAAAGATCAGTGTTGCCAGATTATTTTTTTACGCAAATTTGAGTAAAAAATTTCGTGTTGGCGAAATTCTCGGTAATCTGCCAGCGTATCGCCAGCGCAGGCGGAGCATTGCTGTCTTTACAAATAATTCTCTCACAAGTACGCAGATTACAATGCTGAACATTTACGAGTTCGATTCAGTGTGGTATTTTATTGGAAAAGCGTTGCTTAGGTACGTATGAACAGAGAAAATGATGATTGATGATGATATAATAGGTAGTTACTATTAACCTTGCAGACATGTCGTCGTCTTCTCCTCCCCAGCCCCAGTATTCATTCGAGAAACCATTAACCTTGGTGAACTGCTCCTTTGTCATAGCTGACACTCCACCGAAGATTTCTTTATATGGCAATCTGGAATATTCCTATTATAATATTAGTAACGACTCGGATAAAGAACTAAATTAGAATATTAATAGTCGTAATTGCTTTTTTTTTTATAAAATAAATTATTTCATTTGATTGTACAATTTTTACAATAAATACTTGACGGAATTCGACGTCTAAGTTATTTTGAAAACATTTATTTACATTCGTTTTATCTATGTTATCAATCGAAGAGTGAGTGTAAAAAGTGGTATTCATAGTCATTATGGAATATCTTTAGCAGGTCTTAAACGAATCTTAAACGAAACGGCAGGTCGTAACTAATTATTATATATTTTAAAATTTATTAAAATATCAACTATTAAGCATACGAACTCGCGGGCATAGCTAATTTACTACAAGACCATTTACTTGAAATCAAATTTGTCTACTGCAGCAGACATGTGTCGAGGCTGGCTTGGGCAAGAGTATATGTTTCTCTGATCTAATGGTAGTAAGTCGACATCGTGGAAGATGAAACATTGCCAACCACCTACTTTTTGTTTTTCACTTTCCAAAAAGCCCACATTAAACAGTTTGGCACGATTGAAGTTTGCATTACCTGGAATTATAAAAAAAAAAAACTTTTTATATTTTTTTAAATGAATATTTCTTTAAGCATGTTTAGTCTTAGTTACATCCCAAAATGTACCCAACATTTTGGGATGTGAAAAAAGCATTGAAATTCCATGTCCATCTCGCTCAGATACGTACGCACGCACGCACGCATGCACTCATTTTGTCATGTAAAACAGCGCAATAAATAAACATTTTATCACTACCTCTATTAATATATTGATAAAAAAAATTAATTTAAAATACTTCCTAAAAACCTTTTTCTAACCACCCAAAAATAACAACAACAACCCTTTACAACTTTTCACTACTGACGTGTAGTCCTACAACTGATTCTGTTTTTTTTTTTTTTGTAATTCTAAATATTTTTTTTTGTAAAATTGTACAAAATAAAATGAAAATTTGAAATGGATGGTAATCCCGCCTACGGTTTCGGCATACGTTAACGGGGCACCAGTGAGAGATGATGGGTGAGAATGAAAGCAGTTCAGTTGGTCCAACGTGACGAATTCAACAATAATTAACCGTGATAATTTCTAGGAAAATCCGCGTGTAGGTCGACCTAATAGAATATATTACTAGCAATGAGGCTGTTAGATCCTGTTATTAACATTAACCCTTAATCCTTTCTAACCCAATTGTTGTGGGGAGAAGGGATTGTTAGCAATGGAGTTTGATAGCCCCATTGCTAGCAATATGCTCTATCAGGTCAACCTCCGCGTGGTTCCCCCTGGAAACTATCGTGAACAATTCTCGTTGAATTCGTCATGATGGGCTAACTGATCTGTTTCATCCTCGTCTATCATCCGTCACTGGTGCCCCGCCAGTGTATACCAATAGCGCGGGTGGGGTTACTATTTCATTATACCTATAAAAAAAACCCAATTGTTGTGCTATTTTAAGTGGCTGTGCTTGCATGTTTGATTCGGTTATTTCGGTTTGAAGAATTGGATATGGTAATGAAATTACAGGGTTAGTCCTCAGAAATGTTAAACCATGATACCATGGTTATCACAGTATATTCTATAACACCTATGGTGCTGTTCATGTCAATAGAAAACAGTTATGTTCCGGGTATAATTAGATAACTATCTAGTTATACAGTACACAACAAAATAATTAAAAGGCTCACCTAATTGTTCAACGATAAATATTCCATAGTCGATTTCTTGCTTCATTAGAAATGGATGCATATGATTTAGGAATATAGCCAAATGTTGTTTACGATCTCTGTAAATTTTTATATAACATCATAAACGTATATCTTATACGAAGGACATTTTGTCTGTGGACAATATTTCGCTATTATCTACCTTTTGTGTAAGTGGCTCCACGTGTGTACTGTAGCTGATGATGAGACAGTTAGCTGAGATCCGATAGTGGTGCATATTTATTTATTTAATATAAAAATCCACAGCTCTTTAAAATACAACTTACCTACATGCTAAGTCTCTTATAAATACAGCTAATAACGGATTTTACTTATACAAACAAAAATTATAATTCTAAAGCAAAGTGGGCAAGTTAGAGTGGGAGTATGCAAGTAATATAAGTGTATGTATGAAAGAAATTATATATTAAACTCGGTTAATTGATTGAATAGTGTTCCTGTAATAATTTCGGCCAGTTCCACTTGTTCCTACCAACTTCCACCTTGGGGGATAAGAGGGGGACTTCTTTCCACCTGTCCCTACCATTGTGTGTTCAGTAGGGATAAATGTAATGTATTATATATGCAATTTTTTCTACCTATATTTTTTTGATAATTCAACAAAACTTGATTACCTCTTCTTCTTCTGAATTCAAATAGCCAGGGGTTATCAATTCAGTCGTTTTTTTCTGTTTGTTCCTCATAGCTACGTCAGTTATAAGTCGATTTGTAAAATTATATTTTTTTATCTGAAAATATATACTTACAGATCCCTATAAATATATATACCCCTATAAATTTTATCAACATCGGTTTAGTACTTTAGTTTTTGAATTCAAATTACAATAATTTAGGCCACAATTGAATATAAATAACTAAGTTGTATTAAACAATAAATAAAAAATTGTATCCTATAGAACAGAATATTTTTTGTACAACTTAGAATGGCAAAAAAGCTGACGACTCACCTAATGGAAAGTGATAACCGTCGCCTATAGACACGAGCAGTACCATGGACATAACAGAGTATAATGTTTCGCCCATGATACCCCCCATGTGTTGCCATTCTTGAGGATTCAGGTGTTATTCCTATATACTCTGTAAATTCACTGCCATATCCCACCCTTCAACCGAAACACAGCCATGCAAACACAAGTGCTTCAAGGTATGGTAATCCCGCCTGTGCTAACGGGATACGCTGATTGCTTCAAGGTTTAAACATGAATGGGACAAAGGTACCCAAGCAAATGACTTTTGCACTAAGTCTCCTCTGGTATTCTTTCTGGTATTCTAGTCAATCTTTTTATTAACTTATATCGCTATCAATGGAGACTGATATCTTTATTACTAACTATCCCTTCCCCTTACCTATACCGTTCCAAGAACTTTTGACAGATGGCTAAAAAGCATAGTTTAAAAATAAAGAAAGTGCAGAAAATTGCTAATATGTGCAGAAATACCTGAATGGTACAATTATAGCTACTTTATGCCTAGCAGTACAGTAAGGAGGCGAGTACTTTCCTCCGCACGCTACCTCCGGGTACTGAGTGTCCACTCGTTCCAATTCTAATTCCGTCTTATTCACTGGAACGGGGCCTGGAATATAAAAACAGAAAATATGCAAATTGTGACATTGTGTCTAAATTAATTATATATATATATATATATATATATATATATATATTAAACCAGCAGTATCAGAGTTCGTAGGAAATACAGCCTAACCCTTCTTTGCATAATGGTGGAAATTTCCATCATAACATTGAATGCCCAAAAATAATATAAAAGAACAAGTTCACTTTCAGTTTTTTTCTTTCCTTTTATACAACTTAGAATAGCAAACAAGCCGATGGCCCACCTGATGGAAAGTGGTAACCGTCGCTTATAGACATGAGCAGTACCATGGACATAACAGAGTATACTGTTTCGCCCACGATACCCCCATGCGTTGCTATTCCTGAGGACTCAGGTGTTATTCCTCTGTACCCAGTAAATTCACGCCACCCTTCAAACCAAAACGCAGCTATGCAAACACAACTGCTTTACGGTTAAAATACGAATGGGACAGAGATACCCAAGCAATCGACTTTTGTACAAAGTCTCCCTCTGTGTGGATACCTTTTTAATGGACATTGCAAAAAACAAATCATAGTTGTCAAATTTATTTTTTAAGCATTTTTCCCTTAAATATTGAACATGAATTGTAACACCATGATTTATTTTACCAATAAAAAAAAAATCATGCAAAAAATAATCTTCCTAACCTTCTAAATTATCATTTGCTTATGGGCCGTCTCTTTCTTTCCCGTGGATAAGAAGAGGCGTCTAAGTTAATGGTTGAAAGACGGGCAGCAGTGTAGGGACGCTTAAGCGGCCTTAAAAACGTCACCAAAATCTAACTGCGGTTGTAAACCCACCTGCTGATCGTGGCAACTACTGGCAAAACACCTTAATGACAAATGCAGTCTATGGGGGAGGCCTATGTTCAGTAATGGACAGTTAACGATTAGTATGATATGAAGATAATTTGCTTTATATGTATGAGGGCATGTAAAGTCGTCGTTATGTAAGTTATAGGTTTTATATATAGTGCAATGAAGGCGTCCGTAAACTTCTGACATCAAATAGTGTTTCACGCGAGCATCAGCAGTAGTAATAAATTTAAAGTAGTAAACGTATCGATTGTTGTCGAGAACGGCGCAAGTACTAATTCGCGGAGAAAAAAAATTTTAATATACGTATAAAGACATTATGACAAGGTTGACTGTAAGAGATCCCTTTATGGGATAAGTCCGCCATTGTATACTAAATCATTTACTAGTATTTAATCTGACTTATGTACAATAAAGATTTTTACAATTACAATTACAATTATGTCACCAAAATATTTGTAAAAAGGAAAAAGCACTAAAGCACGAAAATACACATACGCACGCACGCACAAACACGCGCCCATGTACACGCGCACGCGCATACGTTAATACACACTTACACATACACCTACAAACATACACACACACGCGCACACGCATTCACGCATACGCACACGCGCTCACGCATATGCACACGCACACGCATACACACACATACATACACACAAAGCATTGAACTCAAATTATCATCACGCTCAATAAATAAATAATATCCTTACGTACACACAAACACACATATACATATATACTTTTACATGTAAAACAGCACAATAAATGTAAATTTTATAACTGTATTATTACGTTTCGATAAAGATAATTTCTAATATAAATTTCTAATTAAAAAAATATTTCTTAATAATTCAATAATAATGTTTACAATTTTATGAAGCTAAGAAATTTTTACTTCTGACATGCAGGGCACCGATTGATTGTTTTTTTATTTATAAAGAAAAGTACCTAAATCCTGCGGCATATTATCACACAGAGGCAAACTTTCATTTTTCACAATATTGGTAGCATTGCAGCTGTCTGTATATTCAGTTTCAGTATTATACTTCAATATGCTTTCTTTATATTTTCTTTGTTCTAAAACTGATTCCAGTAGTTCAAGTCTTTGTTCCACAGTATCGGTCCTGTAAAAATATTTAAATAATAAGCACAATATATTTAAATATTTAAGCCTATTGTAATTTACAATATAATGACTAGGTTATAAGAAACAAATTCTACCGCGTGAACATGTTAGAACGAGACAGACATCCGTTGTTTCATTTCTTTTTATGCTTGTGCTAACGAAAATGTGTCTATTGATATACTCGTTACTATAGTCTACTTAGAGGACTAATTCTCGTTACTAATTTCTTTATACTACATTCCATAACATGATGTGGATATAAACCATAAACAAGTAGATTTTGTTTCATAAAGAAAAAAAAAACATCAACTTCAATCGTGGTAAAAACAATTATTTCGATATAAAACCAAGCTACTGAACTGATTATATTATAAAATTTCTATAAGATCAGTCTTAAAGTATATCCATTCAGATAAAAATTAGTTTGACAAAGTTCTGAGCTTAGATTGAGTACCAGCGGGCAGATGTCGTTCAATTGTCACGTGACCGCTGACTGGCTGGTTTGTAGCGTTCATAATATCAATTAGCAAGGCAGTTCAATTTACGCCGTAATCTGCCTGGAAATAAGAGTTTATAATACGGCCCCAGGTATCAAAAATGTATCAAAATTTAGTCAGCTAATTTGATATTTTGTTGACTTTTTTTTAATCAAAACGGCTTATTTAAGATTCAAGAATTTCAAGCAACAAAATATTTAGTACTCTTTACTAATATAACGATCAATATGATATTTTGTTCGTGGAAATATATTCGTTTTGTTTTTTAATTTACCCTTATAATATAAATTTCTTCCACATAATAAGTAAAGGATGTATATATTTATATATATATTCTTTATTACACTTAAACAATACATACGACGATTAGTTTAACAACTTGTTAGCAAGGGAGGGCTTATCTCTGAAAGAGATCTCTTCCAGCCAACCCAGTGTAGTTAGAGAGAAAATAATTTGGGTAATTCAGTGCAGGAAAGGTACTGGTAAAAATAATGTAAATACAACAAATACAAGTTGTAAATAAATAAATAAATACATACGTAAATAAGTAAATAAATAAATATATATACATATGTATAAGTGCATAGAATTATCATATAGTATTGGTTAAAAGGTGTGATTTCAGTCTTCTCTTGAAGGAAGTACACATGAATAAAAAGTTAATCTGTTTTTGGTGAAGAATTTGTATGGAGAAATAAAATCGAATAGAGAATCCTCTCTTTTTTTAAGTCGACTGATAAAAATACTAATACCATCGTATGTACAACAAGCATTCTCAATATTTAACCATTGAAAAAAAATCTGATTGCATTTGTTACCGTTCAATCGGACGCACATTGTTGTATTCGTAATATGGTATGTTTGAGAAGAACGAAATAACGCCGACAACAGCCATCATCAGCAGTAGTAGGGGATGGACTTTACGTGGTACATGCCAGGTCTTCAGAGCTTCCAATCTCATAATTTCTAGTGCAAAATAAAACGATTTATTAAATACCATACTTGTCAAGCGTGGCAACTATTGGCAAAACCCCCCTCAAAGTAGGGGGGTTTATGTCCAGTAGGGGATAAACAGCTGATACAATATAATAAAAAAAAATTTTTTATTACGGGTGCTTGATTATTGAAACACTCGTTTTTTTTATATAACTATGGTGGCAAACAAGCATACGGACCATATGATGGTAAACGAGGTTACTATGGATGCATGACACAACGGATGAAACGCGCGTTTTGTCAATTTAAAAAAAATTCCCTTATTACAGTCTTAAGGAGTGGCAACGCTGCGTACCAAAAACTTTACATTGCATTTTCTTTGATGTCAATAGACATGAACTATAGGTGACGGTTGCCGGTTTGTAATAGGTGAACCATTAGATTGTAAACAAAAAATAAACGTTGTTGAATGAAATTTGAGTTAGGTAATAGCTTTTTTGTAGGCCAAGAAGTTATCCTTTAACTATATTACAATTCTCCCTTTAAAATCTAAATTTACGCCAGAAGTTTTCTATTATATAATAAAAATGTAATATTACTTAATTTATAATCGAACTATATATAGATAAATACTCACATACTTACAAGTCTTATCTACTTTCCGCGGACTTTGTAGTGAAACAACTCTAGTCACTTGCATACACACTACACCTGCCTCAAATTTTTGCGAGTTGGTTAAATTCAGGTACTGTTTGTATCTATATGTACACTTAGCAAAGTTTACGTTTAAAGTAATTCGTACGTATTATTAACTCACAATATAAATACATATAATGATATATATATATATATAGATAAGTACATTGATAAACAAAAAATATAATGTGCAAATCCTTATCTGTTTTTACTAATAATGATTAAGTTTATCTGATGGCTAGTAATAATAATTAGACCACTAACTACGATTTGGTATCGTACAAGCAAAATTATTGTCTACTAGTATTAAAAAGTAGTTTTTTTTTTACATATATCACAACAAAACAATTGATTACTTTATTAATACAGGCTAATTAATTTATTATTTTATCAATAATTCAAATGATTTTATAATAATTAATATATAATAACCTTAAATGTTTATTAAAGTTCATAATATTGTTTCGTATAATTTGTTGACTAAAATATACTACTATCCACCACAAAACAGGCTTTGGCTAGTATGGGGTCATACCTATATTGTACCATAGGCTAATTTTGTATAAGGAAATAAAGTTATTATTATTATTATCTATCTAGTTCATTATTATTAAATTTAGCTAAGTACATATATAATTGTATGTATAAATAATAGAGATTATAGGCTTATTGTTATAGGCATTATCAGGTGTACCATTACGCGGTACTCTCTGAAAATCATTATCGAATCGAATTCCATTATTCCATTAGTCCATCGGAAGTACCATTTCATATTTATCTACAAAAAAGCATATATTTATGTATCCTGTAATCAAACGCGGATTCAGCTCTCAAAAAAGGTGTGGTCACAGTCATACGAAAATCGGCCAAGTGCGTGTCGGAATATGAACTATGAATATTTATATGTTACAGTTACAGTATCTATATATTGACTTAATAATGGATGTATTAAATATCATTTAGCTAATAAATAGTATTGAAATGAAGAACCTTATCTAAATAAATACAGATATCAGACTGATAAGGGGGAAGTCGAAATGGGTGATAACTTTTTTCTGTCATCCATGATCAGAGGAACCTATTATATAGATTTTTAAGCGATACCGATATAACCCTGCTCGCTCATGATCGATATAATGCTTTCGTAGAAAGAGAAGATATTTATAAAATATATAACGCTCTAAGATTGGGGGGAAAGGGATTATTAATAATGGAGACTAAGAATTCCATTGCTATCAATATACCCAACCAGGTCGACTTCCTCGCGGTTCCCCCTGGAAACTATCATGAATAATTCCTCATGAATTCATCATATTGGGCTAACTGACCTGTTTTCATTCTCATCGATCACCTTTCATTGGTGCTCCGCCAGCGTATACCGTTAGCGCAGGCGGGGTTACCATTCCATTTTCACCTCCCAAAAAAAAACGCTCTAAGATTTTGTACAGAATGTAGTGTCCATGTGAGCAAAGCCGTTGGACGTACACTAGTAAATTAATAGTCATGTAAAATTTTATTTTATTCGCCGACGAAAATTACAAAAGTGTTAAAAATATAAAGGCATTGGCTATAATCAGTCTACAGACCTGAAGAGACCGTAAAAGTATGATGTCACAAGTCTATTAGAGTTGTTGGCATGCGCATCGTGCCCACAACGGTAGATTTGTACATACCTGTAATATCGAAGATCACGTTTGTAGATGACCGTTACCTCTTTTCATCCGTCACTTTGTTTGGTAAGGGACAATGGTAAAAAAAAGATATTGTTATATGAAAAACAAAATATATTCAGAAAAACAAATTTTGACATAAAAATAACCGTATCATCAAATAGTTATCACTTTTTTTTTAAGTAACTCAATGGTATCTAAATCCTATTCTCGATCCTACGTTAGGTATATTTATTACAAGGATTTGGATTTATAAGCTGAGTTAAAACTAGTATGAAATAAGTTAACATTTCATTCTCATATTGTATAAAATACTAAGATTCTGTAATAAACAAGATTCGATTAGATTCTAAGTAAATTGGTTAAGCTAATTTTTGGCCTTACACATAGGTAGGTAGTATGATTGTGAATGAAAAATATAACATTAAATAGTTGACAACTGCGACGACGTATGCGTGAATGGATTTGAGATAAAAATAGTTAATAATAATAAAAAAAAAAAGTAATAAAAAAGACAAATCAACTTGCACGAATCACTTAATACCTATATGTACTTGTATAACTAATGTCGGGCTAATAAAAAATAAATAATATTGGTATAAAATGCCTATTTTATGTTAATCTAGTTACCACTATTTTCATTATCATGCAATATCTATTTAAATATGGTACAATTTTCGTATAGTTCATGAGACGTGTATTATGTTTTAACATTGCAGTGATGATGTATGATGGTCTCATGAGAACCAAATAAAAATAAAATTGATATATTAATTACAGATCGTAAAATACCAACAAGTTAACAGCGTCATAATGTACGGTCACAGTCTGTAACTGATCATATCGTTTAAATTTTGTTCATTAATATTGTCTCTATTGGAGCTACTAGACTATTAAATACACACACTTTGCTATTCTCTTCAAAACCCAAGTCAAGCAAATGGATGGAAAACAGAAAATTACAGTAGTATACTTAGCGGATATAAATGTCCGACATGACATGTTGTAATAATATATAAGATGAAATCGAATGTATTTGCATATTTCAAAGGAAGTGTTCTCAGATTGAAACTGAACATTGTTCCCAAAAAAGACGTGAGTTGAAAAAAGACAATATAAATTTTAAACTTTTCATACCAACACGGCGTATTATTTTTTTAATATGGTAAAAATGGAATAGTAAACCCGTCCGCACTATCGGTATATACTAGTGAGTGACGATAAATGAAGGTAAACTCAGGTCAGTTTGTCCATGATGATGGACCAACTGACCTATTTCCATCCTCACTTATCATCCTTCATTGGTATCCCGCCAGCGTATTCTAATAGAGCACACGACGTTAGTATTCCATTATCATTTATGGAAAAAAAAAACACTCTTTAAGACGTATCATGTAATTTACTGTCATCCAATGATTTATAACATTATTGCTGTCACCAATTGATTGATTATTCGAAGATTTTGAATTTAAATAGCATTGCAAAAAATATTAGTCTGTCTCTTTTTAATTTAAACGATATAACAGTACAAAGTGTATATATGTTGTTGAAACGCTTATTATAGATACAAATAAATTAGGATTTTATTACACCTATGTATTATTTTGCAAGTTAACAGATAAAACTTAATAAAAGTGTAAAAAATATATCCAGATCAAGAAAATATATGTACATTTTATTGAAAATATGCAAAAATGATTAAGCAATAAAACTGAGAATAAGTTATCAGTCCTAAATATAGGCCAACCTAAAGATAAGCCATTGCTCATAGTGGCAACCAGTTACACAGTGTAGTAACTTTAGAATAATTTACTAAGCAATATTCGATGATATATTTATAGAAATATATAATAGTTCCTTTTATAATATACTGGGTACCATTTCGAATTAATAATAAATAATTGAAAATACCTATTTATAATTTAAAAAGATAAAATGGGGGAATATCTAATAAGTATAATTTACTTTCTATGGATTCATTATACAACATTTACGGGATAGTTATTTATAATGTTGGACTTTGCTCCAGAAAAAAAAAAAAAATTAGGAGGGTGGCGAGTGTAACCTTTTTAAAGTACGTATTATTTAAGCCATTTAGGTATATTACAGAGTACTTAGTATCTTCTTGTTCAAGTACCTATGATTTTTTTTTAAATATGAGCAATGGTTTAATCTTTTACAATTATCAATATTATTGGTATCACATTGTATCCCTTATAACTAGGTTATTATGGAAATTAGATTTTTATTTACAAAACTGAATATTTAGAGATATTGTTTCTTGAAATAAAAGATAAAAGAATCTTAAATTTAATTATTTATTGGAACAAGCTTTTGGAATGGTTATTCGAATAGCCATCTTTATAGGTTGACTATTAGATAAACAGCGATAGGTAATGCATATTATTAGAATAGGTACATATTACAATTATTTCATTATCTTAATGTACTCATGTTTTTTTTTTTCTATACATAAAATAATTCAGATTTTAAAATGTAAATTAAAAAAAAAGCATAAAAATATTTGACTAGTCCTTATTACTAACTCAATATTGTTATTTAGCACGTTCATGTTGTCTGTACTTTTTTTTTTACAATTCTAAGCGATTTTTATAATGTAAACTTATTTTTATATGTAATATCTACAACAAGCTATATACATGGATTTTCCAACTATTATTAAGTACATATTTATTATTATTATTATTCAAATTTGTTAATAGTTTAATTATGGAAACATGGAGATATTATGTGCATAAAAACTAGTGCAATTATTATCTCTGAGATAATTAGGGATACCTAATATGTACAAACAAATATATGGCGAACACCATTACAGAAGAATATTATGTAAGAATTATTACGGTTTATTTAAAGCCTTAAAGTGATGTTAGGTATAACGTATAACCATAGATAAAAATGTATTAAAACGTACAACGAAGAAAAGCCCGCGAGGTTCTATAATATGCGATTAGGCCGTGAATACCTAAGTACATCATTATTGATTATTCCAAGTAGGTAATATATTGTTGACAATTTCAAATATATGGTACACCCCTTATTCATAAAAACCTCAAACGTTTCATAATAAATTATTAATGTATTTTGTCTTTTTCTTTCGTGTTAAATTCCCCATTTGAAAGAAAGCGATAAAATATTTTAAAATAGGTGTGTAGGAGGTTTTAGTTATTATGAATAGGGAAATAATGTTTACAACAGCACAAGAACATAATGGTTCTTTATTTAAGTCCGATTCTGTCAATTCTGATTAAAATCAACAGACATTTATGACAGTCTAAAGGTATAAAATGTTAATAGATACCAGCTAATAACTTGAGTACTAACATGTAATTCGCGCAGTAATAATTTTATGTAGAAAACATATCTATCAAATACCTACTACGCAAGCATTGTCTATGGTCTTGTTCAAGTTATTTTCCGCGAATTGTACAAGGTGTATATTGAAAATGGAATTTGTCGTCACCAATGAAAAAATCTATGTAGTTTGTCTATGGATAGATTTTGACATGTCTCAGACTAAGAAGTCAACGCAACGTCGCAGCTAGATTATTTTGAAGGCTTATTTTTTAGTTACATTGATGTTCGTATGTTTGTATTTTCAAATCTAGATAATATACATATAGTTGGAGCGTCGAGTTTCAAAAAATAAAAAATAAAATCTGGCTAACGCGTCGTTTTTTTTTCAAACTAAGTGTTTTAATGGAAAGTTTAAAAGCACATTTATAATATGGTAATTATAAGTAAATAAAATGACAGTTTGTGTTATCAATCAAATACAAGATTATTGCAAAAGAAAAAAAAAAACCAATAAAACAAGTTGGGTTTTTTTTTTATCAAAGTATTTGCAGGGAGACACTCAAGAGATTTTTGACCTGAATTGTATTACATAATCATGTATAAATTAATGACTGTGTATAAAATACAATAGCACTGTAACGTTACATTATTGTAATGTACGTCATATTGTCATAATCTGTCCTTAATATAATTTTAGATGGCCAAGTTAGTTTAATAATGTGAACATAATAATGTCTTTTTATTCGATATCACAAATTTGGAAAAAATTAGACATGTGTCTAAAGAAATTAGTGGAATTTCAAATATAGTAAATATACAATCGATTGTTATCTACGCCAAATTATAATTTAAACTAATATATTTTAATGTAATAACTACCATTAGGTGGTTAACTTATTTGTAATTTGTTCGAGAAAGCTCGACTAGTTTCGGGACCATTCTAGACCCCTAGTCTTGAGCGGCTTTTATGAGAGCGAGAATCTGACACACACTCGTCACTGCCGTTAAAGACGAAGGATCCCAAATGAAACAAATTCCAGACAAGTTAAACCGACAGTTATTACATTAAAATATAATGTGTACTTAGCAAACTTTTACCAATAAAATTAATCAGGTGTTAAAATATACAATCATGGGTGTGAAACATAAATTATTGATTAATATCATATTAACTTGTACTTAATATTGTATGTATTGGCATAATGTTATAAAAATGTATCAAAAACGGTATAGTATTTGATGTACACACTTATATTTATATGATGTCAAGCAGAAAATATGTACTAACATTCTAGTAATAGGCGACACGATTTAGTACATTATCGTTGGGTCCAACCCCGTTTCTATAAAACAGATTTCCCGAACCAATTTGTTGACGTTCTAGTTCTTATCTATGCTCTATCCGTTGTAGCATTATGTGAAAGACAGCTCACATTTTGGCTATCTTTATTATTAGAGTCAAAGTCAATGTAAATTCTTTTGCATAATCAAATGTTTTATTGGATCTGTAAGTCAGTTGTGTCTATGGTTCTTGGGACCCATAACATGTTAGCAGATAGAGTATAAAGGTAACTTTGACAATGGTGTACCAAATTGTGTCGTTTACAAATGCTTTTCAAGTCACTATGTGAACAGGCTTACTTACATTATTTATTGTATTATGTACTTATTTAACTTTGTTCCGATCTTATAGCTACTTTGTTAATAAAGAGAAAAAAAAGGGTATAAAAATAAAAATTAAAAAAATAACATTCCTTTACGCTCCGTAATGACTATCAATGCATACGAATAGCGTAGTGGAATAAAAAACACAAAATTTACATAAAAACAAATTTCATGCCCACATCATAGAAAATATAATAAGATAACTAATTTTAATAATTAATTTGATTTAAATTGTTCCAGAATTTTCCAGTCGCTATATTTTGATTAATTGATTTTTTATTAAAGTAAATATTGAGAAAGAGGGACATGATTAATTCACTATAACAATTATAAAAAATATATAATAATAAAAAAAAAAAAAATCATAATGCCCAGTTCAAATAATTCCAGAATATTCTAGTCGATTATAAAAGAAAGTTCTAATATGAAAAGGTAACTTTTCTAGACAATATACAAAGGAATCTATTATTGATAAAAATTGATACAATCATTTGTACCTTGCCTAGAGAGTAGAGTAGGTATCCAGTATACAATATCTAGGTACTCCATAGACGTAGTATCCATAACGTACGTACTTATGAAAGATAGACAGTGACATTTTAGTGTTATACTAAACTTATTTGGGCGATTTTCTGCTTTCTGCGTGCCATTTCTATCTAATTTCGTCAAACTTTTTTTTAATATCCAGTCTTCAGAAAGTATTTTGTACAACGATTCCTTCTATATTTTGGGGTATCGGGGTATTTGGGGTAAAGTCGAAAGCATCATTGAAAGGTCCACAGAAGTTGGACACTTGCTGAAAATCACCCATTTTCTTAGTATTTATAATATGTAGAACCTTTCTTGTATATCTATGTATATTTATTATTGTACTGAATTTAGCGACTGAAATGATATGAACCAGGCAGAGAGATCATAGACAAGTAGGTATAACATTGTTTTTTTTTTATACAATGCACTTTTCATTAACAATGGGTCGTACTCAAGTGTAAACCAGTCATAGGACTTATTTATTTCAGTTCTACTAGATATAGACTTAAATAGATGTCGCAAGTTATTTAAAAATTTATTAAGATCAACTATGCCATGATGTTCTATCTATAAATGTTTAGATGGCTATATATGTCTAGATGGAGCGTCCAGTTTCGAAATCATCTCTAGAAGGCGGAGAAGGGACGTAAATACGTAGCAATTCACTTACTTTCACTGCTATATACCTTCTTCTTTTAAATATATGTCGCATCTGTTCTTGCTCTTTGGATGTCCCATCACCCGTATCGAATCGTGAGGACGGGTAATCCAGTTATTACACGAAACGAATCAAAGTTGTGTATTGAGGTTGAACGTGACAATGTGGAGATAGTAGATGATATTTATAAAAACGAAGTTGCGACATCTATTTAAATGTATATCAGTGATTCTGTACAATCTTCAAATGAGAGATCTAAACGAATGTATAGTATAATTAATTAATAAGATTATCACATACGAGTCCACACTGTCGTTACCGTTCGTCGCCAAACAACAGTTTGGCGAAATATGTCCATCAGCTACGCTCGTCTATATTGGCTAAGATGTGTGTGTACAAATGGTTTTGGACTATTTCAACTAATTCGTATTCGAGGGTCGATAGTCCATCGTTCTGGAATATCTTGCTAGTTTGCGACAGTAACTGGTACCTGGAAACAAGGAAGGGAATTTTATATAGGAAATATAAACTTTACCAGAGGGAGACTTTGTACAAAAGTTGATTGCCTTGGATACATTGGGTACATTGGGTACCTCTGTCCTATTTGTTTCTACCGTGAAGCAGTTGTGTTTGCATGGCTGTGTTTCAGTTTGAAGGGTGGGATATGGCGAGAACTTACAGGGTACAGAGGAATAACATTTGAGTCCTCAGGAAGGGCAACGCATGGGGGGTATCATGGGCGAAACAGTATACTCTGTTATATCCATGGTACTGCTCATGTCTATAGGCGACGGTTACCACTTTCCATCAGGTGGGCCGTCAGCTTGTTTGCCATTCTAAGTTGTATAAAAAAATAGCAATTAGCTTTTGCCCTTTTGATATAGAACCAGTTCTAGATGTATAATAAATAAGCCGACTACTTTTTGCGCATACTTTCTCGCCTATTGCATAATTAGCTTTGTAATTAAAAGCTTCTTGATTTATGTCTAAATAAAATAACAATGTAATGTATAAATAACATAATTGTTAATACCTTTTGGGGTTGGGTGCTGATTTTTTGTGATCTAACATAGCATATCGTGCTATAGACATCTTATATCTTGCTATATGATAATTCATCTTTTTTAACCTGCAAAGAAATATATAAATTTTAATATTTTATTTTTTTATGAATAAGGCCTTATAGGATTATACTTATTCATTTTTAATACCACTATCGCCACTACTGTATGTATTTTTGAATCTAATCTTTATTAATTTTACATTTGTGACGACTTAAGTTTATTTTGGAGTCTTACTGACTTCATAAAATTGGCATATATATTTGATATAAAAGAAGAAATAGTCTATTTTTTATAACACTCATTCAATATGCCCGTAGCTAGACTCGTTTCCCTATGTTGTATGTATAGTTATTCGTTTCAGGGTTTCCAGATGCAAATTTTGATTTTATACCAAGCGTCAAATATTTTTTCTACATATCGTTACGATTTTCAGGATTTTTACCCAATCACAAAGTTGTATTGTTTTTAATTATTTCATTACGTTTTGCCATGTGCGTGAAATGAATGGCGATAAAATAATTATTTCTTATCTTTTAACTTTTCTCTCTCTTTCTCTTATTATATATTTTATTATGTACCTTACATATCTGTACAGTGTTTACAAATACTAAAATTATTTAGTCGACCCAAAATTTCCAAACAAATTACCTACCCAAATTTCTTTAAAAAAATTACCTAAATTTAATTTTTTCAAAATTTCGCAAATAGAAATGTTTTACCCAAAATTGCGAACTAAATACCCATTTTTTTTATTTTATTTTGGTAACCAAACAATCTGGCAACACTTAAAGTATGAACCCTCATTTGTATCCATGGTCATGAATAAATAAAAAAAAATTAACCCTTATTTGGTTAATTTGAATACACGGCCTAATTACGATATTAAATTGCTGGTCTACATACCTATAGAACATATCATCATCTTCACCTCCCCAGCCCCAGTATTTATTGGAAAAGCCGTTGACTTTAACAAATTGTTCTAGAGTCATTGCTGACACACCGCCGAAAATATCTTCGTATGGTAATCTGAAAAACATAAACCAATAATTAGGAAAAAAAAATGTAGTTGGTAATATTGTACAGCCCTTATCAATTACAGAGTAGAGAGATGTTAAATAAACTAGAATGGAATGAGACAGGATAGGGAAGAATAGAAAAAAACAAATAGATATGTTCATGACTGTAATTTATAACAGTATTTGGCAAAATACTTTTATATCGATGATTAATTCTAAGAATTAGATTAGGCATGCAATGCATATAATCTCGAATGTGACTTTATTCAGAAGTGCGATTTAGCCATGGTGATACATTAAGTGCTAACATATAGCAAACTATGTAATTATACTAAGTATAAATATTAATTATTTGTGTGAATATATAAATATAGATTTTATATAAACATATATGTATAATTAATTAAATAACTAAGGGACTAAGAAAATATAAAGATCGAGGGATGGGCAGCAGCATTCCTCTTAAAACACCATCAAAAGCCTAACTATGGTTACCAATCCGGCTGCAAAGTATGATAAATACTGGATAAACTCCCGCCCCTTTATTGGGGAGGCCTATGTTCAGTGGACAGCTAATGGCTAATATAATATGAAGATAGCCGCACATAAATGTTCGTGCAAATTAGAAAGGAACTTACTTAAAATTGAGCTTATCTATAGAGGCCGACATGTGCCGCGGCTGTCTGGGGCAGGAGTACATGTTCCTTAAATCCAACGGCAGTAGGTCGATGTCGTGGAATATGAAGCACTCCCAGCCGCCAGCCTTCTGTTTCTGGCTCTCCATGAAGCCCACGTTCATTAACTTGGCGCGGTTAAATTCACTGTTGCCTGGAAATAAAAAAAAAAATTAAGGAGCAATTATAAATATGGTTATGTACAGTTATCGGTTCGCTGTGTAGGTCCTGACATATAATAGGTTACCCCTTTTTTCCACGGGTGTCGTAAGAGACGACTAAGGGAGCTTATGTTTAAGGGATGGGCAGTAGCGTCCCTCTTAAAACTTCACTAAAAGCCAAACTGTGGTTGCCAACTTGCCTGCCAAGTGTAGCAATTAGTAAACCCCTCTTATGGGAGAGGTCTATATTCAGCAGTGGACAGTTAGCGGCTGATATGATAATGATAATTATTATAAATATTAAAGTGACGTTGTTTATTTGTTTGTTACCTCTTTTTGTCTTAACTTCTTCATCGATCGTCAAAAAATAAAAAAAAGACATAATTTATGTCTGAGATGGAGAATAACAAAAAGTGTATTTAATCATGAATAAAACTGAATTACAAACTAGTATTTTACCAAGTTAACTCAAAAAAAAAATACCTTCTTGTTCAACGATGAATATTCCATACTCTATCTGTTGCTTCATCAGGAATGGATGCATATGATTCAGGAATATCGCTAAATGCTGCTGACGGTCTCTGGAATAACAAATACAATGGACATTTTAATTTTACCAGATATAATGATGTAGGACGAGCCTAATGTGACATTTATACGGCATGATGTCGATTTGACCCAAATTAGATTGCATTAAATTTAGTTTCGATTTAAATCATCCACAAAATATGCAATTTGAACAACTTTAAAAATATGCATATTATGTATTATTTTCGTCATTTTTAAACAGTTTTTAACAGGATTTCAAAAGGAGGTTAGATTTTGTAACCTAGTCACAAAAAAGAAAAAAAATCCGCGATTACATCATCAATTTTAAAAAATAAGAGCATTTTCTCAATCCAGAGAGTTTACTTCTGTATTGCTTACATTTTAATTCCGTAACGATGGAAGCTGCCATATTTTTTATTTTGTAAAGCCATATTTTTCTGTTTGTTACGAAGCAAAATCTACTATACCTTTATTTATAAGTAAACACGCAATTTTTACAATATAGGTATCTATAAAATGACACGTCTTTTTCAGTGCGTTCGCGTAGTAGTTTGTTTTTTACGGAGCAGTACATACTTTATTTATATAAATAACTTATAACTTTATTGACCAAAATAAAATATGGCACAAAAGGCAGACTTAATGCTAGTAGCATTCTCTACCAGTCATATTTGTGGATGTGCTTTTTGTAAATTATTAATACGTTCAAAAAATATTTTCCGAGGACTAGGATTTTCAAATACAGCATCGAAAATTAGAAATGAGTAATATATTTTATAACAAAACATACTGTAATTACAATATCTATGTAATAGACTCAGTAATGGACATATTAAATATCAGATATCCAATATATAATATTTAAATGAAAAACCAGATCGAAGTTAATATAAATATCCGACTGGTAAGGACGATGTAGGAATGGGTGATAATATCTAGGAACCCAATATATAGATAACGAAGTGGTATCGATATTACCCATACCTATTAAAAATATTTTAAAATTATTTTTGTATCTTACTTTCGTACTGTCTGTTAAATATATATCTATTGATTGATCATTAGTCATAGTATATAAGTGCTTTGTAATTAAAAAGATTAAATGTTGTAATTACCTGAATGGCACAATTATGGCCACTTTGTACCTGGCTGTACAATTGGGAGGCGAATACCGACCGCCCCAATGCACTTCCGGGTATTTCTTTTCCACCCACTCCAGTTCCACTTCGGTTTTGTTTACTGGTATTGGACCTGACAATTGTTAAATAAAAAATTTAGGAGGAAATTTAATGTATTTGTCTTAAATCATATACTTATATATTTAAATACTTATTATGTTCACGGCAATCGATTACTATCAGGTTTAAATTTGTGTTGTTTTTTACAATCAATTCTAAATAAACTTCGTATTCTCCCCCATCACCACATGAAGGTGTGGTTTATGAGCAAAGTGTATTTTTTGTACAAAAACCGCACCAATTACCTAATCCTTAAAATAGAATATTCTGTGTTATAAGGAACCAAACAACGACAGTATGTATATAAGGGCACATAGAAATCCCAAATCTGAGCCAATTCAAAAAGTTAGTTTCCTAAATTGGTTCGACCAGGAGTCAAAACCGGAGCCTCATTTACGCAAATCAACGTACCCACCGCTGCATTAGGGAGGTGGTAAAATTTGTTTGTAAGAGTTAAAAAAGGTTTCAATTTAACAGTACTTTTTAAGGGTATAATCTTAGTTCAGTACGCGAGTCGTAATCGATTGCAAAGAAGAACCATCATTAGCTAGATAAATAAACTCTTTCTTCTAGTTTTCTCTTTCTCTTTAATCTAAACTCCCATGTCGGTTCCATAGTAATTCTGCCAAGACTGAAGACACTATTTTTTGTAGAACAAATTAAAGCCGGTGGGATCGATTTTGAGGTGTCATATCTTGAAACTTATTTCTTTACGTTATACTTTAATTTCGTAAAATTACTGTAACCATCTTAAACTTAATTTACAATAATTTTGACTTAAATCTATTAAAAAATAAGTTCATATTGATCCTTCGAATAAAGGTTTCGCTGTGATATCAAATTGAGGTTTAGGCTATTTTCGCTATAATTAGCTTTAATTATACTTACCCAAATCAGGTGGCAATTTATCACAAAGCGGCAAAGCAGGTTCAGTTTTTTTCACATCCACTTCCTCAGTTGTAACTAGATTCTTGATATTATCCATTAGTTTCGAGATCAGCACTGACGTACTGGTATCTTCGGTGGAATCTTGACGAGTCATATTTGTAGCAGTTATGTTTGTGGCGTTATATTTTACAGTATTAGGAGAAACAGTTACGTTTTTTGCGTACGTAGAGTTTTTAGGCCGCTGTACCGAAGTCTTATCGCTACATCTGAAACAAAGTTGATTATTCAATGTAATGTTTTTTATATTATACAATTAGAGCCAGATACGGTTAGCTAGTTATGTAAAAAACAGTCACATTACTTAGGCTGACTGCTAGTTAGTTTCAATTTAGAAGTTCTCTGATAAATCGGAAGCCGATACATTCGAAAAGTAGAAACCCTTTTATTTATAAAAAACGTCGAACTTCGAATAAACCTATTTAGCTACTGAACTGATTTCTTTCTTTTGAGCTGAATTCTCAATTTGAATGAAAGTGACGAAACACGGTAATAGTTAAAGTGGGTTTTAGTTTAAATGCATAATGGGATAAATAAGGTTAAATAAGACTATAAAAGTCATCTGTATAAGCACCTTTGTACCACGTGTTTCTGCCACAAAACACCTGTTTGTTTGTCTATGTTTCGGTATATAGGGTGGAATTTGACAGTAAAATTACAAGGTATGGAGACATAACTCCTTCGCCCATAGGCATGCAACGTATGAGTGTTGGCGCATCACAGTGATATCCAGGAACCTAAAGTACCATTTATATCTATAGGCGATGGTTACCACGTTCTATTTAGTCCTAATTTGTCAATCCAAGTTTTATAAAAAAGACCACAAATTTTTAAGGTCTTAAATTATTTTATAGATTTAATATAAACCATAAAAGAGTCATAAAAATATAAACTCACCGTATTGTGGGTTGGGTGGCGTTATAAAGCGGGGTGTACAAATAAGTTCTGAGCGGAGACGCGTCGAGTATAGACCCCGAGAGGTACTCAACGGCGGCGAGCGCCAGCACGAACAACAGTAGGAAGCGGAGCGCGCGCGCCGCCCGCCCGCCGCCCCCGTTGCCGCTCCCGCCCATCAACGCATACGGTGTGTTCGGGTATACGCCGACCCCTGTGGAACAGAACATCAGGAAATTCAGTGTTGCCAAATGCGATTTCCCATTTTTCGCCAAGTTATTAGTGTTTTTTTCTCTAGTTACGCACTACACGCTGACTTCTTAATGTCATATTTCCTTTAATGTTATAATATACGAATATGGTTCTATTCGGTTTAACCAAAATTACCCAAAACATACAATTTTTCTCTCCAAAAATGTCTTCACCACAAATATTTTTACTTAAAAATCCGGGAAAAAATACTCAACCTGGCAATGTCGAATAAATTATAAATGATTTTTATATAGAGTCAGTACAGATGGAAAATTCAATAAATAAAATTATGTAGTTTCGAGATAATAACTTTTGGCATTATTTTTAAAAGAATGTTTTATCAGATTTTACTAGTGAAACTGAAGAATATGTACGTATGTATATATATATACAGTCGAAAAACGACCATAAATTCCGATACCCCAATAAAACGGCACGTTCAGCTGTCAAGTTAGTATAGAGTTGTCGTTTTTTATGTTCTTTTGCACAATCGGAAAATCGTCCATAGGGCGGACATAATAACCAATACGTTATGGTACTCTCGACCAGTCAACTGTTGCTTTGAACATCTATTTATAATAAGTGGAGATATTGTCGTTATATCTCCAGTAAGATGTAATATTAGACCAATAATCTTAGGAATTCTTACTAATATTGCAAATGTGAAAGTGAATTTGTTTGTAACCAGTTAACGACTTGACCAATCGTCGTGAAATTCGGTGTACACGTATTCTATGGGATGAAAAAAGACAAACGTTACTATTTATCTGACCAAGTCTCAGGTGATAATGGATTAATAATTTAGTATTGAGCAGAGAGAATTATAAACAATATATTGGAGTCATTCATCTGCTTGCCTTTATTTCAATTTTATATATTTTGTAGTCGCCGTAATGTGTTAGACAATATATTATATTTGAATATTTCTCGAAAGTTACCTTTACATATATTATTATTTGCGACCTCCGCGGTGTTTACGTAAATAAGATCAGGGGTTCAATCCCTTGCCATGTCAATTTAAGAAGTGAATTGGCAATTTAGGGAACAATTTGTTTAGAATTGGCTCAAGTCTCAGTATCCTGGGTTGTGCCTCTAGACATTTCCTTCTTGTTTGTTTACAACACAGTGTATCTTAGATTAAGGACCAGATGATCCTCAATCTTCAGAAGGTGTGATTATTTATTAAAAAATAATAACATTTAAAATTGTTATTCTAAAAGCAATACTAACAACTGAGATCAAACGGCCGATAAACTAGTAAGGTTACACTTTTAGTGTCGATCTCGACGCATTAGACTAGTTACAGGAATGTAACATCACAGTCCAATGAACCGTGAAAGACGTTCGTAATTGGGTCCAGGAAAGGTCTCGAGAGCACACATGTGTAATAACAAAATTATTAAGGTTGCTCACCGACGCGGCTGTAAATATAGGGATATTTCTATTTTATTCAAGACTTGCCTCTTTATTTAAAAGGGTGCTAAGAAATGAGATATGAAGGCAGAGGTAACCAATGTGACATTGTACTGGCCAATTTCCGGGGTTTAATAAGGGTTAAGGCAATAAATGTCTTTGTTTGACATAAGATTACTGCAAAGAATACGGAAAATATTTTTCAACTATACAAAAGAAAATAGTATAGTTTAAATAATAATACATAAGTACTATTATTTTTTTTTTTACTGAAATTAAGATTTTGTTTCGCAAAAACAGTAACTTTCATCCATCGCAACATACACAAAAAATGTAAGTTTTTTTTTTTTAACTGTTAAACGATCTCACGTTTGATCAGGATTTCACCAGATAGAAGTGACGATATGGTTTAAGATGGTGCTCACGAGCCCATAACGAATAACTAATTTCATTCACCTTAAATCGGTATAGATTATGTGTGACTGGAAAAACATAAGCGTTCCATTCTTTGGCCGTATGCATGATAGAGAGAGGCGCAAAGTGTTTCGTGCGTATAAACGATATGTTCATGATATAAGGATAATAACTCTATCTCTGTCTGGTCGTTAGATGCCGAGAAGTTAATGGAGAGGTACCAAGCCATACAATTCCTTACCATACTCTCTAAGTTCCTGAGCAAACTCCCTAAAATGTATCCGAACACAGCGGGTCGAGCATTTGAATTGAAAACTTCTTTTTGGAAGTATCTATTTATTAGATATTTCCCTATATTCATATCAAGATCTAGTATAAATGCCCATTTAAAGAACATTTAAGTTTGTAAATTTTACGGTCCCTTTACCAAAGAGATAAGCGATCCGTTAGTGCAATTTAAATACGTTTTAATTACTTTGAATTATCCTACACGTAGCAATGAAGATGGTAAATCTAGATAGTTCTCTAATTTAAATAATTTGAGGTTTTTCATTGTTGAATTAAAGAGGTACAGGTAATTTTGTACAAACTAGTGGCATTTGGCGTTTTTTGTTTCACAAGTGGCCACCGATAACCTTATTCGTAGTACTTCCTAATTATACACCGAGTATGTTGTATTATACGATTACTGCATAGTAGGAACAAAATTAATAATTTCTAACAATCCCTTGTATTTTACCAATAATAGTAGAATTGGTGCGAAATTAAAAATGTATGTGAATTTTGTAATAACTATTATAAAAGACTTTTCAACTTTAACGCAGTCTAAATCATTGGGATTAGAAATTTTAAATATACGTTTCTTTTATAATAATAAATACATTTTTGAACGTCAACGGATAAAAAATTCCCAGGAAATGGAAGATAACAAGTGCGTGCGGATGAAGGGATATACGTAGTTGAAAAATACATGGAATATCAATCTATAACATGTGAAACAATATATCACGTCTTTATTTTCAATTTTTTTTAATTGTACGATTATAGGTGGCACTATTATCATACATTTATGCTATTAATATAAAAATAAATATTTAGGTAAAACTGACTCTCATGGATTCCATGAACATAATTACGTTAGCGCGCTGACAGCTGACGAACTATTATGAGCTAAATCAATCAGGGTTTGCAAACAACAGACACTGCTACTAGAGCGTATGTCTTGTTTATATGCACGTATGTTACCTGGAGTCGCGTCACATCGTAAAATTTTGTGGCAACCCTTATAACCTTTGCGAGATTTAATGGGAAGAGACATGACTTTATGTTCTACCGGTCTATTTATTTTTTCTAGGTGCTATCTTATGAGCGTACTTGACAAAATTCACAAAATAGGTAGGCGATTTTTCACCACGATCCGGATTTAACTGGATAAATCCGATACAACTAAAACCCGGGAAACTCGCGGATCGTTTCAAATTCATGAGAATGGAAACGGAACCGTATGCAAATTATATGCATTTCATTACGAGTGTGACTCGCCCGCTGAGCACTTGTTTCATACTCATTCCACATAAGTAGAGATTATCCTGCATAACTTGGAGTGTTGATCCTCAATATACAGGAGTTTTAATAAGAGATTGAAATTGGTTTTGTTCGCTGTAAAGAAAAACAAAACTTAAGAAATTTATACATTAATCTCAAGTATTTAAGTTTCTTTTGAGCTTAACACATAAACAAAGGAACATAAAACATTTAATTTTAAATTCATATTCCCGGTTGCAATTAAATACATATTTATGCAAGATGCCTTCAATTGATTTTATTTTAAATGCCTTTTAGCTGGTGAAGGTGCTTTCGTTTCAAAAATAGCTGAGAACTAGTTTGATTACACTATCTTTAAAATAAAAAAACACACATAGAAGTTATACCCGGGTGAATAGATTGAATTTTACGTAAAGACAGATATTTACATAGACATTTTGAGCTTATACTTCAACATTAAAATATTACCTTTTAATTTATTACAAACCCTTTTGATTACAAAGAATTTTATTTTTTAAGTTTCATATAAAAGTATTGCAGTGTAGTTTCGGCATAGAATAGGCCATACCTTCCTTTCCTGCGGATGTCGTAAGAGGCGACTTACTTACTTAGTAATCGAGAGATAGGCAGCAGCGTCTCTCTTAAAACATAACTACAATATTATCACACTGAGGTTGCCAACCCTAGATGGGTTTCCCAAGCGTGGGAACTACTGACAAAACCCTCTTCACGGGGGAGGGCTATGTCCAGCAGTGGACAGTTAACGGCTGGTATGAAGATGATAATATAAAATTATAACTGTACATAGATATCATAAACACAATATTTAATATATAATTATTGGTGAAGATTATTAACTAGCATAGGATTATTATAAGATGTCGAGCAATATGTAATATAAAATCGTTATTCTTGCTAGAAGTAAATAAATAAATAGGTTTTTGTAATGGATGATAGCGGAATGGTAACTTCGCCTGCGCTATTAGTATACGCTGATTCGATGATTCACGATGACTTTGATCACGATGATTTTCAATAAGAGGTACTTGGAGATCAATCAGATAGGGTACATAGCCAGCAATGGAACTTTCAGAGTCCATTACTAACCCCCCTCCACCCCTTCAACAAATAGAATCGCTAGTTATATTGCAAATAATGATGTGCATAGGAAGATTTTAATGATTGATTTTTTTTGCTACTCGTAATAGAAACAATAATGAAAATAAATACAAGTGGCAAACCAATTAATTTCATATTTACCTTAAACAGAGATGTGTATAAAGAAGGAGGTCTATGGAAGTGTCCCATTCTCTCACCGATGGCGTCTACACCGAATGTCGACAATGGCGTTCATATTTCTGCAACAAAGGAAATAATTATTTTTATTACAAGTATGTAGGTATTAATATTGCTCTGTTCATTATTATTTCATTGTTTGTAAGGATTTTCAATAAGTAAGAATAAAATATATATGCATTAATATAATTATAAATGCGAAAGTTTGTAAAGATGGATGGAGGGATGTTTGTTACTCTTTCACGCAAAAACTATTGAACGGAGTTGAACAAAATTTGATACATCAATAGGTTATATACTAATTTAGCACATAGGATATTTCATATATTAATTCACGTAGATGAAGCCGCGTGATACAGCTAGTAATTAATATGAGGTTTTTGTATATGTTGTTTAATTAAAACAATCCACAAATGCTATGTATAAGTAAGCGAGAAATAAACTATATTATATTTGTAACGTGCTGATTTGTGTTTCTAAAAAATAAAAGAATATTGTTTTGGCATCTATTAGTTTTATTAAGAGTCCTTATATATATTTTTTAAATATCTCCCATGGACAGACATCAACTAGTTACAATTTTATTATATTTGTAAGATTTTTTTTTTTTTAATGATTACATTCATTATAAGATCTAAACAACAGTTTTAGTTTTAGTTTTTCTTAGGTACTCTGATAGGTCTGTCCATCTGTAATTAATACTATTGTTTTGAAATTGGCTTTGTTTAAAATATTGTTGAACCAAATATACTACATTGTACTTCGATCAATCAATATATCTCAGACACACGGATTAAGGTGATGGCAAAAACAAGGATATACATACATAAAGAAAAGGTAGCATGGCTTGAAAACTAATCTATAGATAACGTATCACGAAGCCAACGTTATCCGCAGGAGATTTTAGAAGCTTTTCGGCATAGTCGAGGGAGGAATCTAAAACTGCCTGCTCCATCACTCGAAGTAGTTATCATATTAAGTGTTATGTATCAGGGGTAACTATCAAACGTGTATATTTACAAAATATTAATATTATTTTGTTCTGTGACTTCGTTTAATTGTCATAGGAATATTTTAAAATCATGTCAATGATAATTAAAAAAAAATATTTAGAACTTTTATCATCATCATCATCATCATATCAGCTCTTAATTGCCGAACGCAGGCCTCCTCCATAAAGAGGTTTTGCCAGTAGTTGCGCTGCTTGGTATTGGCAGCTGTAGTTAGGCTGTAGTGATGGTTTAAGAGGAACGTTGTTGCCCATCTCTCGACTATGAATTTCCCTTAGTTGCCTCTTACGGCACCCACGGAATATGAAGGAGTGGCTCATTTTATGTCGGTATAATAAAGTTTATATTAATACAAAATATTTCTAATGTTATTCTTAAAAAAGTGCCATGAAGTAACAAACTTACTTTCAAATAATATGAACACACCTAATACTGATATATTGGATGGAAAAGGGATTGTTAGTAATGGAGACGAAGAATCCCATTGCTAGCAATATACCCAACCAGGTCGACCTCCTCGCCGTTCCCCCCGGAAACTATCATGATTAATTCCTGATGAATTCATCATGATGGGCTAACTCGCCTGTTTTCATCCTCAACGATCACCCTTCACTGGTGCCCCGCCAGCGTATCCCATTAGCGCAGGCGGGGTTACCACTCCATTTTCATCGAATTAAAAAAAAACACTGAGATATTTATATGGATTAATGATCACTAACATGTATGTTTGTATTAAACTCGGCGTCTTTTAAATATATCCATGATATCGTTGCGGAAAATTAAGTACCTTTATAAAGTACCATATATTTTGCTTTCCTTTAATATCATGATGATAAAATTGTACGAGATCGTGTCATGTTATGTAAAGATTGACAAATAGGTTATTGCATAAAAAAATACTGACTTCAATAGTAGCAAAACCAGTCATTTTGATTTATAATTAAACCATTGAACTAAATTGATTTTGATGAAACTTATATGGGACCAATCTAAAAGTAGATCTTTTGAGATAAAATTATTGCACATCGGTTTACAAATGACGGAGTTATGAAGTTTAAACATAACAGACATAAAACTCTTTCTTTTGATGTCGTTTGAAAGCACCCAATGTATTACATTTACTTCGTCATCAGAATTTATTACGACCAATGTTTCATCACAAACTCCGAAAATAGGGCAGGGCAGGACCAAAAATTCCTTTATAATTGTCGACACTCTTTCTTCCTTCCGTTTGCTTCGGTATTGTTGAAAAAACGGTTGAATGGTTTTATTCATAAATGGTTTATTGCCCGTTGAAAATTCAATGGTGCATAAGATCACAATTTGTGTCGTACCCTCTTGAGAATATGAGTATTTGAGATGCGTATGTTTCGAATTTCAATTTGTTCGGTTATTCTTTGAAGATATGATTTCATGTAAAACCTATAACGAAACTATTTTTAAGGTACGACAGAGAAAATAATTTAAGATTGTGTTCCACAAAAAACCGACTTCAGTTGTAGCAAAACCATTTTGATTTACAAATTAAACTGCTGAACCGATTTTAATAAAATTAAATTGAACCAATCTTTATATGCTTTCAGATAAAAAAGTTTTTGAAATTGGTGTTTAACTAATGGAGTTAGCAGGTAACAAACAAACAAAATACAACAGAATTAATAACCTCCTTTTTCTAGAAGTCGTTTGATAAAAAGACAAAACATTGTAATCACCAAAATTATAAGACGTTTGTTATATAAACATTTTTATGTAAACAATAGTAAGGACACGAAACAATGAACGTAGATAATTGACATTAAATCAAAAACAATTTTTGGCCGAATAAACAATACAGAGTTTATTATCTTTCGCAGTATTTTGTTTGAAACGGCTTTTGTATCACAAATAAGCGGAACAAATATGTTCTTTCAGCTTGAACGCTACATTTGCAATGGGAAAATAAATAAACGATTTTATAACGAAATGTTAAGAACAAAAGACGCGTCAATCAATAAAAAATATCATATATAAGAGTATGGAATGGTTTAGAAAAATCACGTCAAAGAAAGGGTTTGGCCGTTTCTCCTAGCGATCGTAAGAGCGTATTCCTTTTTATATGTTAGGGAGCGGGTACATTTGTCAATGGACAGATAATATACGGTTTTGCCAATTCCAATTCAAATAGGGGCTATTTATTTTGAGGACAAATGGGATCGGTGTCGCAGAAGGTCCCAGAAAATATTGCATCTCTGGTTCGAAATGGAAGAGGTTGGTAGCTAATATACACAATGGTCATTAGAATATTGTATGTATTAGCTTTTTTTTTTATGCAGCTTAGAATGGCAAGCAAGCTGACGGCTCACTTGATGGAAAGTGGTAACCGTCGCCTATAAACAAGAGCAGTACCATGAACATAACAGGGTATACTGTTTCGCCATGATACCATAGCTACTTAAAACGTTGATTAATAAAATTGATTGGAATTGGATTCGAGTTCGTATAGTATACGAGAGAAGTGGAAACAATTGGAGGCCTATGTAGACAGACAACCTGACCAACACAGTAGTTGCTAGTAAGCTAGCTAGTAATAAGCTTATATTATTTTATGTTATTATTTTATAAATAAATGTAGATACTTTGTTTTATAACTATAGTATGTAAGTTTAAAATTGTAATCAGCGAATAAAGGCTTTATTATTACTATAGTATACAAGATTAGAGTATGTACCTAAGATAGATACGCTGCATAGGGAAAAGTGCAATCTACAGACAAAATAACGCCGTTATCAGCATCATTATTATCATCATATCAGCCGTTATCTGTCCGCTGCTCAATACAGGCCTTCCCCATAAGGAGGGATTAGCCAGTAGTTGCTATGCTTGGCAGGCACGTTGGTAACCGCAGTTAGGCTTTGGTGATGTCTTAAGTCGATGTTGTTGCTTATCCCTAGACCATTAAGTTCTCTTAGTCGCCTTTTACGACACCCACGAGATAGAAAGGGGACATCTATTCTATGCCGGGACAACACGGCATGGACAAGATAGGACTTCATATATTACAAGTATACTCTACCGTCTACAACTTCTTACATTCGTTGTAGCATAATGTTGGGATAAAGAGTAACACTGTCGCTGTAATCAGGACAAAAGCTTTATGCTTTTTTTGATTGAGTTTATACTGACAAGCGGTATAAAACTTGTCACTTACTTCTAAAGTACTGTTCACACTAAAACAATACATGCATACTTGACTGCAGAAATAGGTCAAGACGGCCTATCCAGGCGAGACTAAAATATGTTGCTGGTAATAGAGATGGCACATGAAAATTTATGAGTATTAACTTCCGAGCGCGATTTGTGACAGTTCCGTGAATTATAGGTTCGGATAACAGAGATGCATGTTGTTCCATGCATAAACTATCTATGGAAAACGACTCCATAAAATATGACACCATTATTATTTTTATACTGTACTTGTGAGTAATTTACTATCAGTTTTACACAAACAGTTTTATTTTTAACAAGAATTGTTTACCTGTAGCTTTACTCAGATGTTATGTTTCTTAACGTAACTTCAGCACGATATTTTACCTTCTGAATGTGATTTTCCGAACTTTTCCCAGCGATCTATTATCCCATCTGTTTCTGTCTTGAAACTCTTTGCTTCCATGTAATTTATGGATTTTTCATATATGTTTATCGAGTTTGGATAAACAAATTCGACATCATAAAACGTCAATAACGCCAGCATCGTCAATTACCTTTGGTTAATGTACTGAACGGGATAACAGGATTGTAAACTTATACATTAAATGCATTTATATTATTACAGAGCGAAATTGAAATATTTAATGGTTTGAAATAAAATAAATAAAAATAAATATATAATATAGTTTTATAATTATAACTAAGTATAAGCATTTTTGAATAGTCATTGTTTTTTTAGGGAGGAAAGGGATTGTTAGTAATGGAGACTGAGAATCCCATTGCTAGCAATATACCCAACCAGGTCGACTTCCTCGCGGTTCTCCCTGGACACTATCATGGTTCATTTCTGATGAATTCATCACGAT